ACTCAGTTTGAACACACGATAACACAATAATGCTTATTAACGAATAAGATTTAACACGGTAATTTTTCTATGCAAATCTATAAAATCATATGCTTTTAAATTGTCACTAATTGTAATATTCATATTTATTGGATTGACGAAGTTTTTCTGTGTATTTGAATTGCTTTTCGGTCGACTTAGATATAAAATCATATCTTCTATGTCGATATCAAAGGATAATTGAAACTTTAAGTAAGAACAAATCTGCTCTTTACATTTGTTTTATATCAAGTTCAATGTCCTGATCATTGATAAAGTATTTTGAGTTATAAAAATATCCTCCTCATCATCATCAATACTATTTACTGGATTGACTCTGGCTAATTAAACTGGTTCCTTGAAAATCATTCAATTTTAACCCATTTATTTATGTAAACAATAAACCGGTCTAATATAAACAAAACAATGATATCAAGATCGACGCTTTCACACTATTTACATCCAATATTCTCTAGGGAAAAACAGTTACCCGGAATAAATACACGGCGGAATGAAAGTACGCTTACATATACCCTACATCTCCTTCCGTTCATATATACTAGTATATGTAAACATATTCCTCCAACATGCATGCTATTTTATAACACATTTTACATAGGTTTTTGTCTTGTGTACAGCAATCTCATTGTCCTTCTTTTACTTTAGGGGCCTCTGTACTTGTTTTCTTAAGGGTTCAGGGTATTCTTAGGGTAAGGTTAGATTTTGTTTAGGTTACAGTTAGATTTTAGGATCTGGATGTTAGTGTTAGGTACTCGAGCTTATTTGATGAGTCTTTTGTAGGCGATACGCGCGACTGGCCTACAAAATTTTAATCCTGGTATCTATGATGAGTTTATTTAGGGTAAGCTAGTGTTAGTCTAGTATAGCTCTATATGGGTTTGGACCCCTAAAGTAAAAGAAGTCCACTCTATTTCCTACATGTATTTTTAACAATAAAGTGAAGTTAGAATAGACTATTTTCATATTACAGACTTTTGACTCTGAAATAATTTTTTGACAGGCTACCTTTTCTGTGGTAGGACATCCTTGTACTTGGTCAAGTAAGAGTAACCCAAATAAGTAAAATCAAACATATAATCGTTGTAATTTTAGGGGAAGTTTACTGTTTTCCGACGATTTTGTCGTGTAAAGAAAGTATGAAGCAGTCAATTTTCCCCAAACATTGTACCGATTGAAAGCTTGATTTTACTTCTTTATGTTGCTCTTACTTGACTTTGTAGCAGGATGTCCTATCGCATAGTGGGTAACCTGTAGAAAAAAAATAAACTTCAGAGTCAAAAGTCAGTAATATGAAAATGGTCTATTAAGAGAAGAATATTACAGTCACCTAAAATATATATTGTTTATCTTTGGAGCTGGTTAACACTTATATAATTCTTGAATACATCTATATAACAAAAACAAGGATGTGGAGGATTTTTACAATGAAGTGCCTTGTAATAGGATACAAATCTGTACTGAAACAGTTAATCACTCCTTTTAAATGACAGTAAAACCTTACTGCGTGTAATTTTGAGCTTTAAGTTTTTATTACATATTTCCTCATTTAAATAGTATTCTTGGTAACAGTTAATAAGGAGATCATCAGACAATAGAGGGCCAGACATTAGACATTGATGGATATTATTGATTGATTTATTGTTGTTTGCTGAACATCCAGTGGTAAATATATCACTCATAATCAGTATGTGAACACATTAAAAATACCTCTTAAAGGTAGCAGGTTGTGAAAAATGATTGGACAGAGATGAAGGCTAGAAATCGTGACTGCCACCAAAATTAAGGGTATATGTTCGATATCAATATATATGGATGAATTTTTGCTCTGCATCATACAGTCCCATAGGCGGATGCAGGGGGGTTGCCCTGGGGTGCCCGGGCCCCCATTATGTGGGAAAAATTTGGTTGATTATATAGGGAATCACTTAAGCATGACTGGAGCGGGCCCCCCTTAGGTCAGTCAGTGGGCCCCCCTTATGAAAAGTTCTGGATCCGCCACTGAGTCCATCTATGTGACTTTTGAAAGAGTTATTGCTTTTATAAGGATTTTATACCCATAGATACCCTCAAGAAATGTTATGACTAAGGATGAAGTCTTTGTGCTGGTCTGACAGTAAAAGATACAAGGGAATGACTATGTACATTGGATATTATAGTGGATTCAATTGTTGTTTGTATAAATCTTGCACTAACAAATAAATATTATGGTTGCATAAAAGTAAACATTTATATCATCAAAAGTGTGACATTGCAAAATATGGAGGTGGAGGCCACTTTATTATTTATATCTTTCTACATACAATGAATGCAGTTTATCAAATTAAACATTATTGTAAAACAGATCAGATCTTACACATGGAGGAACAAAAATTATATAATCAACTTATGATCTTTGTCATTTATAATATACACAATGTACATATGCTGAGATATGGTAATATTGTCAATGAGTCAACATAATCTACCAGAGACTATTAATAACACTTTCTGATTTCTTTTAAGAATAGAAACATGTTTTTTGTTCATTCAATTTCATAATGTTATGTAAGAATGAATATCTTCAATATAATGAAAATTGCTGTGGTTGATCAAAAATGTGATTCTGTTATTTCCAATGGATTATTGCATATCTCACACTTCAAGGTTCAAGGGTCATAATTTAAAATAAAGGACTGTTGGTATGAGGTATGATTAGACAAAAAAATACTATATCTGTTGCTGTTTTCAGTTCCTCTATCATATAAGTTTTAAACCATCATATTTGTTTTGTTTTTACTTAAATCTTGGTTTCTCATTTGAATTGTTTTATTACATTTTGTCATTTCTGGGCCTTTTAAAGCATGGTATTTGGTATGGAATTTGCTCATTGTTGAAGGCTTTACAATGACCTATAGTTTCTTGTTTACATCCACATCATTGTAAAGCTCATTGTTGAAGGCTTTACAGTGACCTGTAGTTTCTTGTTTACATCCACATCATTGTAAAGCTCATTGTTGAAGGCTTTACAGTGACCTATAGTTTCTTGTTTACATCCACATCATTGTAAAGATCATTGTTGAAGGCTTTACAGTGACCTGTAGTTTCTTGTTTACATCCACATCATTGTAAAGCTCATTGTTGAAGGCTTTACAATGACCTGTAGTTTCTTGTTTACATCCACATCATTGTAAAGCTCATTGTTGAAGGCTTTACAGTGACCTATAGTTTCTTGTTTACATCCACATCATTGTAAAGCTCATTGTTGAAGGCTTTACAGTGACCTATAGTTTCTTGTTTACATCTACATCATTGTAAAGCTCATTGTTGAAGGCTTTACAGTGACCTATAGTTTCTTGTTTACATCCACATCATTTGTTCCCTGGTGGATAGTTGCCATCATATTTTTGTCGAGCCTTCGACTTTTGTCAAAAAAGCGAGACATAGCGATCCTACATTCCGTCGTCGTCGGTGGCAGCGGCGTCCACAAATATTCACTCTGTGGTTAAAGTTTTTGAAATTTTAATAACTTTTTTAAACTATCCTGGATTTCTACCAAACTTGGACAGAAGCTTGTTTATGATCATAAGATAGTATCCAGAAGTAAATTTTGTAAAAAAGAAATTCCTGTTTTTCCGTATTTTACTTATAAATGGACTTAGTTTTTCTGCCAGGAAACAAATTACATTCACTCTGTGGTTAAAGTTTTTAAAATTTTAATAACTTTCTCAAACTATCCTGGATTTCTACCAAACTTGGACATAAGCTTGTTTATGATCATAAGATAGTATCCAGAAGTAAATTTAAAAAAAAAAAAATCCTGTTTTTCCGTATTTTACTTATAAATGGACTTAGTTTTTCTGCCAGGAAACATTACATTCACTCTGTGGTTAAAGTTTTTAAAATTTAAATAACTTTCTTAAACTATCCTGGATTTGTACCAAACATGGACAGAAGTTTGTTTATGATCAAAAGCTAGTATCTAGAAAGAAAAATTTTGTACTTGTTTATCCATATTTTACTTATAAATGGACTTAGTTTTTCTTCCAGTTAACATTAGATACAGTCTGCAGTTAAATTTTTTAAAAACATTTATTAGATTCATAAACTCTCCTGGATTTTTACCAAACTTGGACAGAAGCTTCTTACAATAAAAAAATTGTATCGAGAGGAATATTTTTATTAAATTTTTTCCTCATCTCATTTTTGTTGAGCCTGCAATTAACAGCAAAAGTAGGCGAGACACTGGGTTCCGTGGAACCCTTACAAATCTTTATATCATTTTCTGCCTCAAATAACAAACTGCAAAACAATTTCTATTAAATCTTTTCAAAATTATATTACTTATATTTGCTAATAATTATTACTTTTAAATAGGCATTTCAAAAGTCTTCGCAGTCAATAATATTTTCAGTATACATGCAGGCTGAACGCTAACTTGTATGAAAAATTTATTAAGATTCAATTAGTCTGCATGTAGAGGTGAATTAATTGATCTGAAAGCACTGTTACAAGCCTGGACTGTTTGATAGGGTTGTGCTCATGGTTAAGGGTACGACTGCTTCAGGGCAAAAATGATGATGATGTCAGAGAGAGATAGATTTACAAATTATAGGTCATGACTGGATGTGTACCAGTAACAAAAAATAGTCAAGTTAGGAATATAGATTTTAATAAATTAGATATACCATTGTTGGATGAAAAAAAAAGAGTTTGTAGCTGAATATGGTTTGCTCAGACTGTTGTTAAAACTTGAACTTGTGTAAACAAGCCAAAAGTTTATAATAGCAAAATTCAGAAGCATTTTAGTCTGGTCCACTGTTGGATCCGTCCCAGCCTCAGAGAAAATTAAGTTAAATTGATAATGGTAAAACATTTATCTCTACTATTGCAATGCACATGATATCATTTTAAACTAACAACCTCCACAACAAAAATAAACAAACAGTATTTATTTTATGATCATTTGTCTATTTATGTTTCAGGTATGACCAGATTTACCTGTATATAAGAACAGGTAAGAATTTAAATCATTAGTGATAGATATATGGATGTTCTTTAGTCATGTGCCATGGACCATTACATGTCAGTGAACGGAAAGTGTCTGTACGGGTCAAAAGTCAAGTGCTGTGGACCATTTAATTCAATACATACAATAATGGACTGTGATTTGAATTGGGGTATAAAAAAACTAATCCATGTGTTATATGATCTCTGTACTTATACTAACTCATAATAAAAGTATATTTAATGATTTATCAGTTCAGATTTGTGTGATTGCACAGATGTATGAATGACCTATGTGTACTTCTTAATTACTATGATTTAAAGTCAACAAAAATATTCTAAATTAAATTTATGAAAAACCATCTGTCTTACAAACAAGAATAACTCCTGATAACTGGAGAGTTTTATTTAAAATTTAGATTTATTTAAAAAGGACTTACACAAAACATATGCTTGATGACTAGAGACATTCAGTTACAATCAATGCTTTTATTATCTTTAAGATGTTATCGTAACATGAACACAAATTATTTCTACAATAAGACGCATGAGATATTTAAATAAATATACTAGTCATAACAACAGCATGCACAGTGAATATAAGTATAGGTTATAAAAGGAAAAGATTGGTAAAAAGCTATCAGACAGGAACCCACCAATGGAAGTATACAAAATATAGACCATGCAGAGGTTATTATGTGGTTTTCAGTATTGGACATGATTTCTAAATACATGTACATGTATCATGCAAATGAACTCGTACAGACGACAAAACATCATATTCCTTATGCTTAATTCCCTTAGGTGATCTTAGGTTGATGTATAAAATGTTTTAATAAACATGGAAAAAAAGGTGGTGATGTTTAAAAGAGAGTCTTACAGACAGACTACATAGGTGGATCCAGGGGGTGGCCTGGGGGGGCCCGGGCCCCCCTTTTGTGGGAAAAATTTGGTTGATTATATAGGGAATCACTGGAGCATGACTGGAGCGGGCCCCCCCCTTAGGTCAGTCAGCGGGCCCCCCTTATGAAATGTTCTGGATCCGCCACTGGAGTCTAAATACTTTGGATTCATTTATTGTCATGATTGTCATGGGTATAATTTTCTTGTATTTAGGAAAAACTGTATTTTCTTGGATATTTAATTTTTTGGTTATTACAAAAGTCTGCATACATGCCTATAGAAAATTTATACTTCGTTAAACATTTTAATTGTGTACTCACAAAATCAATGCAAAATTGGTATCCCATAAATAATAGTGTATCCAGAGTACAACAAATGTTAATGTTGTAGTCTACATGTATTTTGAAATTTTAGACTTTAAAAAAAAGTTTGTTTCTAATGCTAGAATGTTTTTTACAAAGGGAAACAACTGAAAAAAAAGTATTAAAATAAAGAGATGTGGTACGACTGCATATGAAACAATAATCTACCTGAGACAAAATGACATGAATGCAAGCAATTTTGTGTTTTGACTTCAACACCTTTATTAATAAGGGGATTGTAAAATAAAATTCTGAACAGCTTAAGCACATCAAAACCTCATCCTTCCATATAACATACTGTCCTACATAACAGTTGCCCCTTTTGCCAAGAATTATAAAATTGTAAACAAACTTGACTAACGTATGGTATAATATGATTCATGGGTGATTTATCTTTTTTTATTAATAGGGGTTATATAAGACGGGTCAGATTTTCAATGCCCTTTCTTTACAAATGTATTCAAAATAAAATTCTGAAGGACCTCTGTTAATATGGTTATAATTTATTCTTCTTACTGTCTAAAGGAAGATTGATCTTTCAAAGGCAGGAAAAATTTATATCCATATATATATAAAAGTATGAAAACTATCAAGACTAAAACTAAAAAGCCCTTTTCAAGATTGCAATATTGATCCTTTCTTATTTTTTACTCTTTTCAATTTGAATACAATATCTGTCTAAATGTGTATGTAACATTTAAAGATGAGACTTAACCCTGCAATGATTTCTTGATATTTACATATATATATAAAGTAAGCTCCATTGATCATCATTATACATGTTTTACATTGTAGAAAATAAAAATCAATTCTAATAGAAATCCTGTGAAGCCTAACAGCATACAAGGAATCAGTCTAATCAATTCATTGTACATTATATGTATAACAGATCACTTATTTGTAAGATATATACTGTAGGTTTATTATTATTCATGGTGGTTTTCAGCCGTGCCCCCCCTTATGGAGCAAAATTTATGGTTAATCAGACTTTTTACTGGTTCCACTCCAAACTTTGTCTAGTTTGACTGTTTGGGGGCCCGCAAAATTTTTCTTCATTCTACAAAATTTGGTAAAAAGAAAAATAAATGAATCCCTATAATAATATGTTAAAAATTATCATATGATAAATTGTATGAAATCAGACGGTGTCAACATGATTGCTGTTGAGAAGTCCAATGAAGACAACTGAACATTTATACACATCCTTGGAGTTTTAGTTTATAAATTATGTTCCAAGGCTAAATATTTCAACATACAGGGAAATTGCAAATACTGTCTTTAATCTTGTAAACCATTACATATATAAAGAAAACCTAACATGTACAGAAAGGTTCAGAATATCAAGACCTACATATTACCTATTTTTATCAAAATTGTCAGACAAATGACAATTTTTAACCATTTTTTTGCAATTTCCCCAAAAAAATCTATAAACGGCATGACTCTATTATTGTTAACAATTTTATTATCCAATCACCTAAAGTAATGACAGATAAGGAGGAAAATATCTGTAGAATAAAGTAAATTGATTTTATTACTCAGTTCTTGATATATATTTATATTGATTAATAAACTGAATGGTGTTTTTTAATATTTGCATTTAAAATAACATGTATTTTCTAAAATGGTTTGTTTTCTGAGACATAAAATTTTGGGAATGCTTAGGACCAAACATGTTCATGAGGTTTTATTTTGGGATTACTCTTCTCCCTGAAACTGATTTCCTTTCCTAATCAGATTTCACTGTGAAATTATCAAGAATACAAAAATTGCCCACTTTAAAGTTTATTTTTTTATCTACATTTAATCTTAAATAATGTTCAGGGATTTTGACCTAAATATTTTTCATCTACAACTTGCCAAAATAGAATTTGAAGATAAGCCCAAAAAAAGATTAGAAACAGCCAACAGCAAAGAGATATAGGTCTTTAACTAGAAATTCAAAAGGAGCAGTACTCCTTTAACTGTAGACAAGAGGATCCATTTTATAATGATTAACTGAAAAATAACCTATATATATATATCTAGGGAATTTATCAAACTACACTCAAATTGCTGCTTCTTGTCCGTCTGTACACCTGCTCGTGCATACATCCCAAAATTAATTACTGTTCTCTATCTTCAGTTTGCCTAAAACAAATGTTATTAAACTTATACACATGCAATGTTAATTACCACAAAACTTGGAACAAGTTCAAAATTTGGGTGCTGTCACTTTTACCGTACTCGAATTATGCCCCTTTATAAATGGGAAAATTGCTGAATTTTTCATTTCAGTTCTCTATCTTTAGTTTGCCTCAACCAAATATTAAGAAACTTATATACAATGCTTATTACCATAAAACACAGATCAAGTTTGAATTTGGGTGGCATCACTTTTACACTTCTCTAGTTATGTCCCTTTATAACGTTATATGCAAGGGGGAGCATCATCTGTGTCCCATGGACACATTCTCTATTTATTTTGTATTTTTGTTAAATTCATAATAGTGTAATAAATTGTACAGTGAGTTGTGGGGGGGGGGTCTTATTTCATGATGTGATTGGTCGTAAATCCTGTACAGCTCGCTTAAGACATTTTATGGTAAAAATAAGGAGATGTGGTATGATTGCCAATGAGACTAACTATCCACCAAGGTTTAAATGAAGTGGATGTAAGCAATTATAGGCAACCGTACTGTATGTGTTTTAGTCAGTTTTGAGAACAGCAATATCTTATTGGTGTGTACCAGTTAATCAAATTTCCTTTCTGAAGTATAAATTACATAGCGCATTCTGGGTAAATACTTAGAATTATGAAACTTTCTGTGATAAATTGTGACTTTTTAGAAAGGAGTGTCTATGACTACCTCAACATACAAATTAAAAAAAACGTTTGTAAATATATTTTTTATTAATTTGCAGATTGATTCTTTATTGACATATCAAGGTCTACAGAATGGAAGTCCCAAGTCACATAGCACCCCCTGATGGGATAGAGTTCAGAGTATCAGAGATTGATCCAACACAAATTGGTAAGTAACATTAAGTCACATAGCTCCCCCTGGTGGGATAGAGTTTGGAGATTGAAATAATTCAGATGGGTAAGTTTGTCATGGTAACCAGGCCTTTCGGTCATAAAACTTTACTCATTACTCAGAGTACAAAAATACTACTAAACCCAGTATTTAGTGTGGTTGATATCTGAGTCTGAGAATGATATTCATACTTATCTATTTGTTTGTCTTTAAGGCATGTAAGTACCAAGTCACATAGCTCCCCCTGATTGGATAGAGTTCAGAGTATCAGAGATTGATATGAAACGAGTAATTGGTCAAGGTAATCAGTCCATCCTGAAATATAACCTTAAAAAATAAGAGATTGATTTATCTTCTGTTTAGGCCTGTTTCAGTTGTATGTAGTCCCTTTTAAGGAAAAACAATGGGAAGTTATCTGGCAGGAGTAAATATTTGACCAAATATCATGATTTGTATAAGATGTCTTAATTTTAAATAAAACAAGATCCAAATTGTAATGTCTCACTTTTAAACTTACTTGTATCTATGCATAGATATACAATATAGAATAACCATTCCCCCTGTTTTGGAGTATTAACAGGGTATGCACAACGCAATTAAAATAATATAAAAGAGTTTCATTTAACTGGTCATTGTCTCACCTGCAAGGAAGTTATAGTAGCTTTGAGATTATTTTTCTGTGCCCCCTCAGTCATGGCCTATAGACTTGCAAAAAATTTTCTGTAGTTTACGTGTTAAATGAAGTCATTTTGATTTCAACATAAGCAATATACTTGTACAACACATATATTATATTGAATTTAGAGGACCTCTTTACTGCAAACTATATAACTCTCAACCATGCTTCTGTATATGGGTAATTTTATGTATTTGTAGGAACCTGGTCTACCAAGAGGATACTGAGGGAGACATTTTTAGGACCATTTGTCGGTGAAATAATCCGAGATAGTGATGAGAGTACAGTTAGCTACAGATTTGCTTGGGAGGTTGGTTTTTTATACGCCCGTTTACGGGACGTATTATGGTATACCGTCTGTCCGTCTGTCCGTCCGTCCGTCTGTCCGTCTGTCCATCCGTCGTCAACATGTCGGACATTAACTCAAATACGCTTTAACCAATTTGCATAAAACTTTGGTGAATTGTTTATATCTATTGACGTGAGCTCCCTTTCCTTTTTTATAAATTTTAGATTTCACGCTTCCGAGTAATGGGGTTTTATTCATTAAAAAAATGGGGATTTTCCAGTTTTCGGACAATAACTCAAGAATGCTTTCAACAACTTGCAAGAAATTGTGGTGAATTGTTAATATCTAACTCAAACTCTCAAAAACTCAAAAATGCTTTCAGCAGTTCTTATGAAACTTTGGTGAATTGTTTATATCTATTGATGTAAGCTCCCTTTAGAATTTTATAAATTTTACATTTTACATTTCTGAGTTATGGGGTTTTATTCATTAAAAAATGGGGATGATCCAGTTTTCGGACAATAACTCAAAAATGCTGTCAGCAATTCTCATGAAACTTTGGTGAATTGTGTATATCTATTGATGTAAGCTCCCTTTTGATTTTCATAAATTTCTAATATGACATTGAGAATTAATTGAACTTTAGTTGTTTATAGTCTGACAACAGATTTACTAAGTATTGCACAACAGCACAGTGTATTGCACAACAGCAAGAAATCTTTAATTGAATATAAATTCAATTCATATAACCAATTTCAAGTTCTTTGACTACATTTATTCAGAAACCTATAATATGTCAAATATTTAATTACAATCCAAATTCAGGCCTGTATCAAGCTTGAATATTGTGTCCATTTTTGCCCCAACTGTTCAGGGTTGGACCTCTGCGGGCGTATCCATCTGCGCTCAGCGAAGCAGTTTATTTTTTAAAACATAATGCACAGTGTTTAAACATGGAATATTAAACTGAAAACATATTATAATTTATACCAGTGTAAATACAATGACGCTGCAACTGATATACTTATATTTTCTTCTCTGAGTTTTCAATCAGACTGAATTACATTTGTTGTTCTAAAAATCTTAATTCAAATTCAGCAATAGAAAAGTTTCTTATACTAAGAGTCAAAATTTATTTTACCCATATGTTGTATACCGTAGGAACAATAATATTTGTGGGTTTAAACTTTGGTGGTTTTGTCCCTAATTTTATTTCATGGGGATTAAATTTCCTTTTTTCCAGTATATGAAAAATAATATTGTATGTTAAAATTTCGTTTGGGGTTTTATTTTTTATTTTATGATAATGGCTATCTACGAATAAACGAAATAAAATGTCCAACAAAAATTTCTGCTTTGACAGTATTTGAAAGATGAAAAATTGAATACTACAATTTGTTATAAAGCAGATTATTTTAGGGTTATGCTTAGTTTAGGTTTAGAGAAAGGGTTAGTTTAGTATAACCTTATATGAGCTGTGTCCCATAAAGTAGATGAAGGCCCCACCTGGAGCCTCTAGTTGTTTTTTCATCATAATCATAATATCAAACAGATACAAATTATAATTACAAATGACTTTCTCTTGTAGATATTTAATTTGGAGAATGGTGAATATTTATACACGATAAATTCTACAGATCCAAATCATGGTAACTGGATGAGATATGTAAACTGTGCCAGATATCTGGAGGAACAAAACTTAGTCTCTGTGCAGAAAGATATGGAGATGTTTTATAAAGCTATAAAGGTAAGGCTGTCAGGAAATAGACGTTCTTTCATTATATAAGTTCCAGTTGGAATAAATGTTACAATATTTGTTACTAATGTAATAAAGGGTATAGAATATTTGTTAAGAACAGATATTATGGCATTGTTTATTAAAAAGTTTCCAGGATAACTTCTTTAAGGCAGAATAAATATACGTAGACAAGGGGACAGCAGAAAACAGACAACCAGACTTTCAAATGTCCAAAAAACTACAGAAAACTAAGATTGAGCAATAAGAAACCTACCCAAACCCAATGATGAACTTTGGAAATGCTTTGGAAAGGTCACAAGCTGCTTCATTGGTGTTACCTGTCATTTCATTCCAATTTAAATACATTGACACATCATATTTGGTGCTAACAAATCATTGAATAGGAGATTTGTGAATATATATTGTTTAATTCTAAGACATTACCAAAAACATAAACTAACCGCATCACACAAACAAACAATAACAAAAAAGGAAACATTTTGACATTAATTGTAAAATATTTGTGTTTTGTTTGTTAACAGAAGCAGTGAGTAAAAATAAAATGATATAAACACAGTATGTGAAAATTCTTTAGACTTTTATTTGATGATTTCAGCAAATACCACTACATTGACAACAACACTTAAGTAAACTGCATATTAAGTGTTGTTGTCAATCTAGTGGTATTTGATCTTTTTATCTGACAACCCTGAATACCATGTAGTATCCACTTAAGGGAACTCTACCAGCACAAAACATAGAAGGGTTGGTTCAGCAGCTCTTTATTTATTGATTTCAGCAAATGTAAAAAAAAATGAGTTCCCAGATGTTCCTATTTTAATTTCTACTAGTCCAAAGTCTCACTTCAAAGTTTTAATAGATTTAAAGGGAAGTATACTATTTTATTCTCAAATGAAAGGTTCATTAGACTTTCCTTGTAAATGTCCTTACACATGAATTGATAACATCTGACCTTTTCCTTTTTTAACATATGTTGAAGTTTGAATGTAATTCCATGATATCTTTTCATATTGAAAGTTTTTTTAATGTTTTTTTACATAGACAGTATTTTTTCACTGTAAGAAATTACAAAATTTATTTGTACAAGCTTTAGAAACAGCAAGAAAAGCTAGACTCACCAAGCTTTTCTCCTGTTTGGTAGCGAGAATATTGTTTTATCATGCAATTTAACATTTACGCATAAAAGTATATGTTTTTCATTTCCCAACAGTTGCATTTGTTTTTGAATAAAATCAACACGACTTAAAAGTGGACAGCAATGAGGACCCAAAAATTTTGAAAATAACCATTCGCTCACAACATAAGTAGGATACCAGGAGACTATACCCAAATACTGTATGTTTATCCCTTCATAATATCTGTACACCTGTATTTGTATAGTAGAAAGGTCGATTGCAAGATAACTATACAATATATGTACATTGTTGTATAAAATTTATTTGTACGAGCTTAAGTAACAGAACAAGCTCCATTTTCCCTGTTTCGTAGTGAGTACAAACACATTTTATATTTTCGATAATATACATAAGTTGTTTTTATCCTGTAATTTACATCCGGCACTTGAATCTTTAGTTCTTTAAATCTAAATAGTTGTCTCTGATTTTTGATCGAAATAGTTTAAATGTGGCCACGAAGAGAATCCCAAAATGAACTGTTACGCAAAAAGAAATACTCACATTACCGTTTGAGCGGGGTAACAGGAGACTTTATTTGTACAAGTACGAATAAAGCAAAAATTTATTACTGTAGCTGTTATTTGTACAATAGTTGGCTGATTGCAGGATAAATATGTTCATTTATATATTATTCTGTGGATTAAGTCTTCTGTTTCTTCTTTTGATGCATTTGCTTGGTATTTTCTCTTAAATATAAGTGATGTTTTATTGGGTTTTTTTTTACAGGATATAGAACCAGGGGAGGAGCTATTAACATGGTATCAACCATTCAAAAAACGTAGAAAGAAGAAAATGAGGTCACCACTGAAGTCACCAGACAGACCAGGTATAAGATATGATAAACAGTACAGAATGTAGTCAAATTTAGGTATTGAATGTTGCATATAAACAACAAAAAGGAAGATTTTAGAAGTTAAAAAAAGTTGTTCAATCAAGCAACAAGCAAACAAATCCTGAATCTTATCAGTAGTTGTCCTAGTCTCTATATTCCTGACAATAATGAGGGTGTCAATGGGGGTTTATAGAATAGAGAATAATCGGCAAAAAATATAAAGAATAGAGAAAAATGGACCAAAAAATATAAAGAATAGAGAAAAATGGACCAAAAAAAATTACGAATAAAGAATAATGAGGTGCTATAATATAAAGAATAGGGAATAATGGACAAAAAGAATAAGGAATAAAAAAAAATGGCCTAAAAAATTAAAGAATACAGAAATAAAGGCCCCCCCATCCAGACCTTCAATAATGCTATATCATTGTCCACTGTCTTCAAATTACCTGAATATTTATAAAGAAATGAATGTTGAAATTTTGTAAAATAATGTTTTTTTCTGGATTGTGAATTAAATGTTCTGGACTGTAAAGAAAATGATCTCCCCTTTGAGTAGATAGTCATTTGATCAATAAAACCCATTAGAAAAATAATGATTATATATGTGTGCAGAATTGTGTTGTTTCACTACAAATATTCTTCTCCATTCTTCACATTCATGTATCTTAATATATATATATATACATGATATAGTGAATGAGTTATATATGATATTTTTCTATTTCAGTGAAAATAACAGAATTTGAACCTGAGAAAGAAGTTGATGCTTCCCCAGAGGAAACTACAACTCACACTTCTGAAGATGGAGTTGTATTAGGGAAAAGGCATAGGGTAAAGAAAAAGATGTACGATGATATCATTTTAATGTCTGATCTAATTCCAAAACGAAGACGGAGATCCAAAGCTGAAATCATAGCAGACAAAGAAGCTGCTGAAAGAAATGAGGCAATGCTTGATGATTTGTCTGATGGTGTTCCTAAGAAAAGGAGGAAGAAAAAGAAGAGTTTAGTGGAAGGAGAACTCAAAAGTGATCAGCCAGTGTCAGGTGAAAGTAAATCTCCAGCTAATCTTGCTGGCCAAAAAACAAAAGGGAGGAAAAAATCAACAGAGCTAATTGTAATAAACAGAAGTGGAGTAGTTGACAGTCCTTCAGACTTAGAATCTTCTACTTCATCTGAGAGTTTTAAGCACACAAAAGGAGATGCATTGGTTTCAAGACCTAAAACAACTGAAGAAAAGAGACAACTAGCTGAAATAGAGGCTTCATGGACATATCCCAACCACAATCAGGAATACCAATTTGAACATTTACAAAGTTATGCTGTTATTAAAAATGGGAGACGATTTTATAAATGTGATATATGTGCAGGGATATATAGACATACATTCAGTTTAAAGCGTCATTATTTAAGAAACCATATTAACTGCAGATACTTAAGCAAGGCAGACTTAGCAAATTGTTTAGTAGTTCCAGCTCAGCAATGGCTTGACATTAAGCATGCTAATGAGGAATCCTCGTTAAATCAATGTTTGGCTAAATTAGCAAGCGGAACATCTCTGTTGGAGAGCTATGGTGATCAGAGTGGTGTAAATACACCTGGACTTTACCGATGTTGTATATGTAACAAACTCTTTGATGTTCTACAAACTCTTACAGAACACACACAAGATCATCCCGCCACTCCTGACCAGAAATTCTTTGGCTGCGACCAGTGTAAGATGAGATTTACTTTCCATCAGAATTTGTTAAGGCACAAGCTTGTCCATGAAGATAGTCGACAAAAGATTAAGAAGAAGAAAGATAAAAACCCTCCGGCCATCATGGGTCACTTTAATCAGAATGATATCCATGGAAAACCATACAAATGCAGGCTGTGTCCAATGAAGTTCAAATATCAGTCAAACTTAGAAAAGCATCACCAAATCCATACATGTAAGTTAAATGCCAATGATACATGTATGATAAATGTCATTAATACATTTGTTTGTATGTTTATTTTTGGTATTTTCCCATATCATCAAGTTACTTGTCATTTATGGGCAAATCTGTATTTCACATTGTTTTTCCATTAAGGGAGCTACCATTTGATTTTTAGGGGGGGGGGGGATGAGCAACTTGGCAAAAAAAAAAAAAGGCAGGATGACAATTTATGTAAAAAAATGCAGGATAAACTAATAAAAAAAATGCAGGACCGAATAGAGTGGAAAATAAAAAGGCAGGACAGAGATTACAACTAAAAAAATGCAGGACAAAATTTTTCATCCTAGCCCCCCCCCCCCCATAAAAATCAAATGGTACCTCCCTAAATATACAGATTTTTATCCCCCCCCACAGTAGGCAATCGGGACATTAAGAATCACTCTTGCCAGTCCTTCTGTCTGTCCTTCCCATTTTCGTTTCTGCACTCTAACTGAAGTTTTAATCATCCAAATTTTATATAAATCATACACATTGCTAAGAAACACAACATGCAGACATAGTTTAAATTTGGGTAGTGAGTCATTTACAATTTTAAGAGTTATGCCTCTTTTTTAACTTGGAAAATTGCAAATTTTTGCAAATGTTTTCTTTTGTGCACTCTAACTTAAATTTGTCTAATGCAAATTTTGTGAAACTCAGACACAGTGCTATGAACCACAACACACAGACAGAGTGTGAATTTTGGCAGTATGTCATTAACCTTTCTAGTGTTATGTCCCTTTATAACTTGGTAAAACCAGAAAAAAAATTGTATAGGCATGTTTTGACCTTCCAAAACTAAAGATTTTAAACATGTTAAAGGGTTGTAAAAATAATTACTTGTTTAAGTAAATTTTAGAAGGTTAAGGGAAGAGTATTCAAACCTTGAACATGTTGAAAGGAAATCTTAAATCCTACAAATTTATTTATACAAATAAATATTATTTACATTCATGACTTGCATAAGTATTTCCTGACTGTCAAAGAAAACATCAAAATCGCTTCAATAGGTGATTACTGAAATTTTCAAATCACAAAAATAAGTGAAAATAAAATCATTTGTTTAAGGGCATACACTACAGTAGCAAGGGCAAATTGACTACATGAATTTGAAAGTATATATTTGCAAATGAAAACAAACATGTTGTTTATTTAATCACACAAAATTTAAAGCAATTGAAGACTGTTTACTTCTCTATCATCAATAATATATGACAGTATTTCATACAGCATTTTGATGTACGGCAGGAATAGCTGCCCAACGATGTTTAGGTTTTATTTTGACTTAAGAAAGGACAGTTTGACATGTTTATGTTTGGCACTTCAATAGGGGTAAATTTCAAACTAAACTGCCTGTTGTGCACAAATGGAAAAATTAGACATTTACAATCCCTTATAAACAGCAGTATACATGTATGTAAATTGCTAATTAAAGTACTGTAAATTCAGAAATTATTGCAAGGTTTTTATTAATGGGAATAATGCCACTGGATGAGTATGGCAATAATAAGAACTTGCATTATGATATCTGTTGCATGTATATGTATGCAGATTTTTCTGAAATTGCAATAATTAATCTCGCATTGGTGTCCATTCATAAAAAATCGCAATAATAAATGCACGCAATAATTTCTGAATTTACAGTAAGTAAAATTAGAAAATGAGGATAGTACTTCAAACTGTTTTAATATGACCTATACTGTTTCTACTTTAAAAAGACTATTAGGCATGTCATGGTAATCATTTTATGATTTAAATTAAAAATCAAAGTTGATTCTGAAGATTAATGAGATTTAAGAGCAAAACAAATGTACAAATTGACTTCAAAAAACATTCCCAGACTTTAAATTCTCCCTCATGAATTCGTCCGAATTTAAAACATTTCTATACTAAATACATGGCTAAATAAGAGACAAGTCATAATTTAGGTTTGTTTGCTCGCAGTAACTTTCTTATTTTCTCAGCGAAACAACATTTAATATCTTGTAAACATTTTACAAATTACAAAAATATACCACAATTCCATCTATATACATTCACAATGTCCTCTAAATACATATCAATACAAACATAACTGTAATATATTATGCAGAGCTTAACGTTAACTTCGTCTATCAAAGTTACTGGAGCACATCGATAATAATCAAACGTAATCAGGACTTATATATGCCTATAAAACCCCACCCGTACTACCGCCCTCGAAATATTCCTGCAGAAAACAACAGTAACATCAGACCACTTCTGATTTACATACTAGCCAAACTTGTACCACAAGTCTAAAGATAGAAATAGAATAGGGAAATTCCAAATATAACGGAATAGAAATAAATTACTTTTCCTAAATTATCATTTATTTTTTTTTTGTATTTTTCAGCTGACAGACCATATGATTGTTCCATATGTGGAAAGACCTTCCCTAATGAAACCAACCTGAAAAAACACATGGTGATTCACGTTGGCAGTACTGTCCATTGTAAATACTGTATACAGAAATTCAGTCATGTTGGAACGTTACGTAAACATATCCGTCTTGAACATCCAATTAAACACAAGGAGAGAATGCTTAACTTGCTAAAAAATCGGGACCAAGGAGCCACAGAAGCCGCCGTGAAATTACGTAAATTATTAAAACAGCTAAGAGATTTACAGGAGACTCCACTGGAGGAATTGTCTGATAGTAAAGAGGAAGACTGTAATATTGATGAAAGGATTAATACTAAAAGTGAAGGTAAATTTCTGGCTGACCAGGGTCAAGGTTCAAGGTTCAAATTTGCTTGTGTTGTTTGCAAGAAAAGATTTTCTGCATATGTTAACATGTGTCGACACAGGAGAATGGCACATAGAGATTATAAAGAGACTGCAAGTTCTAAAAATGATGAAAAATCAACACTAATACCAAACATGTTAGTAGTTCAGATTGATGAGAAATCAAAAACAATGTTTAAAACTGAGAAATCTAGCTTGAGATTAAAAGAACCTGAAAAAAAGAAAATGGAAGAGGAAGTCATAAACGAAACGCCAGAATCTATTCAAGAGTTTTATGCAAATGTGGCATCAAATATTGCCGACAATTTAAACAGTTACATAGATGGTGGACTTGACTCTCTAAGTAATTATAAATCTTACATCAATATAGACAACTATGATGCAGAACCAGAAGTAAAACAGGAAGAAGGAAGTAGTGATGAAAAGGCAGATGTCAAATGGGAACAGTTTAATTTCCCACCAAATTACAATTCAAAATTGATCTATGAGAATTTTCAATATATTGAACAAAAGTATGAAGATGAGATGAAAGCAGGTTTAGAGAATAAAATAGATAAATCTGTGTTTGATGATCTAGCACCTGCTTTATGTACAAGAAGGAGGAGTTCTTCTGAATGGATTGCATTGGCTGAATTTAGTAAAAATGATAGTAACCATGGCGACAGTCCGCTGATAAAGGAATATGGGGAAAACAAACAGAGCATTGATAACAGTGTGAAAGATAATGAAGAAAAAGAGCAAAGAGATAAACCCGTTGAATATGTAAAAAATGATAACAGTACAGAGAAAATAAGTGAGGCTGAAGTTTCCATAGACAGTACTGTTGAAAAGGAAGATGGTAAAATGTCTTCTGAAAAATCAGATAATACTAATGGAAATGAAAAAGACGAAGATAAAAATGCAAAGGAAACGGAAGAAGATAAAATGTCTCCTGAAAAGTCAAACAATACAAATGACCCCACTGTAGAATGTCTTTTATCAGAAAATGTGACAGTTACTGTCAGTGGCAATTCAAATGAAAACATATGTTTACAAAATAAAGATAAATCGGAGGAGATGGGCAGTGTAGATTGTGAGATTGTTATAAAACATAGTGCTGATAAAGAAGAAGATAAGTCTTCAAATTTGTGTCTGACTGCTATGAAAGATTGTTCTGAAGAGACAGAAAGTAGTAAATGTCTGGATGAATCGGTAAAGAGCAAGGCTTTTCTTACTCCAGATGTTCAAGAAGATACTATCAGTACATGTGATGGACAACATTGTGAAAAGGGATTTGAAGACACTTACCATGGAGAAACTGAATTGTCTAGGACAGTTTTGGACAGACTTGAAGGCGATGAAGTAAAAGAAGGATCTGAAAAAAATGGCCAGGAAGACTGTGCAATATCTCTGTGCAGTGTTCAGGCAGTCTCTAAAATATCAGAACAAACAAGTCTGGTAACACATGAAACATCTGAACACAATACTAAATCTTGTGAAGAGAGCAGTCCAACAGCCTGTGATGAATCACTGAAGTCTAGTGTCAATGCTCATCAGGGAGAGTCAGAACAAAATAAACAGACAGGACATAAACAAAATGGACAAACAAAACCTGAATCAATAAAATATTTTAATAAAAAACCTGGTGATGCCATAAAACATGCCGATTTATTCTTGATAGATATACAGAGACAAGGTCAAATGTTTAATGGTCAGGGGTTATCAAACGTTAAACTAATAAGTAAAGGAATGATGGAAACTAAACAAGATAGTATTACAAGGAAGGAGGACATAAGAACAGAGGAAAATTGTACACAGGTAAAACCTGGCATAAAGAGTGAATTAAATAGTTTAGTATGTGATGGAAAGGGAGATAATTCACTCAAAGTGAATCAAGAATTAAAGCAACAATTTTCAAACAAAGGTAATTCACTCAAAGTGAATCAGGAATTAAAGCAACAATATTCAAACAAAGATAATTCACTCAAAGTGAATCAAGAATTAAAGCAACAATATTCAAATGAAGATAATTCACCTGAAGTGAATCAGGAATTAAAGCAACATTATTCAGAGGAAGATAATTTAGATTTTGAACAATGTCTTCAGTTAATTGACGATAAAGATGAAAATAAAACAGAATTTCTTGAAACCAAAGAGGATACATTAAACTGTGATATGTGTCCAACCAATTGTTTAACAGAAAAATCTTTAGACAAGAAATCCACAGTAGGAAAAGAAAATGAAACGGCTGTCTTGAATTTAGAGAAAACTGAACCAGAACTTAATTTGACTCTTGGTGGTGCTTATAAACTTGATGCTAGTCAGCTAATTCAAAAATTAGCAAAAGAAGTTGAAAAAGCACAAAACACTTCTAATGGTCCGATAGATGACATTAATTTAAAAACATTAGCCCATATTGCTGATGCCCTGAAAGAGACCAGAGATTCTGAAAGATTTTCCATTCCAACTGTTGTTAATGACATCATGCAAAGCAATGAAATGAAAATGCCTGATGGTAAAAGTAGCAAACCTATTAGGGAAAATAAGCTAGATGAAGCAACGCAGGAAACATTAGATATGAAATCTAAGGTTAAATTTGAAGGAACAGATATAGATAGCAATGTTTGTAAGCAGAGAGAAAATAATGACCATGTAGCAACAAAGAAGAATGAACTTACAAGTGGAAGCATTATCAGTGAAAGTTCTGGAGTTATGTCCCTTGAACTGTTCACCGACTCAGAAAATGAGTCTGATGATATTTTTACTGGATTAGCTTTGTCAAAGAAAAATTCTACAAATAATGGAGAGGAAATGAAATTATTTGATACATGTGATGACAACGAATACACAGAACATAGTCCATTCCATGATTATGAACAGATACAGTTCGGAAAACATGGGATAATATTTTATGTTTGTTCCGTTTGTAAAAAACAGTTTGAAGATGGAGACCGACTTCTCAGACATCAATGGAAAAAACACCCTTCCATTTATTGCCATTATTTGCAAGTAGAACAAGGACATGAAATTGAATATTTGTTTTATTCTAAGCCTTGTAATAGAGGTGTACTAGGAGTCACTGGAAAGGCATTAGAAAGTGTTGGTGATCGGGGAACTTACAACTGTACACGTTGCCTAGGAACATTTAAAAGCGTGGATAGATTGAGGATTCATATAATTAACTGTGCTCCTAAAGTAGAGGGATCAGAATCGTCAGAAAATAAACCCAAATATAAGAAAAGATATCGTAAACATCATAAAGTGTTAATTAAGAATGAAGTCAGTTCTCCTGTGAAAATGAAGAAAGATACTTCAGTTTCTACTGATGTCAGATCTTATGACACTGTGTCTAAACCAAAAAAGCAGTATTTGATTGGTACAAAAAATTTAAAAACTTTTAAGATACCAGAAAAGATGGAGTTCGATCCTTTGAAGATCATTCGAAGGAAAAAAAGTGCAGAAATGGCTTATAATCCATTAAATCATATACGACGTAGAGAGCTGACGGAAATTTTAGATACACATCAGTGTAGAGGTTGTGGTGTAAAATTTAATTCTATATCATTATTGGAGAGACATGTGAAGAAATGTGATGGCAAGGACAAATTTAAGGATTTGAAGGTCATGAAATCCAGTGTGAATGACACATTTCACCAAAAACTTAAGCATACTTGCTTATATTGTAATCGTGGATTTTCTTATCCAAAAACACTTATGAATCATTACAAAGCATTTTGTTTAGTGAAAAAAGATAAAGTTTCTAAAGGGTTACTAACAGAGAATGACAAACAGCAAGAATCGGCAATGATGACGAAACTTAAACAACAAGAAGAAGACCGATGTTTCACAGACATTCCAGAGGAAAATGTCCAAGGAAAGAAGGGTTGGCCAAGAGGGATGAAAAGAAAATGGAGAAGGAAAAATCATTGCTGGACATATATTAAGAAGAGAAAGCCATCCACAGAAGAAACGAAAAATGACAAAATATCAGAAGAATCTAAAATTGATCATGCTGATAATGAAAATGAAGAAAAAGAATCATTGCAATGTAATTTGGAGTCAAATAAAGGCAAGAATAATAAATCTATACCTAAATCTGATTCTGTTACACCTAAGAAGTCTGTTAGTAAGATGAATTTACATTCAGAAAGTCCTAAGAAAGCTAGCAATAAAACTTATTCAGGTTCTGTTACTCCCAAAAAATCTAGCAGCAAAATTAAGTCAGGTTCAGAAACTTCAAAGAAGGATACTTGTAAGATTAATTCAGATTTGGTTACAGAAAACAAATTTTGCGATAAGAATAATCCAGAGTCATTGACTCCCAAAAAGAAAGCTGGCAGCAAGATAATTACAAATTCCTTATCTCCAAAGAAATATAACATTGTCAATCAAAAGACTGAAAAACAAACATCAGCGCAATCAGCACAAAAACTGAAAGGTACCAACAGTCCTTTATCATCTAAGAAAAAGCTAATTGATCAAAATGCAGAAGTTCGTCAAAAAAGGAAATATATTAAAAAGAAAATATTTACATTTGATGATGTCAAAAAGGTTCGTAAAATAAGAAAGAGTTCTGACGAGTCTATCAAGTCAGTTATAGATAGTGTTGCAAAATGTGACAATGTTGCCATGGAAACAGGAGCAAAATGTGATGACATTACAGTGGAAACAACAGCAAAAAGTCAGGTTGTAAAAAATAGTATAATAAAAAGGAAAAAGAAAGTTATGAAGGAATGTGACAATACAAAAAGTTATAACAACACTCAAGTGGTTGAAGAACCTGAAACAAAGAAGAGAAAATTGTCAGTAAAAAGCGTGAAGAGTGGTAAATTAAATTTATTTGAAGCTAGAATAAAGATGAAGTGTAAAAACTCACCTTCAAAGTCAAAAATGGTTAAACACACAAAAACACCAGAACCATCTAAGGGAATTAACTCAGTTAAAAGTTTAGAAAAAAAATCAAACAACAAAAGTAAGCCAAAAGTTCTATTTCATCCACAAAAAAGATTGAAAAAAATTAAAAGGGAACTTTCACAAAAACTTGAACTTGAAATGAAACAGCATAATGTATCAGTAGAAAATGAGGATAATTCTAGTATGCAGAAAAAATGGATGGAGATAAAATCAGATTTGACAAAAAACATAGAAACTGTTTTACAAAATGTGTCAGTTGACCTTGGAATTCCTATTTCACATGTTATTGATCATGAATTTCAGAACAGTTTAACGAAACAGCAAAGAATGAAGATGAAAACGAAGTTGAATGAAATTGGATTGCAATTATTTTCTGTTATCGAAAAGCAATGTAACAAGCCAAAACCGAGGAAATTATCAAAAAATAATGCAATGTTGAAATCAAATCAAAATCTTAATACTGAAGGCAATACAGACATTAAACAAGATAATCTAACAAAACAAGACATTAATCAGTCACAAGACACTGACTGTATTGTTTCAGAAAATTCTGGTCGTGAAACAACAGAGCCTTCAAGTGATGAAATGGGTTCAGGTAAAGAAACAGAGACAACAACTGCCCCAAAAACTTCTCAAAAGAAAACATTAATAAAGACCAATTCTAATCATGTAAAAGTGAGTAAAGGTAGTGTAAAAAATTCTCCAAAGAAAGGCATAACAAAAGAGGAGGATCTTGACAATGCTGGGAATAAACTGAATATATCTAAAGCTTCATCCAAGAAAAATATTCCAGATAAACCTCTGACATTGGCCACTGTCAAAACAGTGCCATCTGAGAAGGGAAATTTATTGCTGATAAAGAAAAAAAGTCTTAATGTAATAGTTTCACCAGACAAAGTGGTGACAGCAAAGTCAAATCAATTATTTCAAGGTCATGATGACCTGGATACAAACAAAACTAAGCATACTTTGAGTCCTAAATCAAATGAAAAAAATCTGGGAAATCTTGCAGACAAACAAAATTCTGAAAATCCTCAAAACAAAGACAGTAGTGCATTACAGAAGGAATTAAGTCTTCCAACAAATAATGTCAACACAATTCCAATATGTAAAAGTGATTTGAATATTAGTCCAAAGAAGTGTGGTAATCTGGGCACATCTTACAAATCCAAATCAGAGTTTCCTCCCTTTAAGTCAACACCTTCAAGTGAGGATGGCACAATACCGAAGAAAAAAGTCCCTATTTACAACCAAGAAATAAATACAAAAACAGTGGATAAGAAAGACACAACTGCTAAAACTCCACAAGCAAAAACTATTTTTCTGAAAGCTGTTGATAGTGATCTGAAGAGGAGACTTGAACTAGCCGGGCATATTCCATATACAAAGAGAAAACCAGACATAAAAATAGTGCAATGGAATACTAAAAAACAGACAGGGAATCAGTCAAGTGACAAGTCATGAAAGGGAACAGTTATGACAATAGAATTTGTATTGAAACTTGTCTAAAATGAGAGCAACATAATAATGCAGAATTTAAAAATTAATGTCATTAATTTTAATAAGAGGGTTAACCATGGTTTTTCAAGGTTGAATTGTTTACCCCTGTCAATGACAGACATATTATGGTATATCGTTGGCGAGTACTGGTTGAGGCCTTATGTGCTGACAGGCATGAATAGGATGAGTGAGTGAGTGAGATGTCCATCCATCAATCTGGTATAATTATGTCATACTCAAGGAGCCTATAAATGAATTCCTTCAATTTTTATCAATTACATGTATTAAGAATAGTGGTCTTGGAGCACTGTATACTTTTTGATATGTTTTCGCTTCTGTTGTTCAAGAGTAATGGGACTTTAAACTTCCAAAACAAAGTTATTTTTCAAATGATGCACCCTAAACTCAATGGTTTGCTTCAGTCTTAAGACACATTCTTTAAGGAGAAGGAAACAAAATTATAATATTATTATTGACAGAATAAATTACTTGTTAAAATATTAATGAAATCGTCCACGAGAATAAACAGGTATACGATGTCTACTTTCAACCATTGATTGCTCTTCGTTGCTGGGAACCTGTCTTAGAAAATTAAACAACTCTATTTGAACATTGCCCAGTGATAATTTCAGATAAACAGTGAAATGTTTTACATGTTTTAAGTTAACATAAAGACATATTAGGGAAGAGGCATTTGAATTTCTCTGAAAAAATTTTATTTTGGAATTTAAATTGACGATTAATGTAAACCTGCTTAGTCGGTTGTGTACTTCAATGTTAAAAATCAATTTTGGTAGATAATATAACATGAAATGAAATATTTTTGGTGTTTGTAGAAAAAATATTTGGGTCATGTTGGTTGTTTTTTGTTTTGTTTTTTTTTGCATTTAAAACTTGTATTATGTATTACTGTATGTATGTTGAACGAAAAATTAAGATGTATACATATTACTATTGTAAATTCAGAAATTATTGCGAGGTTTTTATTAATATGAATAACACGACTTCTTGAGTATCGCAAAAATAAGAACTCGCATTCTGATATCAAATACATATATCTGTACGTAGCTTTTCCTGAAATCGCAATAATCAAACTCGCATTTTTGTTAATTCTTCAAAAATCGCAATAATAAATGCACGCAATAATTTCTGAATTTACAGTAGATGTACTGTGTATGATTTACTTGCAATCACTGATCAAATGATGACAACAAATTGTGTATATTTCCTGATTATACAACATGCACAAGGTAGAAGATATTTTGAAGTTGTCTTACCTGTGACCTTTTCATGTGACATGTACATTAGTTGTTCTTGGCATATTTATGGTTAAATAACTTCTGTAAATTCAGAAATTATTTCAAGGTTTTTATTAATGCAAATAATAGGACTAGGTGAATATCACATTAATAAGAACTTGCATTCTCAAATATAATGCATATATCTGTATGCAGATTTTCATGAAAATGCAATGATTAATCTCACACTTTTGTCTAAAATCGCAATAATAAATGCACACAATAATTTCTGATATAACAGTATTGTGATCGAAACATTTCATAATTTGTTTTGAAATATTCCATTAGTAGGCATTACAAAATACCAAATAACTTCATTCACATCTTATCATCTATATGTAAATTTCTTATAATTTAAAGTAAGTGTCAGGAGGTTTTGATGCCAAATATTGATAAATAGAGAATATTATATGGCTTTTTCAATATCACATCCATATCAACATGATCAACCCATGACACCAATCCAAGAGCTCTGCTCAATGGATTAAATTGGTTGAGGGTTGATACGGTGCGTGATATTGAAAAAGCCATATCATATACACTTTATTATATATCTCAAGTAGATTTTTTTTCATGTGACGTGACGTCATACAGATTAGGGGTTTGATAAAGCCTTTGCAGGGGTGACTGATATCGATGAAGTGCCGTCATACAGATTAAAGAGATTAAAGTTGTGATAAAGCCTTTGCAACCGAGACTAATATCGATATCATCATGGATGGCTGATACAGCACAATTGCCATTGATCGTACTACACATACAATTTACATTTATTTATCAACTTAGGAAGTTTACTCTTTGTAAAGAAGAAAATTGAAAGATGTAAATTTGTTAATAATGAATACATTTGTAAATGTAATTAAAAAATATGGTTGAGATACAAGATGTATAATAAGATTTTAAAAAGCATCTAAATCATACAATTTGAACCTAATCACATATTTCCCCATCAATAAAAACAGTACTTTTCCATAATGTACCGGCATACATATATAGTCCATCTGGGTCCAGTCTGTTCACGATTTTTAATGTGCCACAATTCTCCATATCAGCTTCTTAAGTTTCTTCTTCAGATACTTTGACCTAAAAGCTATTTGTTTTTTACCAACCATTCACTCAAGCATTTTCAAGGGTTTTAAACATTATTATTCAACTTGACTGACTTGAACACTGCCTATTCATATTACATTTTATTTCACTAACTTCACCTATTTGTTTATCTGTATTGTAACTTCCTTTGATTTTAAGCTGTTAAGATTCTGTTGAATGAGATAATGTTGGATGTTTATTATATGTATGGATAGAATGGTAAATGTATTAATCAGATTTTTAAGTTGTTCCAAGTACATGAATGTGAAACATTTAATTAAATGTTAAATTTCCATGAATGAATTACAAATAGTGCATTGTTAAGGATAACATGAAAATATAATAAAATATTGATGTTAATTTTATTTGTTGTATGTTAATGACAAACACAGAGCTTGAGATTATTGGAATGAATTAAAAATTTTGTTTGAGAGTATGTCAATATATGGGTGTTATGTCTGCCATTCAAAGGGACATATTGTTTTAGTATGATTTCTTCTACTTTTTGTTTTTTTTTTATCTTTTTACTAAGACTTCTGATATTTGGTATGAAAATGTTTCTTCATAAGATGGTTTGAAGGCTGCAGTTACCTCATGACCTTCATTTAGCTGTGACCTTTGACTTATAGGTTGAATAATCAAATTCTGGAGGAATTTCTTGTCATGGTAATCAAAACCTCACAATAATTTCTGAATTTACAGTATTTTATTTCAAACAGAATTAAGGCTCTGTTACTTGTTCATGTTTCAGCACCAAAGCATTGCACTTAATTTGTAGGTGCTGTGATCCAGCCATGTTTTAGCTACAGGTAGATGGACTTTATTTGGATCTCATTTTCAATATTTTTTCTGTTTTTTTTTTTACTCGACTCATCATTATTATTTTCATTCCCTTTGTCTTGATTACACGGTGTATGTGTTTTTATGAGATATTTATCCATCTCGATAGAAATCAATCGAGAAAAAAACATTGATGTTAGACTTGAATATGTTTTTCACATGTTGATCATTGGTTTCGTTTGCCTAAAATAATACATCTTAATAAGTTGTGAAAATAACTCTATATTTCTTATAAATTGAATTTGTCAAGTGTTATTTTTTACTTGTCCATGGGCAAACCAGACAGACAAAAAAAATACTTGTTCGGGTGTTCAAATGTATGAATTGGTCGAATTGGCATCGGAAATCTATTTCCTGCTTTATTAGGAGAAATTGTTGATATAAAAATTTCCACATGCATCTAAATTTTCATATTTTTGTGGTAAACATCTTTCAGCTAACTTTAAACCATGAATAAAACCTATTATGAAAATAGTATGGATTTTCCTCATCGTGGAAGGCCATACAGTGACCTATACTTGTTCACATCTTTGCCCTTTGGTCTTAATGGATAAATGTTTTATTTGTAATCATACCACATCTCTGTATTTTTATGCTAGATAAAGAATAAATGTGAAATTTATTAATTTGAAGAAAACTTATAAAGCATTAGTCATAAAAATAATACTGATGTCGATAGAAATTTAACATAATGACGACTTTTCAAATTTGATAAGGTCAGATTAAATACGAATAAATTCGAACTTGATCTATAACTTGTCATGATAAATATAGATTCTACCACTGCATCGAGTGTGATACGATATTTATCCACTCGAGACAGTTAAATTTTCAAATTTAACTGTCGAGAGTGGATAAATATCGTATTACACGTGATTTGGTGGTGGAATCTGTTTCTCTAATGATTTTCAAACAATACGCAGGCAAATTTATTCTTTTCGAATGATCTGCAAAAAGATGTGCTCTTTCTATGTGACGTCATCAGGCATGGTCGCCTTTTTTCATGCCGTCACAACAGGAAATTCAAGAAAGCAAGAAAATTCGACGTCATAATCGGATTTTAACCAATGAAGAACTGAGATCAAACGAACCACACATTGATTAAATTTTTTTTATACAATGGGTGCAGAAAGGGATAAATTGACGAAGAATTAGAGAAAACTATATACCAAATATCAAATCAATATCTTCAAGAATGAAGAAAAAAGTGTGGAAAACTGATTTGCCGGACTGACGGATGGACAGACAGACGGACAGAGAGCAAACCTAAAGTCCCCTTCGACTTCGTCGAAAAAAAAGACCAAAACACAAAAACTTAACTTTAACCACTGAACCATGAAAATGAGGTCAAGGTCAGATGACACCTGTCAGGTGGACATGTACACCTAACAATCATTCCTTACACCAAATATAGTAGACCTATTGCTTATAGTATCTGATATATGGACTTTACCACGAAAACTTAACCTTGTTCACTGATCCATGAAATGAGGTCGAGGTCAGATGAAAACTGTCTGACAGGCATGAAGACCTTGCAAGGTACGCACATACTAAATATAGTTATCCTATTACTCATAATTACAAAAAATCTTAACTTTTTTTTCAAGTAGTCACTGAACCATGAAAATGAGGTCAAGGACAATGGACATATGACAGACGGAAACTTCATAACATAAGGCATCTATATAAAAAGTATGAAGCATCCAGGTCTTCCACCTTCTAAAATACAAAGCTTTTAAGCAGTTAGTTAACGACGCCACTGCTGGATCACTATCCCTATGTCGATCTTTCTGCGACAGAAGTCACAGACTCGACAATAAAAACTAACAATTTACAATATTTAAACTTTTCTTTAATCATAAAATCCTTTATAAAATCCTTTCAATGATAAATATGAACCAAACAATATAATTCACAGAATTTGTACATTTCCATGAAACATTATTTAATTGAACATTTCTAACACTAACAAAGTCCCTATGGTCACATGATTATTCTGTGTAACTTTTCCTTTCATCATATTTCCTTCTATGTCCTGCGGCTTCTTCCTTTCCACTGACATCAACTGGTATATAAAACCAAGCTTTATAATCCTGGTTATCTCTCATCATCCTCCTCACCTTCCGCGCTATAATTCTGAAAAAAAATGACAAAAAAAATATCTCAGTTATCTATTTCCAGTATTTGGGTTTGAGCTTTCCCCTTGAAGGAAAAGCCAAAAAACACTTCAGATGCCAGAAGGGAGTAGAGCAATAACTTAAATAAACGGCCCTGTAAAGGTGTATTTTTTAAACTTTAATTGTTTGAAAAAATCTAATGTGTATGTATTGTTAAATGTATCATTTTCAGTTTTTAATGAAATCAAACAAAGTTTAATTTTGGACCCTTTGGACCTCAATGTAGACCAATTTAAAAATGGGGCCCAATATCCAAAATAGTAATACATGTACAAGGTTAGAACCCCCAATAATAAAAGACTTTAAATTTATCCCATTGAAATTGGTTAAAAGATTTGTATTTATTTTCAACTGAAGATTTCTTGCTATTGCGCAATACTGTGCTATTGTGCAATACTGTGCTATTGCGTAATACTGTGCAATTGCGTAATACTGTGCAATTGCACAATACTTAGTTAATCTGTTATATATATAAAAAATTTGCCCCCCCCCCTTGGAAAAATTTGAAATTTCAATTGAAGAAAAAAAATATTTGAAAAAAAAATTTCAGAGAGTTCCATAAACTTTAATAAACAATTTACTAAAGTTTCATAAAAATGCATTTTTTAGTTATTGTCCGAAAACTGGAAAATCCTCCCTTTTGTAATGAATAAAACCCCATAAATCGGAAACATATTATCTGAAATTCATAAAAATCAAAAGGGATCTCATGTCGATAGAAATAAACAATTCACCAAAGTTTCTTGCAAATTGGTGAAATTGTTTTTGAGTTATTGTCTGAAAACTGGAAAATCCCCCCTTTTTTAATGAATAAAACCCCAAAACCCAGAAACGGTAAATCCTAAATTTATAAAAAACGAAACGGAGCTCACGTCAATAGATATAAACAATTCACCAAAGTTTCATGCAAATTGGTGAAATATTTTTTGAGTTATTGTCTGAAAACTGGAAAATCCCCCTTTTTTAATGAATAAAACCCTGTAACTCGGAAACGGTAAATCCGAAATTTATAAAAAACAAAAGGGAGCTCAGGTCAATAGATATGAACAAATCAGCAAAGTTTCATGCAAATTGGTGAAATTGTTTTTGAGTTATTGTCTGAAAACTGGAAAATCCCCCCTTTTTTAATGAATAAAACCCCAAAACTCATAAATGGTAGATCTGAAATTTATAAAAAACGAAAGGGAGCTCACGTCAATAGATATAAACAATTCACCAAAGTTTCATGCATATTGGTTAAAGCATTTTTGAATTAAATGATGACATGTTGACGACGGACGGACGGACAGACGGACGGACAGACGGACGGACAGACGGACGGACAGATGGTCAACGGTATACCATAATACGTCCCGTAAACGGGCGTATAAAAACAAGTAATTGTCTGGAATCTAGAAAAATGCTTGTTTTTGGCCCTAAATTCTAAACGTTAGGGGCAATTACCCTTAAACTCAAACCCAGCCTTCCCCTTGTGGTATGGAACCTTGTAGTACAATTTCAGAGAGATCCATACACTTAAACACAAGTTATTGTCTGGAAACTAGAAAAATGCTTGTTTTTGGCCCCTTTTTGGTCCCTTATTCCTGAACGTTTTGGGCATTGACCTCTAAACTCAATCCAAGCCTTCCCATTGTGATATGGAACGTTGTGGTACAATTTCAGAGAGATCAATACACTTACACACAAGTTATTGTCCTGAAAATTTTTTGTGGTCGTATAAAAACATTAGTCAGAAACGTTTAGGAGTAAGGGGCCAAAAATAAGCATTTTTGTAACTTCCAGACAATAACTTGTGTTCAAGTGTATGGATCTCTCTGAAATTGTACTGCAAAGTTCCATATCACAAAGGGAATGTTTGGATTGATTTTGGGGTAATTGCCTCAAAATTTTAGGAATAAAGGGGCAAAAAACAAGCAGTTTTCTAGTTTCATGACAATAATGTGTGTGTAAGTCTATGGATCTTTCTGAAATTGTACTACTAGGTTCCATATCACAAAGGGAAAGCTGGAATTGAGTTTGGGGGTAATTGCCCAAAACGTTTAAGAATAAGGGGCAAAAAGGGGGCCAAAAATAAGCATTTTTCTAGTTTCCAGACAATAACTTGTGTTCAAGTGTATGGATCTCTCTGAAATTATACTGCAAGGTACCATACCACAAAGGGAAGGCTGGGATTGATTTTGGGTGTAATTGCCTCTAAATTTTAGAAATTAGGGGCCAAAAAGGGGCAAAAAACAAGCATTTTTCTAATTTCAGGACAATAACTTGTGTGTAAGTGTATGGATCTTTATGAAATTGTACTAAAAGGTTCCATATCACAAAGGGAAAGCTGGGTTTGAGTTTTGGGTAATTGCCCTAAATGTTTAGGAATATGGGGCCAAAAAGGGGCCAAAAAACAAGCATTTTTCCAGTTTCCAGACAATAACTTGTGTTCAAGTGTATGGATCTCTATGAAATTGTACTGCAAGGTACCATACCACAAAGGGAAGGCTGGGATTGAGGTTGGGGGTGATGAATCATAAGGGAGTTCAAAAAATTTGGGGGGGATTTTTTTTCCTTTTTTTTCTTTAAAATTTTCCATTTTAAATTGGTTATTTCTGATTTATATATAAAAGCAAATAATAATGATATGGTTTGAATAGGTAAATTAAAAGTTTTTAAGTTTTTAGACCACATTATTCTGTGTCAGAAACCTATGCTGTGTCAAATATTGAATCACAATCCAAATTCAGTGCTGTATCAAGCTTGAATGTTGTGTCCATACTTGCCCCAACTGTTCAGGGTTCGACCTCTGCGGTCGTATCAAGCTGCGCCCAGCGGAGCATTTTATTCTACCTTTTTTCATGATTTCATACATGGTGCCACCACTTGACGATTGAAATTTTGGTTGAAAAGTAAAGAATATGGTAAATAAAGAATATTTCAGCAAACTTAATTGTTAATTTTGTTTAGAAAACTGTTCTTAATTTTTCACAATTAGGAAATAAATCTAGTTTTAGTCCAATTCACCCATATTAATGACATCACAAATGCATAATTACCGGTATGCAAAAATTAATGAAAATCTTCTTTATTAAACTGAAACAATTGGACATCTTTTCATGTTTTCATCAAATTTTCACAACATTATCGCAGTTAAAATATTTCTGATTCTTGGGGGCAAAATTATGAGTTAGTGAACCAACTCCTTTATGAAGTGATGCTGTAGATTATTTGTTGAATACCAATACCAGGAGATCAACAAATTAAAATGTTTTTAAGAATAACAAATTTTCTATAGGAATGTTTGCAGGATTTGGCAAAACCATGAAATCATGTATCCACGAAAATGTAAGTTTTCCTCAATCCACAAAAGTGGTACACATGAAAATGAATGAATCCACAGTATATTCATATTCCATACAATGATACAGCAATATTTGTGTGCATCATTAAGATTAAAAAGGGGCAGGGTTTAGATAAATCCCGCTACTTATGCATGTCCATGTCCATTCTTCAGTAGATGTCTTATCTAGATTTATTTTGCTATTAGGTTGATTGACTGATTGTTGGTTGCTTAATGTCCAGTGGTAAATATTTCATGCATGTTCAGGACGATTGTTATTTGGAGAAATTGGTGTTGATGGCAGACCTTTGGAATATCTGTTCGATTTATTCACAACCTTTTTAGACTTAAAGAGATTCAGAGGTAGACAAATCATATTGACACCTGTCTATTGTGAAGATTATATATCCCACATCTCCTTCCATTCATGAACAACAAATGACAAAATATAACATTACTTCTAATGATATTTTTCCTTGATTTTTTTTTATTTCAGCAACAGAGGAATCAATGCTTGATGACATTTGGGGTCATTACACATATTTCTTCAAGAATATCATATATATATTCTTTTGGAAGCTCGTCTATTATTAAAGGATCATTTTATTGATATTGTATTGTCTACTTCTAATAAAAGTAGTGGATATATGCTGGATGATTATGACGATGAATGGCTGTTTAGTGTCCAGTGATAAATTAAATGCATATTCAGGACAAGAACATGTTAATGTAATATGAACCCTGTTTTGTACCTGACTGACATGCTGGGTCAGTTTTGTACCTGACTGACATGCTGGGTCAGTTTTCAAACATGCTAGTTCACAAGTTAATCATCTGCAAGAATATGTCACCATGTCTTTGATGACATGCAGAGAACCAACAAATAACAAATCTAAAATCTTTCGCTGATATAGCTGGGAATCAAACTTTTGACATTCCATGCCCCCTTCTAGAAACATTTTGGCCATGAACTTTTAGATAATCATAATAAGTACAACAAGAGGCTCTCAAGAGCCTGAATCGCTCACCTGTATTTCAGAGGAGAAGATTTTTAAATGTTAGCAAACTTGATGAACAAATTGTGTAAAATTGTCTTTAAAGGGCAATAACTCCTTAAGGGGTCAATTGACAATTTAGGTCATATTAACTTTTTTGTAGATCTTACTTTGCTGAACATTATTGCTGCTTACTGTTTATATATATCTATAATAATAAGAAAAATAATAAGAAAAAACTGCAAAACTTTGTTAAAACTACCAATTCGGTGGCAGCAACCCAACAATGGGTAGTTCAATTCGTCTGATAATATCAGGGCCGATAGATCTTGACCAATAAAACAATTTTACCCCATGTCACATTTGCTCTAAAAGATTTAGTTTTTGAGATATAAGCCAAAAACTGCATTTGACCCTTATGTTCTATTTTTAGCCATGGCGGCCATGTTTGTCGATGGATACAAACTTCGGATACAATTTATAAACAAGATACCCTAAGGGACATTTAGTTAAAATTTGAAGGTAATTGGCCCAATAGTTTCAGAGGAGAAGATTTTTAAATGTTAGCAAACTTGATGAACAAATTGTGTAAAATTGTCTTTAAAGGGCAATAACTTCTTAGGGGTCAATTGACAATTATGGTCACATTAACTTTTTTGTAGATCTTACTTTGCTGAACATTATTGCTGCTTACAGTTCATGTATATCTATAATAATATTTTTTCAAAATAATAAGAAAAAACTGAAAAATTTTATTAAAACTACCAATTCGGTGGCAGCAACCCAACAATGGGTTGTTCTATTCGTCTGATAATTTCAGGGCCGATAGATCTTGACCAATTAAACAATTTTACCCCCCGTCACATTTGCTCTAAAAGAATTAGTTTTTGAGATATAAGTCAAAAACAGCATTTGACCCTTATGTTCTATTTTTAGCCATGGCAGCCATGTTTGTCGATGGATACAAACTTCGGATACAATTTATACACAAGTTACCCTAAGGAACATTTAGTTAAAGTTTGAAGGTAATTGGCCCAGTAGTTTCAGAGGAGAAGATTTTTAAATGTTAGCAAACTTGATGAACAAATTGTGTAAAATTGTCTTTAAAGGGCAATAACTCCTGAAGGGGTCAATTGACAATTATGGTCATATTAAATTTTTTGTAGATCTTACTTTGCTGAACATTATTGCTGCTTACAGTTTATATATATCTATAATAATATTCAAAATAATAACAAATAAAATGCTCCGCTGGGGCGCAGCTTGATACGACCGCAGAGGTCGAACCCTGACCAGTTGGGGCAAGTATGGACACAACATTCAATCTTGATACAGCACTGAATTTGGATTGTAAATAAATATTTGACACAGCATAGGTTTCTGACACAGAATAATGTGGTCTAAAAACTTAAAAACTTTTAATTTACCTATTCAAACCATATCATTATTATTTGCTTTTATATATTAATCAGAAATAACCAATTTAAAATGGAAAATTTTAAAGAAAAAAAAGGAGAAAAAAAAATCCCCCAGCCAAATTTTTTGAACCCCCTTATGATTCATCACCCCCAAACTCAATCCCAGCCTTCCCTTTGTGGTATGGTACCTTGCAGTACAATTTCAGAGAGATCCATACACTTGAACACAAGTTATTGTCTGGAAACTAGAAAAATGATTGTTTTTTGGCCCCTTTTTGGCCTCAAATTCCTAAACGTTTAGGGCAATTACCCCCAAACTCAAACCCAGCTTTCCCTTTGTGATATGGAACCTTGTAGTACAATTTCATAAAGATCCATACACTTACACACAAGTTATTGTCCTGAAACTAGAAAAATGCTTGTTTTTTTTTGCCCCTGTATGGCCCCTAATTCCTAAAATTTTGAGGCAATTACCCCCAAAATCAATCCCAGCCTTCCCTTTGTGGTATGGTACCTTGCTGAACAATTTCAGAGAGATCCATACACTTGAACACAAGTTATTGTCTGGAAACTAGAAAAATGCTTATTTTTGGCCCCTTATTCCTAAACATTTTGAGGCAATTACCCCCAAACTCAATTCCAGCTTTCCCTTTGTGATATGGAACCTTGTAATACAATTTCAAAAAGATCCATACACTTACACACAAGTAATTGTCATGAAACTAGAAAACTGCTTGTTTTTTGCCCCTTTTTGGCCCCTAATTCCTACAATTTTGAGGCAATTACCCCCAAAATCAATCCCAGCATTCCCTTTCTGATATGGAACCTTGTGGTACAATGTCAGAGAGATCCATACACTTACACACAAGTTATTGTCATGAAACTAGACAAATGCTTGTTTTTTGCCCCTTTTTGGCCCATAATTCCTAAAATTTGGAGGCAATTACCCCCAAAATCAATCCCAGCATTCCCTTTGTGATATGGAACCTTGTGGTACAATGTCAGAGAGATCCATACACTAACACACAAGTTATGTCTGGAAGTTACAAAAATGCTTATTTTTGGCCCCTTTTTGGCCCCTTATTCCTTAACAGTTGGTACAATAACCCCCAAAATCAATCCCCACCTTCCTTTTGTGGTATTGAACCTTATGGGAAATTTTCATAAAGATCCATTCACTTAAACTAAAGTTAGAGTGCGAAAACCAATGTGTCTTTTGACGACGACGACAAGGACGCCAACGTCATACCAATATACGACCGCAAAATATTTTTCCGGTCGTATAAAAACTGCAAAATTTTGTTAAAACTACCAATTCTGTGGCAGAAACCCAACAATGGGTTTTCGATTCGTCTGAAAATTTCAGAGCTGAGAGATCTGGACCAATTGAACAATTTAACCCAACGTCAGATTTGCTCTAAAAGCTTTAGTTTTTGAGATATAAGCCAAAAATTGCATTTGACTGCTATGTTCTATTTTTATCCTTGGCGGCCATGTTTGTCGAAGAATCAAAACTTCGGATACAATTTATAAACTAGATACCCTAAGGAACATTTAGTTAAAGTTTGAAGGTATTTGGCCCAGTAGTTTCAGAGGAGAAGATTTTTTAAATAGTTTACGATGACAGACGACGACAGACGACGGATGCCAAGTGATGGCATAAGCTCACAAAAGGGCCCCGGTGAGCTAAAAAGGGGATCATTTTCCCTCAAATTGGTAGCCAGAGATTTTGTTGCCTCTTTTGAAAACTTCCTCCACCCTTTTTCTGGTTGGGGAAAATATGATTAACTTTATTTGAAAATTCGGAAATTACTAATAAAAATGTTGTAGTTTGAATTGTGCTACATTTAAAATCGGAAGTGTAATTTTATCTATTATAGTTTTGACCAAAAATGGGTAAAAATCATCATTATATATAATTAAATTTTGAACTATTTGTAGATCTTTTCAATCAGAGCATTTTTGACAGTTACAGTTCTTCTCTATTTATCTACTTAAGTTTTGGCCAAAAATGCAAAAAAAAACCTGTCATTTAGGGCAATACTGTGGATTCATTTATTTTCATGGGTATCAATTTTCGTGGATTGAGGAAAAGTTACATTTATCTTGGATATTTGATTTCATGGTTATGACAAAGTCTGCATACAAGCCTATAGAAAACTTGCCTTTCATTGGACATTTAAATTTGAGGTTCACCTGTACCCATGAATTCCATAAAAATTGGTATCCACCAAATAATACCCACTGATGAATCCACAGTTTGTCCTTTAAGGAGTCGACCAAAGATTGTGACATTGTTCAAAAATTTGTAGATCTTGCTGATAATTTTTGCTCTTTAAAGTTTCTCTTTATCAATTATAGTTTGCTAGATAATAGGCAAAATGAAACAAATGGCAAAATTATCGTCATTTAAGGGCAATAACTCCTACAAAGAGTAGTCCGACAGTTTTGATGTAATGGACAGTACTAGATTTCAACATTCTGATATTTCTGTTTCGTCAGATTTTCTCTATCTATTGCAGTTTTCAAGATAATAGACAACACTTGCATTTTACACCTATGTTCTATTTTTAGCCATGTTATATTCTATTTTTAGCCATGTCGGCCATGTAGTTTGGATTATTAAACCCATTATTTAAACACAATACAGTAATGATAATTGTGGCCAAGTTTGGTTTCATTGGCCCAGTAGTTTCAGAGAAAAATATTTTTGTAAAAGATAACCAATGACAACGTATGACTAAGACAGAAGCCAAGCAATGAGAATAGCTCACTTGACCCTTTTCTTGAGGTGAGCTTATTAAGGAGTGATGAGAATAGCTAACAACTTGACCCTTTTCTTGAGGTGAGCTAATTAAGGAGTGATGAGAATAGCTAACAACTTGACCCTTTTCTTGAGGTGAGCTAATTAAGGAGTGTTAATATACCTCTGTTCGTTTTTTGCATTATCCATCCATTGGTAGTGGAGATTTTTTTCATATACTTTTTCAAGAGGTACTGTAAAATGTTTAGCTATGAAACGTCTTATGGGATGCTGAAATTACAAAATATTTTGTATATATATTCATTGATTGTTATTTTAGTCTTAGATGAATGATGTTTTTATTAGTTGTTATTGGCTTTGAATTAGCTGTCAGTAACTGCAAGTACTCTCAGATCTGTACTTGGTGTCTTTTTTGTTGTGGGGATGTATAAGTACCCTGCCATGTCTGGTCTGTGTTTTTGTCAGATGTATTTCTGTTTTGTATCGATCTGATGAGTTAAGCCCTTTTCAGCTGATTTTTATTGTTTGTTCTTATATTGTACTGTTACACCACTGTCCCAGGTTAGGAGAGGTTATGCGCCTTTGAACTAGTTTAACCCTGACACATTCTGTATGTGCCTGTCCAAAGTCAGGAGCCTGTAGTTCAGTGATTGTCGTTTGTTGCTTTATATCATATTTGTTTTTTCGTTCATTCTTTTGAACATAAATCAGGCTGTTAGTTTTCTCGTTTGAACTGTTTTACATTTGTCATTTCAGGGCCTTTTATAGCTGACTATGCGGAATGGGTTTTGCTCATTGTTGAATGGCATACAGTGACCTATAGTTGTTAATTTCTATGTTATTTGGTCTCTGGTGGAGAGTTGTCTCATTGACAATCATACCAAATTTTCTTATTTTTATATTGCATCAGATCTGATATTACAAAATACTTTAATAGCTATATCTATATAAATAACAATTACTTCAAATAATTTGAAATTCACTAGCCATTTCAGAAACTTTAGTGAGAAAGCTCACATTCACCATGCCCCCTATCAAATAATGATTTTAGACAGTAATATTGCATAAATCTATATTACCTTTTAAGTAACTTTGGCCTTGATCTTAGACCATGTGACTTGAAAATCATTAAGAATCTTCCTCTGAATCCTCTTATTAAATGTGGCCACATATCCAAGTAGGGTTACAATCCCATATGCAGTGTTTGATCTTAAGCATCCTGATACGACTTTTCTAAACTAATTTCAGTCTTTTTTAAATGTGACCTTGCATAGTAACCTCACAAAACATAGGGATTTCCTCTCATTATATATGACCATATATCCAAGTATGTTTTCAATCCCATTTGTAGTATTTGATTTAGAATCCAGAAACCACTACGTTTAGGAACTATGACCTTTAACTTCAACAAAGTGACCTCAAATTCAATAGTGATCTTACTTTCATTAAACAATATATCCCCTCCCCTCGGATGTACACAACTTCATAGCATTTTGGAATTATAAAAGTATGATTAAGAAAAATAAAATCCTTACAATATACTTGCTAATGAGATACATATACAGCAAAAAAATTCAGAAGCAACTGTATGCAAAAGTATTGACTTTGCTATCACTGTCAAAGTAAAGCATTTGTCTTGCTTCCAGACCTTTGTCTCAGGCAACACAAAAATTTGGTGTTACTTTCATGTTTTGGTAAAAATATAACAACCTTACAAAAATTTTCATTTTGGCATACACCAATAAAAGGCAAACATCCTTTTTGGTAATGGCCGATCCAAAATTGATTGTGAAGGGGGATGAGAGGCACTCAAATTAATTAATTGTGGGTTGTTACACTTTCCTTTAAATTTGTAAGACTTATTAGTAGAATGAAAATTTATATTACGGGAGGTTGGGGTCTAAATAAAGAGCCACCCATGCCCTCCATGCATTTAATTCTGGAACAGCCCTAAGCCAGACTAAGGCCATTTCTCGTATTCATAAACAGTAATCTCAAGTGCTGCAAAACTTGTGGTTTTCAATAAAAGCAAGGGGTTTGAATTCATAAAACAATATGTCTTACAGAAAACAGACAAACTAATGCCTTTTTGACATCTGATGATTCAACAGATTTATAATACTTTTTAATTTTCAAATTCAAGGGGTTAAAAAAGTCCCTGAATGTACATTTTATTCAAATTGAATTTGGGAAGCAAGGGAGAGTAAAAACCATTCATGTATATTGTATTACTTTACCTTTTCATATTCCCAATGATGAGGCTGGTAACCTTCAGGTATATCTGTTAATTCTCCCTGACCTAAATATAAAAGTACCAAATCTTACTTTCTTGGCAAAGGAACAATGAAATCATTCAGGTTGTAATTTATTTTACAAAAATATTTTTGTCTGATTGAAGAAATGTTAACGTCTTGCAGCAAATTTTACAATATTTGGTTTTATCTATGGATTCTATTTTACTGTTTGCTTTGGTAGAAATTAATCTGAAGATATGTTAAGAGGACCCCATCCTTTCTCTGCATCCACCACAAGCGAGCATTTTTTCTATACATGTATCTATTATAATTTTTGAATCATGACTGAAGGTGCATGGCCAAATAACCTCATGGAAATGTGAAATGCCAATGCTTATAAAACTGCATACCAAATACCATTGACTTATCATAAGAAGTGCCCTTCAAACTAACCTTACCTAAACACAAACTTTAACTTGTAAACTATGTAAAAGTTTCAAAGTCAACGAAACTATGATGAGGGGGTGGGCCCATATAATCTCCATGCAAATGGCAATACAACTGCATACCCAATATCACTGACTTAACACTAGTCTTTCATCTTAAACTGATCTTATGACAAATATTAAAATGTAAATAATGTAAAACATTCAAAGTCAATGAACCATGACCGAAGGAGGGGAGCCAAACAATCTCAATGGAAATGAAATGTGCCAATGCTAATACATCTGCATACCAAATGTCATTGACCTACCACTAATAGTTCCCCTTAGACTGACCTAATCACAAACCAATACATGTAAATTAAGCAAGTTTCAAAGTCAATCGACCATGACTGAGGGGACAGGGCTAAATATTCTCAGGGGAAATGAGATGTGCAAATGTTAGTACAACTGCATACCAAATATCATTGACCTACCATTAGTGGTTCCCTATAAATTTGACCTAATCACAAATTACTACATTGACGCTGCCAACATCCTCAGTAGAACACCTAAAATATCAAAATAGCCAAAATCAGGAGTTATTTCCCCTAACTAGTGATTTATGTCTTGCATTGACAAAGTCCAGTTAGGGGAAATAACTCCTGATTTTGTCTATTTTGACTTTTTGAAGATCTTGCCTTACTGATCATTTTTGGTATTTCAACATACTCTCTATCTACTATAGTTTTCAAGATAATGGACAAAGAAAAAATGGTAAAAATCAGCATTAAGCCAATTTAAGGGCAATAACTTATATAAGGATTTTGAACAAAATAGACACTATGCAGATCTTCACATTTTAAACATTTTCTTTATCTAATAATAGACAATACTTCCATTGTACCCATATGATCTATTCATAGCCTTGGTGACCATGCTGGTTGACCAGTGGGATCATTGTACACAATTTTAAAGCTAACTATACAAAGTTTGGTTTAATTTGGTCCAGTAGTTAAAGCAAAGATGATTTGTGTAAGAGTTTGACTAGGTGAGCTAAAATATAACAGTAATTAATACAAACCACCAAAGATGTTGAAGGCTGCTACTATCAATATACATGGTATAGCTCCTACCCAGAAAAAGAAATGCTGTAAAAAAAGAAAAATAAATTGTAAGTCATTCTGTTTGTAGTCACATTATCAGTACACAGGGGAGATAACTTACAAGTAAAGATAAATTGCAAGTCATTCTGTACCCTGCTATTGTAACAGCCACTATGTTCCATCAGTTACTTTGTTCCGGCGGAACTTTTCAACTAGATATTTCGTTCCTATGGAACTTTCCAACTAGTTGTTTTATTCCGAGTGCAGTTGAAAAGTTCCGGAAAAAGGAACTTTTCAACTTGCCACAAAGTTCCTCTTTGGCAAATAAGTCAAAACCGGAACTAACAAACTAGCCCAAAAGTTCCAACGGAACTTATCAACCAGTCACAAAGTTCCATATGGAGAATTGATGCAAAGAACCACATGAGGAGGGGGGTATTCTTCCCTCTCTTGAGGGTACTATGAATACTAAATTTGCATGATAATGCAACTTATTCCGTTTTATGTGAGCTATGAAATACAACTTTAATTTTGCATATTTGTCCCCAAAGAAACCCCTTTCAGTGCGTTGGGTATTCTTGTAAATTAATGATTTGCTCTTATATATACTGATACTCATTCTTCCCCCTCTTTCTACAAAAAAGACGAAATATGGTATATTCAGTATCTTGGTTTCCCTTTGAAAGGTTCAAATATAATATGTTGCGCTTTTACTTTGCATCAATTCTCCAAATGGAACTTTCTGCCTGGTTGATAAGTTCCGTTGGAACTTTTGGGCTACTTTGTTAGTTCCGGTTTTGACTAATTTGTCAAAAAGGAACTTTCTAACTAGTTGATATGTTCCGTTGGAACTTTTCAACTAGTCACTTTGTTCCGGTGGAACTTTTAAACCAGAGGAAGAACAAAGTAACTAGTTAATAAGTTCCTCCGGAACTTTTCGGCTAGTTATTTCTTTCTGACCGGAACTTTCCAACGTCGGAACTAAAGAATATTTACACTATCACTACACATGGTTCATAACCAAAACAAAAATAAAAAGATATAACTTAAATGTTACATGTATATAAATGGGATATTTCATAGAGTTATATGAAATTTTGCATGCAACTAGAGCATTTGGAAATGTTCTAGTTGCTGACAAAATTTTATACAATTCTGGAAGATTGCCCATTTACATTCCTTTTACCTAATAATAAAATCACAGGTACCTGAATAAGCAGCTCAAATGTCTAAAAGTAATATCAATGAAAAGATGGATTAATTATTTGTTGTTTGCTTAACCTCCAGGGGCAAACATTTCATACATATTCAGGATGATGAAAAATATAAGAGTTACATTCCTAATGTTTTTTGGCAGTCCCCTTTTATTCCCAGCTTATCTTTTCTTTTTAGAGCTTGACATATTGCTGTAACCTTGACCTTTGATCCAGTGATCTCATTTTCAATGTGGATTGTTTTCATTTAAAGGTGCATTATCCAACAAAGATTGGTAAAGATCAAATGATATCAACTGAAGGAACTTTTCCCAAACTTTCAGTCTATTTGTAGGCACTGTCAATCAAATATCAATAAATATATATATATATATATGTTCTTGTTCTTTCTAAGGAGCATTTTCAAGTGGTGGTGGTTGGACATATGGTTCTAAAGGCCTATGGTAAATTATCTATATATGCATATTCAAGCCAATAATGTTTAATGTGACCATGAACCCTGTTTTGGTCTACACTAACATGCTGAGCTGCATTTTTGTTTGTGCTACCCTTAGAACAACCAATCATTACAGGATTTCTCCAGGATATTTGTCTATTTTCAAGGATGGTATGAGAGACATAGATGAAGAAACCTATTAAAGTAACTTTTGACTTTAAGAAATAATAAATTGGAAAAGCTTACCTGTACAGAAATTATTGTACAGTGTGGAGTAACATGCTGAACAATTAAAAATTCCAGGTTTTATCAAAGATTGCAAGTTTGCAAAATTCAAGGACATTTCCAGGCCTATAAAATAACTGACATAAAATTCCAGGCTTTTAACAGTTTTCAAGGTAGTGGGAACCCTGTTACAAATTGTCCTGAGTTTATTGTAAATTAAATTTGCAGTAGTTATCCACACCAACTCCCTTAATGACCAGTTCTAAGCAAACATTAAGATATACCGGTAAGCAAAAACCATCACTCACAAAGTATCAGACTTGGAAAAGACAAATTTATAATCATCATATTGTTAATCACAAACAGATCAAACCTGAAAACACAAAGCATGAAAATGAGGTGGTATGATTGCCAATGAGACAACTATCAACCAGAGACCAAATGATATAAATGTTTATTGTTAGCAACAATAGGTCACTGTGTGGCCTTCAACAATGAGCAAAACTCATATGGCATAGCAAGCTATATAAAGGCCTTGACATGATAAAATGTTAAAAACTTCAAACAAGGATATTCAACATTTACAGATATTTACTACATGTACTAGTTATTTTCAAAAATTGTCTTTGCTGTCAACACGTTCAACAGCTTTCTTTCCAGACTAGTCAAAAATGTTTACTTTAAATTTCTGATTTTTCCTTATAATTAATATCATTCAAGGTTTTTTACTCATGTTGATAAGGGGGAATCATCTGTAGAGTATCTAACAAGAAATAAAGTGATATACACATAATATTCACCCTTCACAGTATTGTGCACCCTTAAAATCCTATATATCTATTATATAATACATACAAATTCATCTTTGAGAGTATTGTAGACACTTCTAGAAGCTGTTTTTATCATTGTAGGTGGTCCAGCATTTCCTCCCATATGTCTGACAACACCTGTAATTATACAGAATTTCACAAATTGTGGATTCATTAGTTATTAGTACTCTCGAAAATAAGTGATTCCACAGTGCCGGTATACAACAAGCTGTTGTATCAGCTCTACAACATTCAAATAAGAAGATTCATCATTCAGTATGATTGCCAATGAGACAAATTTCCACCAGAGACAAAATGTTTGTATTTGGTTTTTGATTTTCAAAGTTTCGCCTTGAGTACAATGAAGATATTAATTGTCTAAATGGGCATTCGGTGCAGTAAAATTGGTACATGTACTATAATTGCTTACATCTACTTTGAACTTTGATGGATAGTTTTCTCATTGGCAATTATACCACATTTACCTACTTTTATACTGTGTTATCATAATAGAGCCATTTTAAATGATTATTATCATGTGCAAGCAATTGTGAGTTATGCTTCAGACAGCAGCCCAAAAAATATGAAATCCATATTACATCTAGATAACATGTAGACCATATAGCAAATAAAATTGCAGACCATTTGAAGTGTTGTTGTCAATTTTGAGTATTATTTAAATGATGCATTCATGTGCATAATTTGACAACCCTGCATACCAAGGTATCCACTTCAGGGACTCTATCGAAATGATTCACACAGGCGTTGGTTCACCCCACGGAGTTTAATTTATGATTTATAATTTGTGTTCCTGTATGTACCTTGTACATGTTGTACTGATTTATAATGTGTGTTCCTATATGTACCTTGTACATGTACATGGTGTACTGATTTATAATGTGTGTTCCTGTATGTACCTTGTACATGTTGTACTGATTTATAATGTGTGTTCCTGTATGTACCTTGAACATGTTGTACTGATTTATAATGTGTGTTCCTGTATGTACCTTATGACAAATTGTGAGTTTACTGATTGAAATCAAATGTTGAATGTAGACAACTGAGATCTAAAATAAAGTAACACAATTTTATTGATCACAAATTGTTTTCTTAGTAGAAAATTATTATTATACATTTGATTACCGATCATGCCGATCAAAGGTACAATGTAACTGTCTTTTATTCATTTTTTAACAATGAATGAGTTAACTTTTATTTTGTCTGATACAATATGTACTCTTTGATTTTGCATGTACAGCAAAGAATATTCCTTCTGTGTCTTAATAAAGTTAAAAATATCTAATTAATTCCAAAATGATAAAATAGACAATAAGACAGAAACAAAAGTTTATTTTATCAGAGAAAACGGCAATTGCGATTATAATTTTCTTTCATTTTTGTTTGTTTCTATTGTCTAAATATCAACTCACATACAATAAAAAAAAACTTATTAAATTGAAAAATATATAATATCACCTTATCTCCTGTGTCTTTCCATCCCCAAATTTTTTTTTTTTTTTTTTGGCCAAAATTATTTTTTTCTAGATCTGTAAAATTTAATTCATTGAGGAAACAAGTTATGATAAATATAAGCGAAAAATGTATCTCCCTCTCCATTTAATAAAACCTTATTATTTTTACGATAAAATTTACAGTTATTTAGATTTTAAATCACATAGGGAATTTAATTGATTTCAAAGAGTTTGGACTCCTGTTGTGTCGTAACCATCCAACTTCTTGTGTACAAGGTGTCAATTTTATCCTCAGCAATTAGAACATCTTGTGATTTACCTGGTAATCAAATAATTCACACCTAATATACATGTCATACTGTCGGAGACGTGTATATTCAAATGAGAAATTAATTGCCATTTTCTCTTAAATATGTAATCTTCAAAATAAATAATTTTGTAAATATTAGCTGTTGCGATTGCAAATTTTTTTTAGTAGAAAATTATTATTGCAATCGATGATGGTATGTCATTAAATTGATTTCTTTCGTAAGCAAAAAACAATAAATTTTAACTTTTTCGCTTTATTTAAGTTATATAAGAATATATTTACTTATAGAAGTGTGCCTAAATGCAAATTAAGGAATAATAACAATGAATAAATAAAAAAACGTTGACCATAAACATGATACATGTGATATATCACTGACCATTTCACGACGCTTCAAATCACTTCACAACCAGAAAATCTCTCTTTCATGTGTCATTCTAAATGACTATTATATTTTGTTTGTTTAAATATTGTCAATAAACAATAAACAGTTTTTGAGGATCGTTTAGAATTATTCCTTAAATTTACACAGCCGTTGACGTTTTACTCTCCACATCATCGCAATTCTTGAACAATCTCATGGAGGTAATTAGGTCATATCATAAGGAAAATCCTTTGAGATTCTAATCCCGTTAGTATAATAGTCCCAGCTATATAAGTAAACAAAATTTGAGAAACAAGTGCCTGTGAACAACGGTAAAAGAAAGGACCACAGATTTGTGACTTCTATGACACCATATAGAATTGGACAAAGATCTGAAGATAGGACACAGATTTGAGGCTGGACATAGATTTGAGGCCTACATATATATATATAAAAGATTAAATTAATGAGTAACTGTGTGTGGACTGTGGGTCTAGCACATTCATGATCGATTTTAGAAAACCGTATCGCGTTTTATTTCAACAATCATACCAGTCTGTAAAGTCTTAGCTGCAAGAGAATTTTGTTGTGCCGAGAATGAAATTATTTGTTTTGTCCCTCTCACAATAGAGGGTCTTAAGCAACTAAGGACACCCATCGTATCCCTTTCCCAAGGTGATCCCTCAAGACTGGGAACAGTATAAAAAGTGTCCGCTACAAATGGTGAACGGGGACCAGTTACAATTATTGATAATCTACATACAAATAAAAATTTATATAAAATTTATTTAAAAAAAACATAAATTTCCATTTATTATCCAATAACATTATAAGAAATTATATTTGGTGTATCATGTTTTAATGATGTATTTTTTCTAAATTGTTTTTTAGTTTTTGATTGATTGTGTATGCTGAATACCACTTCTCTGGCAGTATGGCCGAAGTTTTTCGTGACGAAACATTGGCCCAGGAAGAAAATGGATTTACTAGGATCAATTATGGGCTCAATGGAAAAACCACCGTCATTAAATGATGCAGAAAGGAAAAAAGTCAAAGGTTTGTAGCTATGAACTTAGCTTTGCAACTTATTATGACCATGAAGTGAAAAGGTTATAGCTGTGAAAAAAAATGTATACTATGCCTATGGTGGCCATCTTGAATAGATCACTTGAAATCTATTCTTACATTGATGTTCTAAGGAACAAATTAGAAAGGTTATCTCTGTGTAAAGTAAGATTGAGTGCACACAATCTTGCCATAGAAAAAGCTTGTCATTTAGGTTTAAATTACCCAGCAATGAACGAGTTTGCAATGTATGTAAATCAGGTGAGGTAGAAGATGATGCATATTAATAATAATATTTCAACCAACCATTTGCATTTGGAAAATGCCTGTATCAATTCAAGTATATGACAGTTTTTTTCATTAAATCAAGTTGTGACGTCCAGACGTCATACACCTTATCGCTAATCCCGCTTGACCCGAGAATCTGTCCCGCTCGAACTTTTGACGTCATACAACAATCACTTTTCCATTGTGGCGTCAGACATTTGGTATTATGACGTCAAAATTTTACAGGAACTTGTTTGATGTCCAGTAATGGCGGACAAATAGCGATAAGGTGTATTGCATCAAGTCTGTGAAATTTAGGATGTCAATTAGAGAAGCCAATTCAAATACATGTATAGAACATCAATTTGAGAACAACAAAAAAGTTGTCGATTAGAGGGGTATAGAATTTGGCCATCCAATTGAAACTTTATTTCTTATTTCATTATGACTTCAGAATTGCACGTAGATTTGTGAAACTGACCAGTGATCGGGAAGGACGTGAGCCTTGCGCCAATTGCGCTTATCGACCAGAAATGGCGAATAGAGTGACAAATGTAGGCGCCCGCGTGGCACATGATATTTTTCACTTCGTTTTGAAACGTTGAGATATCGTCAAATGGATTTCCGATCGTATTTCGTGCTGCCATGTGTGACAGTACACAACTGTGTAGTGTTTACTCCAATGATAGGAGCACCTATATATTTTTGGGACGTCTCGGGTGTTTTCCTATGGTAATAATAGCAACATGCGGTATGACTGATTACCCAAATAATGTAATTAACCATCATTCATGATATCATTTTTTTTAAACAACTTTAAATTTGTGAAAATTGGCTAGTACAGGAGAGAATTCTTCTCTAATTATAATCTTTTAAGTAAGCTTGCTATTATTTCGATTGAAAAATCCAAAAGCCTTTTTTATGAATAGCATAGTATTTGTCTCCATAAAAGGGGCTTAACTGTCCTAGTCAATTTTTTTGGTCTTTGGCTCGTTTTGACATTTTGTAAACATGCCTTCAGCGAAGGTTTCAGCGAATTGTTGTTGTGTCTTATCAATTAATGTTGCTCTCTACTGTTATTCTTGTCATAGTGATGAAGTAATAATAATACAAGTGCAGAGGAAATGCCAGAAACGTCCTCTAATACGGAATGTCTGGAATAAGTATGGTATCGACGAAGACCCAAATTTAATGTAAAAAAAAACATGAACATGAACAAGGGAACAGTACCAGTTTTAACGTTTAACATTGTAAATAAAGGTTATTGTAAATAATGCCCGGTTTGGAAGAAGTTATTGTATATTCATTGAAATTGAAATTAAAAAATCACAGGAACAATATCCATGATATTAATTAGAATCATACTTGTAAGTACAGTGAAATATACACTTTTTTAATTTTTTTTTATTGTAAACGAATGGCCCACTCATTTGACAACATGGCCCATTAATTTAAAAAATGGCCCATTGAATTTATTTTTGGGGGCCCTGGGCCCATAGAGAAAAAATCCTTCCAGATCACTGACTGACGTTGATTAGAGACCAGACTTCTATCTGAGTCTTACATATATATGATATAGCAAGTTATCATCTATACAGTGTATTTAGAAGAAAAAAACACCATATACCCCATACTTTGCCAAATCATGCATTTTGCATGTGGTTCTCAATTTTAACTGATTACACATGTTTTTATGCCCCCGCCGTAGCGGTGGGAGGATTAAGTTTTACCCTTGTCCGTCTGTACGTACGTACGTACGTCTAAAAATTGGTTTCCGTTCTCTTACTTGAGTTTGCCTCAACCAAATGTTATGAAACTAATACGCAATGCTTATTACCACAAAACACAGATCAAGTTTGAATTTTGGTGGTGTCACATTAACCGTTCTAGAGTTATGGTTAAATGCCTCGTTATAAATGGAAAAATTGCAAAATTTTTAGTTTCCGTTCTCGAACTTAAGTTTGCCTCAACCAAATGTTATGACACTTATACACAATGCTAATTACCACAAAACACAGATCAAGTTTGAATTTTGATTGCGTCACTTTAACATATCTAGGGTTATGCCCCTTTATAAATGGAAAAATTGCAAAATTTTTTGTTTCCGTTCTCGAACTTAAGTTTGCCTCAACCAAATGTTATGAAACTTATACACAATGCTAATTACCACAAAACACAGATCAAGTTTGAATTTTGGTGGCGTCACTTTAACCGTTCTAGAGTTATGCCCCTGTAAAAATGGAAAAATTGCAAAATTTTTATATTCTTCTAAATATCAAGTAATTTTTAAAATTGGAGTTATCTTCCTTTGTCCATGATTATAATTGAATCAACTACAATCAATGCTTTATACAATGCAATGTTTAATTTTGACTTCCACTGATAAAACACAGATCAAAGTTATGCCCCTTTATAAATCGAAAGATTGCAAAATTTTTAGTTTCCATTCTGTAACCTAAGTTTGCCCCAACCAAACATTATGAAACCTATACACAATATTCATTACCACAAAACTAAGATCAAGTACAAATTTTTTGTTTCCGCTTTCTAACTTTAGTTTGCCTTAACCAAATGGTATGAAACTTATACACAATGCTTATTACTACATAATACAGATTATGTACGAAATTTGGTGGCGACACTTTTACCATTCTTGAGTTATGTCCCTTTATAAACATAAAAGTTGCTGAATTTTTCGTTTCCGTTCTCTTACATCAGTCAGGGGACTTACTTAAATGAGTGATTTTCTAAATCACTGATTCAAGTAACATTATGTACATAAAGGTTGGAAGTAAGAGTTGTCTTTCTTTAATAATCACCTATTTAAGTAGTACAAATTAATCACTAGACTAAGTGATTTAATTTTATTGTAGCTTTAAATATAGAATACTAATGATCCAGGAACTAATTATGTTGCTAAAATTATCAGAACCAACATCTGTGTTGATAGGATGACCGGGTCATGTCAGGTGATGACCTTGTACTAAATCTAGGATAATGACATAAAAATCACTTGTTCAAGTATCATACCTCAATTTCCTTCCAAAAAATCACTTCTTTAAGTATCATTATTAATAACCCCCACTAATTTCAACACCCCTGAACAGTGAAATTTTGATCGTGAACAGTAGAATTTTATTACATAATCTATAAGATGAAACCTTGAATTTCACAGGAAAAATACTCCCACTGCTGGGAAAAATCTGTTGAGAATGTATCAGTTCACTATGTAAAGCCATTTTTATAGCATTTTTTCAAGTAAAATAGAATTTGCAGCTAAATGATTGCATCAAAGGCATAAACCTTGATGCTTAAAAGAGGCAAAAAGTTCATTTTTTTCAATTTTACTAATGAAAAGATATTATCTAAAACTATGTGTTTAAAATTTTGGTAAAACTACAAAATCACAATTTGTGACAAAACTTCGAATTTGCTACTTTAATAAGTGATTTAAAAATCACTTATTTCAATAAGTCCCCTGACTGTACATGTCTTACTTTAGTTTGTCTCAACCAAATGTTATAAAACTTATACACAACTGTTCTAGAGTTATGCGTGTTTACAAATAGAAAAATTGCTGAATTTTTAGTTTCTGTTCTCTACTTAAGTAAACCTCAACCAAATGTTATGAGACTTACACACAATGCTTATTACTACAAAACTCAGATCAAGTTCAAATTTGGGTAGCATCACTTTTACCGTTCTTCAGTTATGTCCCTTTATAACTATATGATATGCATCATCTGTGTCCACATGTGGACACTATCCACATTTATTTTTATATTTATCAAACAGCCTTTTCATACGTTCAGTTGTCTGTTGATACAGATTTTCAGTGTTTAGTTATCACCATCATTTTTTCTGAAATCCTCAGGGTTTTTCACTTGATAGTTTATTATATCATGGTCGTTAATGGTTTCTGCTGTAAAGTTTAACATTTTTCATTTCTGGAAAATGCATGTCATGTGTTCAGTCAAAGGCATTCAGTTAGACCCATTAGTGGCCTTCGGCTGTTTTCTGCTCTTTGGTCGGGTTGTTGTCTCTTTGACACATTCCCCATTTCCATTCTGAATTTTATTTAGTTAAAGCCTTGTTTTGAAAAAAATAATCATTTAGTTATAATACAATGTATTTGACAATTTATCTGAAATAGTCAATATTTGATTTCATTTTTCTCAGTTACAGATCTAGAGTTTTTCATTTTAGACATTGAAATAATTTTCTATGCTGATTTTTATTTAGTTTAGAATGCCTTCAGTCTCTGTAATATTTCCTACAAGAGGTTTTGGGTGGAAGTGTTATCCTGCATCATTTTCATGATACCCTGCTCCAACTTGACTCATTTTGATGTCATTTGCCCCTTTACCTTATTTGTATTTCAAAGATCTGCTATCAACACCAAAGTCTAAATACCAAAAAAAAAAATTAAGATATAGCAAAAGACTGTCTCAATTGAGTTTATAGAAATTGGACATAGTTAAATGACAAAAACAAAAATTAACATGATTAAGGTATGGCAAAAGACTATCTCAATTGAGTTTGTAGAAATTGGACATCTAAATATGACAAAAACAGAGATACATGTACATGTACATATATAAGATACACCTTGAGGGTGTTAGCCTGAATGGGTAGAACACATAAATATTTATGCTAAGTTATTATTGTCACTGCAGAAAGATAGTTTTCAATAGTTTAGGAGGGAGGTTTTTCAGGGATTGGACCATTATTATTGAACAGCATGATAAATGCAGGGTATCCAATTTCATTTAACGACATCTTGGTGTAAGTATAAATAAAGATATTATGTTTATTAACTTTATATCAACATGATCAAAGAAAGTGCAAAACTGTCACTAACCACAGCAACTCAAAGTACTTCATGTATTTTATCTGTGGACTATGAAATCCTTTGTTCATTTATCTTTTTTTGTTTACAGTTAATGTTGTGCAGTTTTTTTATGTAATTATTTTTGATATTTTGTAGCTCAGAAAGCAATGATTGAAAAACAGCAAGAAGCTGATAAGAAAAAGTTGATTGTATTTAGAGAAAAGGTAGGGATATATAAATGCATGTAAAAAAACCATAGATATTAGAAATAAAACTGATAAGGGCTATTCCATCAAAATGTATGTGGGAGGGTGGGAAGGGACTTTCAAAATATCCCTACAACCAAGAACCATTTTTATGCCCCCGCCGAAACGGAGGGGGCATTAAGTTTTACCATTGACCGTCTGTCCGTACGTCCCAAAATTGATTTCTGTTCTCTAACTTTAGTTTGCCTCAACCAAATGTTATGAAACTTATCCACAATGCTTACCGTACCTACTCGCTTATTAGTCGGAAAATTGGGAGTAAAATTCATAATCCAGAGAGGGGGACCGACTAATAGACGAGATCTAGCGACCAGAGGAAAAATCCAAGCTTGAGAAAAGTGGTCAGGAGTGAATTTCCTGGTCAAAACTACGTTTTTGATTGCCAAACCTACATAAATCAATAAATAAAAAGTTTTTGTTGAAAATAAATGACTACTATACTGTCTTTGTGTTTTATTTGTTCTTTGGTAAACATTTTCTGCAAATTCGTGTTGAAATTCTACTGTTTCCGGTTTGTGTATTGATTTTCATGGTCACATGGTTTTCCTATAAACCCAAAAGAAGAGCCAAGAACCAAAAATGAAAAGGAGATAACAATGTACCAAATATGTGAAAGGATGTTTTCAGCGGTGTTATTGTGTCATTATTGTGATATCATGATATCAATTCAATGCTTATAAATCATATAATAATCAAAAAATAATTTTAAGATTCATTCCCAAAATCAAAATATTATTCATTAAAGTGTCTCAGGTAAACAAAAATTACACAATTGATTGACAAGCCAATATAATCCATTGATAACCCCAATTAAGAGACAAAGAGTTGTATTTACTAAATCTAATCTATCTAATCTAACTTATCTTTAAACCCCCTTTGTAGAGGAACCATATTTTCATATGTAGAACAGGTGCTGTCTTTATATACAGTGCTGCTTCTCCTTCCACCATTGGGCATCTAACCATATTTACACGCTCAGCTCAAGTGCTCTCTATATACAGTGCTGTTGTTCCCTCCACCATTCAACATCTGATGTGCTCATATTTACAGTGACGTCCTACCCCCACACAATTTGCATAAATTCCTTTATTTTACAGTTTAATTCACTTATTCCAGTAATTTGTGTGGTTCCCCCCACCACGCCCTTATCGATGTTGAGATAACGGAATCGCTTGTCTTATTGTCACTTCGCACTAGTTTTATTACTGTCCACATACCATCTTGTAACGGGCTATATGAAGTTGATATAGCAGGCGTCGAGTAAGGCGTTCTATTTGTACTACACTGACTGTGTGAAAACTATCAGTGATAGGTAAACAGATGACACTAATGAGTTGGAGTTAGTTATTTTAATATATTGATAAGCTTCACTTAATTTTTTTAATCCTTTAATCATCACAATATAATAAGAACAATTTAACATTTAACACCGAGTTATGTATGCTGTGAAAAATATTTTCATCAAGTGTTGATTGACTTTAAATTTTTCAGGTTCATATTGGTTTATATTCGCTTTTCTCAAACAATAGGTTGTTAGTCATACCCTACAAAATCATTGATGCATTACGTAAACAACACATGGCTAATCTAACATTTGAACAGTGAACAAAACAAGAGAAATGAATACATCTTTATTATTAACAGCAATATAAATTATCATGATGAGCATCAACTAAATTCAAACCAAACATTAATGCAGAAATGAATATTATTCCTGGATTTGCATTGGTTCTACCGGCGTTCAGTTACTGTCAGCTGGAAAAAAAATGCCCAAATTTTGTCCGACTTATACGAGGGTCAAGACTAAATCCTTAGAATTTGGAGCTGAAAAGGGCCCCCGACTTATAGTAGGATCGACTATTAGGCGAGTTTATACGGTATTACCACAAAACACAGATCAAGTTTGAATTTTTGTGGCGTCACTTTAACCATTCTAGAGTTACAATGTATAATAAAATTGAGAATGGAAATGGGGAATGTGTCAAAGAGACAACAACCCGACCATAGAGCAGACAACAGCTGAAGGCCACCAATGGGTCTTCAATGCAGCGAGAAACTCCCGCACCCGGAGGCGTCCTTCAGCTGGCCCCTAAACAAATATGTATACTAGTTCAGTGATAATGGACGTCATACTAAACTCCAAATTATACACAAGAAACTAAAATTAAAAATGATACAAGACTAACAAAGGCCAGAGGCTCCTGACTTGGGACAGGCGCAAAAATGCGGCGGGGTTAAACATGTTTTTTGAGATCTCAACCCTCCCCCTATACCTCTAGCCAATGTAGAAAAAACAAACGTACAACAGTACGCACAGTAAAACTCAGTTTAAGAGACGTCTGAGTCCGATGTCAGAATAGGAAACAAAAGAAAATAAACAAAATGACAATAATACATAAATAACAACAGACTACTAGCAGTTACTGACATGCCAGCTCCAGACCTCAATTAAACTGATTGAAAGATTATGTCTTCATCATATGAATATCAGGCACAAATCCCTCCTGTTAGGGGTTTATTATTATACTGTCATAAAATATATGAGAAGAACACAACCTGTGTCATGCCAACAACTGGTTTTAGAATAAATATGTTTAATTCCGATGCAAAGACCCTATAAGTGAATCAATATTAAAGCCAAAATATGCAATCTTTAATGACCTGACAACAGTATCGTAACTATATCCCTTCTTAATAAGTCTGTTTAAAGGTTTTGTTAGCTTTTGAGGTGAATACTGGCATTTTTGTGCTTTGTAAAGAATATTACCATAAAAGATTGGATGTGAAATACCCGAACGTTTAAGATGTCTGCATGTTGAGTTATAGTTACGAATGATGTCCTTATACCGATGATAAAATTTAGTAAATGTTTTGACTAGTTTATGATATCGAAAACCCTGGTGTAATAATTTTTCAGTAATATATAAATTTCTCTTGCTAAAATCTAATACGTTGTTACATACAGGAGCGAATCGTACAAGTTGAGATTTATAAACACCATAAGAAGGTGACAAGGGAACGTCACCATCTAAAAATGGATAATTAACGATGAAAAATCATCTCTTTTATCATAAATTTTTGTATTAAGCTTCCCGTTAATGATATAGATATCAAGATCGAGGAAAGGACAGTGGTCATTGTTAGTATTAGCTTTATTTAAAGTAAGTTCAACAGGATAAATTTCTTTAGTATACATACTGAAGTTGTCATTATTGAGAGCCAATATATCATCCAAATATCTAAAAGTATTGTTAAATTTTTGTATCAGATGTTGTTTCGATGGGTCTTTGCTGATTTTAGTCATAAATTGTAATTCATAACAATACAAAAACAGGTCCGCAATAAGTGGTGCACAGTTAGTCCCCATTGGAATTCCGATAACTTGACGATATACGGAATCTCCAAAGCGAACAAAAATGTTATCAAGTAAAAATTCAAGGGCAGATATAGTATCAAAGCATGTCCAATTGACATAGCTTTTTTGTTTGTTGCTTCTAAAAAATGATCTAAAAGAGTTTGAACATATGTATTCGCATTCCGACTTTTTAAATGCCCATTTAATTAGGTGTGTGAATTTTTTCTTAATAAGAATATGAGGCAAAGTGGTATATAGGGTAGAAAAATCAAAACTTTGAACAGATTCAAAATCACCAATATATGCATGCAATTTATCAAGTACTTCCAACGAGTTTTTGACACTCCAAAAGTAGTTAATTCCACTATTTTCAAAGGCCTTATTTGAACAATTTATTATCAGGTTTTTGATTGTACCAAGTGTACTGGTAAGAAGAATAGACAATTTAGTAGTGGAACAATGGCTTGAAGACGAAATAAATCTATATTTGTAAGGTGTTTTGTGTAGCTTCGGAAGCCAATACATAGTTGGGACTTTCATTGTATTTGGTTCTGCTTGTAAAGAAGTAGCTAATAGTTTATGTTTGTTACAGATATCGTTTTCTGAAAATGAAGTCAGTTGGAATGTTGGTGAATTCGTGATTTCCTTTTGCAGAACCTCAATGTAAAATTTACGCCAAACTATAATGATATTATTAGCAGCTTTATCAGCCGGGACAAAACAAATTCCTTGGCTAGTTCTTTTAGTTTATGTTTGTTTATGCCTCTTTATAAATGGAAAATTGCAAAATTTTTTGTTTCTGTTCTCTTAACTTTAGTTTGCCTCAACCAAATGTTATGAAACTTATGCACAATGCTATTTACCACAATACACAGATCAAGTTTGAATTTTGTTGGCGTCACTTTTACCGTTCTAGAGTTATGCCCCTTTACAAATCTCAAAATTGCTTAAATATTTGTTTCTGTTCTCCAACTTTAGTTTGCCTCTAACCAATTGTTATGAAACTTATGCACAGTGCTTATTACTACAAAACACAGATAAAAATTGAATTTTGGTGGCATCACTGCTACTGATCTAGAGTTATGCCCCTTTAAAAATGGAAAAATTGCTGAATTTTTCAATTTTGTTCTCTAATTTGAGTTTACATCAACTAAATGTTATGAAACTTATAAACAATGCTTATTACAACAAAACTCAGATCAAGTTCAAATTTGGGTAGTGTCACTTTTACAGTTCTTGAGTGATGGCCCTTTATAACGTTATATGCAAGCGGGGGCATCATCTGTGTCCCATGGACACATTCCCCATTAATCAGAAATAAGTTGATAAATCTATGCTTATAAATTGTCTTGATTGAAAGATATTGCAAAGTAAACATTTAAGTTGTTGCACAGGTGTAATCAGAAGTGATGACACTAATTACATGAATTAACCCGAGATCGAGTGATCAACAAATTAACGATCATCAGAGGTGTTAATTTGGCAATAAACGTCATGAACGTGTCACTTAAAGAAAACAGTTACATACAAAAAAGAAGCCATCCACAAAAATTGGTACCCCAAGTATAAAAGTACTTTCACAGTACCTCAACATAAAACTTTATTCTGAGAATGTGCCAGTGAACCGAGAAATTAGGGATCAAAACCGTAATTTGGCATATTACTTAGATAGATCACATCAGAATGAACATGTACATGTACATGTATACTACGGTTCAAGCAGAGTTGACCTCAACTTCATAGTAGAGATCATTGGCGACATTTAAAAACTAGATATGCTAAGGATTATTGTAGGGCAGTTATTTTCCTATTGTCCAAACATTTCCAAAGATGAAATTTTGATGAGTAGCATATATATATAAGTTTCATAGCATCATGAAAAATATTAATTACTTTTTTCAGATACAGAAAAGGATACATGAATTCATCAAAGATCCAAAGAAACAGAAGTACAAGTTTGAAGTGATGGACAAAGTCTACAGAGCTATTGTGTAAGTTACAAATGTATTTTCAGAGCTATTGGTTAGACTTTCTGTTTTTAGTATACTAAAAATATGATTCAATTATAATGTAATTAATTACTTTTCTAAAGTAATTGTATTGTAATTAATTACATTTTTTGATAAAAAAACTAAATGTTATTGTAATTTAATTGAAGCTGCAATGTAATTAAAAAGTATTTGACCCAGTGTCTGGTTTGGGAAATTCATTTTATTCCCGCTTTTTTTTATGTCCCTACCGCAGTGGTGGGGGCATTAAGTGTTACTCTTGTCTGTCTGTACATATGTATGTCCAAAAATTGGTTTCCGTTCTCTTTCTTTAGTTTGCCTCAACCAAATGTTATGAAACTTATACACATTGATTATTTCTACAAAACACAGATCAAGTTCGAATTTGGGTGGCATCACTTTTACCGTTCTCAAGTTATGCCCCTTTATAACGTATGCAAGCAGGGCATCATCTGTGTCTCATAGTCACCTTCTCTATTTTAATTTAAAATATTATTTCAGATCCCATACATTTTATTTTATGCAAGCTCATACATGTACATGTACAATAATTTTTATCTCATTGCCACATTAGCATAATGATAAAAGACATCGTGTTGCACAATATCTATGTAATTAAGGTAGATAGGGTGTCTTCCTCCATCTTGGATTTTGAAATACAAGAAAACAATCGGTCTAGATCTTTAATAAAAGGTGCAAATTTTGAGAGTAGTAGGTAATTCATGTGTAAGAATTTTCATTTCAATAGAGAAAATGACATATTTTATCATATTTATGGTTGTATTTTACAAAAAAACAGAATCATTTTGTTTGATTTTATTTTGCCAACTTTGCCACATAAGGGGAGGCAACTCAAATGTAAGGGCAGATAATTCAGATAAAGTTACTTTTACAATAGAATGTGTTAGGAATTTACCTATTTTATTATGTAGCAAGAAAACGGGTCCCGTGACCCCATTTTTTCTTTTTCTTATCTGAAAGCATACTATTAGAGCTATCTTCTCATATTTTATCTCAAAATTCTATGGTGTAGTTTTCGTTTTATGGCAGAAAATTGGGTTTTCCATGCATAATCTATACAAAATCTGTCAATTTTGCACAACCTGTAGCGTGAAAATAAGCCCCGTGACCCATTCTTTTTATTATTTTTTTTTAAAAAGCATGATATAAACTACATTTTGGCAAATTATTAAAAAATTCTATGGATTATAATTTAGACACCCCATCTACCTTAAGGATGTTGCTCAAAACTAAATATTAATATATATATATATAATGCCTATATAAAAGGTCACTCTAGGGACAAGAGAAAATTGACCTTATAAGACAGGTGACCTTCGAATTGAGTTTCAAAATTCATAAGTATAACAACAGCTAGACAAAAAGAAGGTGACCTGATATTTCAGGTTTTTGCTTAATATAGTTGACGTTTTTATAGCTAGTTCAACTGTACACAATCTTGTAAATTTAGCAGTAGCTCTTGAATATAAGATGTATTAAGTTCTCACACAAATATAAAGGATGATTTTCAGAAATATTACATGTATTTAATAGACAAGCAAACAATCTTGACAGTTGTAAAGATCTGAAGGAAAAGATAGGATATGATGTATCAAATAATGACATAAAATTACTGTGTGCACATGAAAAAAGCAATACACATGTTATAATTCTACATTTCTCATATTTTCAGCCATGAAGTGACAGATGTGGCGTATACACATGCTATAATTCTACATTTGACTTATTTTTAGCCATGAAGTGACAGATGTGGCGTATACACATGCTATAATTCTACATTTTACTTATTTTTAGCCATGAAGTGACAGATGTGGCGTATACAAATGCTATAATTCTACTTTTTACTTATTTTTAGCCATGAAGTGACAGATGTGGCATATACACATGCTATAATTCTACATTTGACTTATTTTTAGCCATGAAGTGACAGAAGAGGCGTATACACATGCTATAATTCTACATTTGACTTATTTTTAGCCATGAAGTGACAGATGTGGCGTATACACATGCTATAATTCTACATTTGACTTATTTTTATACGACCGCAAAAAAATTTTTGTGGTCGTATATTGGTATGACGTTGGCGTCGTCGTCCGAAGACGCATTAGTTTTCGCACTCTAACTTTAGTTTAAGTGAATGGATCTCTATGAAATTTTACCATAAGGTTCAATACCACAAAAGGAAGGTGGGGATTGATTTTGGGGGTTATGGTACCAACAGTTAAGGAATTAGGGGCCAAAAAGGGGCCTAAAATAAGCATTTTCTAGTTTCCAGACAATAACTGTGGAACGGTGTATGGATCTCTCTGAAATTATACTACAAGTTTCCATACCACAAAGGGATGGTTAGGATTTGCTTTGGGGGGTTATGGCTCAAACCGTTTAAGAATTAGGGGCAAAAAAGGGGGAAAAACAAGGTTGTCCTCATTAATGGACAAATACTTTAGTACAAAACATAATTTAAAGCAGTGTAAGGGAGATAAATCAAATACATCATTGAAATTATCTCCCTTACACTGCTTTTAAATTATGTATAAAGTAATGGTTAATGAACAATTAAGATAATTTAAAACAGTGTAAGGGAGGTAATCCAAATACAACGTTTTGGTTACTTCCCTTACACTGCTTTTAAATTATGTTTAAAGAAATGCATATTTATAAAGGAAGACCAGTAAAAATATCTGCAAATGTTGCATCTTTTTTTTTTACAACAAAATCCATATGAAAGATTTGACACTATATTTTAAATTCTATTATAAATTAGATTAAGTTAGCACTATGGTAAATTTAAATGGGTAATTATGGTTGCAAACTCCATTGGAAATTTGAATTGAGATTATGACCATATCTTGAGGGAAAGAATTTTTTGGGGGAAAAAAAGGGGGGGGGGGGGGGGGTGAAGAAATTGTGGGGGGTAAATTTTTTCTTATTTCAGATTTCAGAAATTAAAAAGAATTATTCTTCAAATATTATTTTTTTTTTCAAATTTCAAATATTGAAAAATTTCAAGAAGTAATCTTTAATTGGACAGTATGGCGCATTAGATTTGTAAAATCTTTGACCACATTTATTTATTTGTTATGCCGAATCTAACTGTGTATTTAGATTTTTAATTTTGGGTCCAGTTTTCAAATTGGTCTATATTAAGGTCCAAAGGGTCCAAAATTAAACTTTGTTTGATTTTAACAAAAATTGAATATATGGGGTTCTTTGATATGCTGAATCTAAACATGTATTTAGATTTTTGATTTTTGGCCCAGTTTTCAAGTTGGTCCAAATTGGGGTCCAAAATTAAACTTTGTTTGATTTCAACAAAAATTGAATATATGGGGTTCTTTGATATGCTGAATCTAACCATGTATTTAGATTTTTTATTTGTGGACCCCGCTATCAACTTTGTCCACATTGAGGTCAAAAGGGTCCAAAATTAAACTTAGTTTGATTTTAACAAAAATTGAATTCTTGGGGTTCTTTGATATGCTGAATCTAAACATGTGTTTAGATTTTTGATAATGGGCCCAGTTTACAAGTTGGTCCAAGTTGGGGTCCAAAATTAAACTTTGTTTGATTTCAACAAAAATTGAATAAATGGGGTTCTTTGATATGCTGAATCTAAACATGTATTTAGATTTTAGATTTTTGGCCCAGTTTTCAAGTTGGTCCAAATTGGGGTCCAGAATTAAACTTTGTTTGATTTCAACAAAAATTGAATATATGGGGTTCTTTGATATGCTGAATCTAACCATGTATTTAGATTTTTTATTTGTGGACCCCGCTATCAAATTGGTTCATATTGAGGTCAAAGGGTCCAAAACTTTGTTTGATTTCAACAAAAATTGAATTATTGGGGTTCTTTGATATGCCAAATCTAACCATGTATTTAGATTTTAAATTTTGGGTCCAGTTTTCAAATTGGTCTAAATTAAGGTCCAAAGGGTCCAAAATTAAACTTTGTTTGATTTCAACAAAAATTGAATATATGGGGTTCTTTGATATGCTGAATCTAACCATGTATTCAGATTTTTGATTTTTGGGCCCCGTTATCAACTTTGTCCACATTGAGGTCAAATGGGTCCAAAATTAAACTTAGTTTGATTTTAACAAAAATTGAATTCTTGGGGTTCTTTGATATGCTGAATCTAAACATATGTTTAGATTTTTGATAATGGGCCCAGTTTTCAAGTTGGTCCAAGTTGGGGTCCAAAATTAAACTTTGTTTGATTTCAACAAAAATTGAATATATGGGGTTCTTTGATATGCTGAATCTAAACATGTATTTAGATTTTAGATTTTTGGCCCAGTTTTCAAGTTGGTCCAAATTGGGGTCCAGAATTAAACTTTGTTTGATTTCAACAAAAATTGAATATATGGGGTTCTTTGATATGCTGAATCTTACCATGTATTTAGATTTTTTATTTGTGGGCTCGCTATCAAATTGGTTCATATTGTGGTCAAAAGGGTCCAAAATTAAACTTTGTTTGATTTCATCAAAAATTGAATTATTGGGGTTCTTTGATATGCCAAATCTAACCGTGTTTTTAGATTTTTATACGACCGCAAAAATTGAAAATTTTTTGGTCGTATATTGGTATGACGTTGGCGTCGTCGTCGTCGTCGTCTGGCGTCGTCCGACGTCGTCCGAAGACACATTGGTTTTCGCACTCTAACTTTAGTTTAAGTGAATGGATCTCCATGAAATTTTACCATAAGGTTCAATACCACGAAAGGAAGGTTGGGAGTGATTTTGGGGGTTATGGTACCAACAGTTAAGGAATTAGGGGCCAAAAAGGGGCCAAAAATAAGCATTTTTGTAACTTCCAGACAATAACTTGTGTGTAAGTGTATGGATCTCTCTGACATTGTACCACAAGGTTCCATATCACAAAGGGAAGGCTGTTATTGATTTTGGGGGTAATTGCCTCAAAATTTTAGGAATTAGGGGCCAAAAAAGGGGCAAAAAACAAGCATTTTTCTAGTTTCATGACAATAACTTGTGTGTAAGTGTTTGGATATTTCTGAAATTGTACTACAAGGTTCAATATCACAAAGGAAAAGCTGGAATTGAGTTTGGGGGTAATTGCCCGAAACGTTTAGGAATTGGGGGCCAAAAAGGGGCCAAAAATAAGCATTTTTCTAGTTTCCAGACAATAACTTGTGTTCAAGTGTATGGATCTCTCTGAAATTGTACTGCAAGGTACCATACCACAAAGGGAAGGCTGGGATTGAGTTTGGGGGTGATGAATCATAAGGGGGTTCAAAAAATTTGGGGGGTGGATTCTTTTTTTTTCTTTTTTTCCTTTTTTTTTTCTTTTAAAATTTTCCATTTTAAGTTGGTTATTTCTGATTAATATTTAAAAGCAAATAATAATGATATGGTAGGAGATACACACCAAACAGGATGTGTAAATTATTATATAATAAGTATTGTGCAATAGCAAGAAATTTTCAATTGCACAGTATTGCACAATTGCAAGAAATCTTCAATTGCACAGTATTGCGCAATAGCAAGAAATCTTCACCACACAACATGTGTTTAGATTTTTGATTATGGGACCAGTTTTCAAGTTGGTCCAAGTTGGGGTCCAAAATTAAACTTAGTTTGATTTTAACAAAAATTGAATTCTTGGGGTTCTTTGATATGCTGAATCTAAACATGTGTTTAGATTTTTGATTATTGGCCCAGTTTTCAAGTTGGTCCAAGTTGGGGTCCAAAATTAAACTTTGTTTGATTTCAACAAAAATTGAATATATGGGGTTCTTTGATATGCTGAATCTTACCATGTATTTAGATTTTTTATTTGTGGGCCCGCTATCAAATTGGTTCATATTGAGGTCAAAAGGGTCCAAAATTAAACTTTGTTTGATTTCATCAAAAATTGAATTATTGGGGTTCTTTGATATGCCAAATCAAACTGTGTATTTAGATTTTTAATTTTGGGTCCCGTTTTTATACGGCCGCAAAAAAATTTTTGTGGTCGTATATTGGTATGACGTTGGCGTCGTCGTCGTCCGGCGTCGTCGTCGTCCGAAGACACATTGGTTTTCGCACTCTAACTTTAGTTTAAGTGAATGGATCTTTATGAAATTTTACCACAAGGTTCAATACCACAAAAGGAAGGTTGGGATTGATTTTGGGGGTTATGGTAATAACAGTAAAGGAATTAGGGGCCAAAAAGGGGCCAAAAATAAGCATTTTTGTAACTTCCAGACATAACTTGTGTGTTAGTGTATGGATCTCTCTGACATTGTACCACAAGGTTCCATATCACTAAAGGAATGCTGGGATTGATTTTGGGGGTAATTGCCCTCAAATTTTAGGAATTAGGGGCCAAAAAAGGGGCAAAAAACAAGCATTTTTCTAGTTTCATGACAATAACTTGTGTGTAAGTGTATGGATCTTTCTGAAATTGTACTACAAGGTTCCATATCACAAAGGGAAAGCTGGGTTTGAGTTTGGGGGTAATTGCCCTAAACGTTTAGGAATTTGGGGCCAAAAAGGGGCCAAAAAACACATTTTTTTCTAGTTTCCAGACAATAACTTGTGTTCAAGTGTATGGATCTCTCTGAAATTGTACTGCAAGGTACCATACCACAAAGGGAAGGCTGGGATTGAGTTTGGGGGTGATGAATCATAATGGGGGTTCAAAAAATTTTGGGGGGGATTTATTTTTTTTTCATTTTTTTTCTTTTTTTCCTTTTTTGTTTCTTTTAAAATTTTCCATTTTAAGTTGGTTATTTCTGATTTATATTTAAAATCAAATAATAATGATATGGTAGGAGATACACACCAAACAGGATGTGTAAATTATTATATAATAAGTATTGTGCAATAGCAAGAAATTTTCAATTGCACAGTATTGCACAATAGCAAGAAATCTTCAATTGCACAGTATTGCGCAATAGCAAGAAATCTTCAATTGCACAGTATTGCGCAATAGCAAGAAATATCCAATAGCACAATATTGCGCAATAGCAAGAAATTGTCAATTGTACAGTATTGCGCAATAGCAAGAAATATTTAATAGCACAGGATTGTGCAAAAGAAGATACTTCCTATAAATTGCTTATTTCTTGACCAATTTCAATGGGGTTTTATTCTTGATTTCATGGGGTTCTTTAATATGCTGAATATAACCGTGTATTTAGTTTTTTGGATTTTGGGCCCCGTTTTTAAATTGGTCCACATTGAGGTCCAAAGGGTCCAAAATTAAACTTTGTTTGATTTCATCAAAAATTGAATTATTGTGGTTCTTTGATATGCCGAATCTAACTGTGTATTTAGATTCTTAAATTTTGGTTCCGTTTTCAAATTGGTCTACATTAAGGTCCAAAGGGTCCAAAATTAAACTTAGTTTGATTTTAACAAAAATTGAATTCTTAGGGTTCTTTGATATGCTGAATCTAAACATGTATTTAGATTTTTGATTATGGGCCCAGTTTTCAAGTTGGTCCAAATCGGGGTCCAAAATTAAACTTTGTTTGATTTCAACAAAAATTGAATATATGGGGTTCTTTGATATGCTGAATCTAACCATGTATTTAGATTTTTGATTTTTGGGCCCCGTTATCAACTTTGTCCACATTGAGGTCAAAAGGGTCCAAAATTAAACTTTGTTTGATTTCATCAAAAATTGAATTATTGGGGTTCTTTGATATGCCGAATCTAACCGTGTATTTAGATTCTTAATTTTTGGTTCCGTTTTCAAATTGGTCTACATTAAGGTCCAAAGGGTCCAAAATTAAACTTAGTTTGATTTTAACAAAAATTGAATTCTTAGGGTTCTTTGATATGCTGAATCTAAACATGTATTTAGATTTTTGATTATGGGCCCAGTTTTCAAGTTGGTCCAAATCGGGGTCCAAAATTAAACTTTGTTTGATTTCAACAAAAATTGAATATATGGGGTTCTTTGATATGCTGAATCTAACCATGTATTTAGATTTTTGATTTTTGGGCCCCGTTATCAACTTTGTCCACATTGAGGTCAAAAGGGTCTGAAATTAAACTTTGTTTGATTTCATCAAAAATTGAATTCTTGGGGTTCTTTGATATGCTGAATCTAACCATGTATTTAGATTTTGGATATTGGACCATAATAGGTGAATGTCCAATTTAAAATTTTTAAGTTCTTAGACCACATTCAATCTGTGTTAGAAACCTATGCTGTGTCAAATATTTAATCACAATCCAAATCCAAAGCTGTATCAAGCTTGAATGTTGTGTCCATACTTCCCCCAACTGTTCAGGGTTCGACCTCTGCGGTCGTATCAAGCTGCGCCCTGCGGAGCATTTTATTTAAATTGGTCGACATTAAGGTCCAAAGGGTCCAAAATTAAACTTAGTTTGATTTTAACAAAAATTGAAATTTTGGGGTTCTTTGATATGCTGAATCTAAACATGTGTTTAGATTTTTGATTATGGGACCAGTTTTCAAGTTGGTCCAAGTTGGGGTCCAAAATTAAACTTTGTTTGATTTCAACAAAAATTGAATATATGGGGTTCTTTGATATGCTGAATCTAAACATGTTTTTAGATTTTTGGCCCAGTTTTCAAGTTGGTCCAAATTTGGGTCCAAAATTAAACTTTGTTTGATTTCAACAAAAATTGAATATATTGGGTTCTTTGATATGCTGAATCTTACCATGTATTTAGATTTTTTATTTTGTGGGCCCGCTATCAAATTGGTTCATATTGAGGTCAAAAGGGTCCAAAATTAAACTTTGTTTGATTTCATCAAAAATTGAATTATTGGGGTTCTTTGATATGCCAAATCTAACCGTGTTTTTAGATTTTTAATTTTGGGTCCCGTTTTTTAAATTGGTCTACATTAAGGTCCAAAGGGTCCAAAATTAAACTTATTTTGATTTTAACAAAAATTGAATTCTTGGGGTACTTTGATATGCTGAATCTAAACATGTGTTTAGATTTTTGATTATGGGACCAGTTTTCAAGTTTGTCCAAGTTGGGGTCCAAAATTAAACTTTGTTTGATTTCAACAAAAATTGAATATATGGGGTTCTTTGATATGCTGAATCTAGCCATGTATTTTGATTTTGGACATTGGACCATAATAGGTAAATTAAAAAAATTGAAGTTCTTAGACCACATTCTTTCTGTGTCAGAAACCTATGCTGTGTCAAATATTTAATCACAATCCAAATTCAGAGCTGAATCAAGCTTGAATGTTGTGTCCATACTTGCCCCAACTGTTCAGGGTTCGACCTCTGCGGTCGTATAAAGCTGCGCCCAGCGAAGCATTTTATTAATTTTGGGTCCCATTTTTAAATTGGTCTACATTAAGGTCCAAAGGGTCCAAAATTAAACTTAGTTTGATTTTAACAAAAATTGAATTCTTGGGGTACTTTGATATGCTGAATCTAAACATGTGTTTAGATTTTTGATTATGGGACCAGTTTTCAAGTTTGTCCAAGTTGGGGTCCAAAATTAAACTTTGTTTGATTTCAACAAAAATTGAATATATGGGGTTCTTTGATATGCTGAATCTAACCATGTATTTTGATTTTGGACATTGGACCATAATAGGTAAATTAAAAAAAGTTCTTAGACCACATTCTTTCTGTGTCAGAAACCTATGCTGTGTCAAATATTTAATCACAATCCAAATTCAGAGCTGTATCAAGCTTGAATGTTGTGTCCATACTTGCCCCAACTGTTCAGGGTTCGACCTCTGCGGTCGTATCAAGCTGCGCCCAGCATTTTATTAGCCATGAAGTGACAGATGTGGCGTATACACATGCTTTAATTCTACATTTGACTTATTTTTAGCCATGAAGTGACAGATGTGGCTGGGTTGACATCATTTTCCTTTGGAGTAGAAGAACAGGATAGATATGTGATGTGTTGGAAAAAGGTAGAAGACGCTCTCTTTTAATCAATACTGTAAAAACATCAGCATTTATAAATGCAAATCTTCTACCATCATGACCATACAACCAGCTGGGCCAAAAAGGAAAATTTTAGTGCTTAGGGTTTCCTGCAAAATCAATATAGGGTTGCTATGTCATGATTTTTATGCCCCAGCCGAAGTGGAGGGGACATTAAGTTTGACCCATGTCTGTCCGTACGTACGTCCCAAAATTGGTTTCCATTCTCTAACTTTAGTTTGCCTCAACCAAATGTTATGAAACTTATACACAATGCTTATTACCAAAAAGCACAGACAAAGTTTGAATTTTGGTGGCGTCACAGTTCTAGAGTTATGCCCCTTTACAAATGGAAAAATTGCTGAATTTTTCGTTTCCATTCTATAACTAAAGTTTGCCTTTACCAAATCTTATGCACAATGCTTGTTACCACTGAACACAGATCAAGTTTGAATTTTGGTGGCGTCACTTTTACCGTTCTTGAGTTATGCCCCTTTATAAATGGAAAAATTGCTAGATCTGTAGTTTCCGTTCTCTAAGTTTAGTTTGCCTCAACCAAATGTTTCATAAACTTATACACAATGCTTATAATCACAAAACGGTCTTAACTACATGAATCCTGCATCTGTATGTGGAAGTTGACTCCTGCATATTTACAAGCGGGGCATCTGTGGCCCATAGACACCGTTCTAGAGTTATGCCCCTTTACAAATGGAAAAATTGCTGAATTTTCAATTTTATTTTTCATCACAAGCTGGAAAATATTTTGCCTTCTCCAAATATTTTCTGTGTTATATTACAAAGTTTAACCAGAAGTTTACTATTTGTAATCAGTAAATGAAAAAAGTATAGATGATTTACATGGTTTTATATATATAAAAAAAAAAGGAAGTGCCCAAAAACAACTAACATTTTTATGAATAATAAAGAGTACTGTTTAAGTCAACACTATGAGATTCTTGGACCTTACAGTTAAATGTGGCCGACTTCATCGTTACAGACCTTCTAGCAACTGTGAAATAGCAATAATAGAACTATTATTTCAAAGGGTTTTAATGAGATTATTGTCTCATGTACAATCGTGCAATATCATTTCTTGAACAACTAATCAACTGAAAATTAATCATCAAGATTTTAATCCCATTATCATCTTACTATGCTGTCTTGCTCAACAAACAATGTGCTCAACAAACAATGTTTAAACAAATAAAGATAATACCAAAGAGATCTCTAATAGTATTCTGATAAGTCATCTTTAAATGAACAAATCCAATAAATATGTCTTATTTGGGCTATTGAAGAGAAATATGTATGGGAGGGTTGGGCACTACATAATATTTTCTTTTGAAAATAGGGGTGGAAGTAAATAGAATTTGTTACATATGAAAATAGAATTATGGGTGGTAGAGTATTAAAAAATTTTTGTCCAAAATAGTAATTTAGTAAATAATTTGTCTCTGAAAAAGGGGTGTACCAGTAGATATCAAGGGGGCGATAAAAAAAGTTACAGAAGAAAAAAAAAAACAATACTTCATCGTGTTCATGTACTTACTTTTACAGGAATTTGCTCCTACTGATGAAGAATTACAGGCTTACAGGAAAGGGGAGGAATGGGACCCAGAAAAAGCCAAATTAGCAGCTAAACAAAAGGTAGGTACAGGAACAAGATTAAAGTTAAAATTGCATTCAGAAAAGGTAGAATTAGCAGCTAAACAGAGAATTAATGACCTATAGGTGTAAGCAACTATAGGTCATAGTACAGCCTTTCAACAGTGAGCACAACAAATACCGCATAGCATGCTATATAAAAGGCCCAGACATGACAAAATTTAAAACAATACAAAATTGACAAATGAGAAACTAACAGCCTGATTTATGTACAAATACAAGAAATGAAAAACAAATATGATATACAGCAACATACAACAACTGAATTACATGATCCAGATTTGGGACAGGCACATACAGAATGTAGCAGGTTAAAACATGTTTGCGAGACCTCAACCCTCCCCTAACCTTGTACAGTTGTGTAACAGCACAACATAAGATCAAACTATAAAATTCAGTGGAAAAGGGCTTGACTCCTCAGATCAATACAAAGCAAATTAAAAATCATTTTGAAGTTAAACTTTGATTATTCTTTATCCATTAAACAGGAATTAGATAGATTACAGGCAGAGGCAGATTCAAATAAAAAGACAGAGAAAATTATTCCAGCATCAAATTATAAAGATAAATATAAACATCTGATTGGAGATGAATCAGCCAAAGATGGAGCTAAACAGACACTAGCTAACAGATCATATGGTTTTGGTAAGAACAGTAGTCTTTCATTTCTTGGTTGCTTGATCTGAGTAGTGGATCTACAGTGGTCACAAGGCTGCCAACTCTGTGATTCCTAGTTCAAAATCCACACTAGGCAGATGTTCCACTCTGATCTTTGTTGGATTTTTGGTTTTCCTGTAAAGGTCAGTGGTTCTCTCCAGGTACTCCAGCTTACTGAACTTATAAAAAAAACTAGCTGCCACAGTATAGCCAAGTGTGCTGATAGTGGCATTAAGCACAAACAATCGATCTGTGAAAACACCTTCTTATTTTGACAAAATTGAACCAAATTGGCTGCTAAAAGCGAATTATTATTTCATTATTTCACTTTTATTAATGATTGAACCAAACTAAATCATATACTAATTTTTAGCTCACCTGGCCCACAGGGCCAAGTGAGCTTTTCTCATCACTTGGCGTCCTTCGGCGTCGTCCGTCGTCGTTAACTTTTACAAAAATCTTCTCCTCTGAAACTACTGGGCCAAATTTCACCAAACTTGGCCACAATCATCATTGGGGTATCTAGTTTAAAAAATGTGTCCGGTGACCCGGCCAACCAACCAAGATGGCCGCCATGGCTAAAAATAGAACATAGGGGTAAAATGTAGATTTTGGCTTATATCTCTGAAACCAAAGCATTTAGAGCAAATCTGACATGTGGTAAATTTGTTTATCAGGTCAAGATCTATCTGCCCTGAAATTTTCAGATGAATCAGGCAACACATTGTTGGGTTGCTGCCCCTGAATTGGTAATTTTAAGAAAATTTTGCCGTTTTTGGTTATTATCTTGAATATTATTATAGATAGAGATAAACTGTAAACAGCAATAATGTTCAGCAAAGTAAGATCTACAAATAAGTCAACTTGACCAAAATGGTCAGTTGACCCCTTAAGGAGTTATTGCCCTTTATAGTCAATTTTTAACCATTTTTCGTAAATTTTTGTAATCTTTTACAAAACTCTCCTCCTCTGAAACTACTAAGACAAATTTAACCAAACTTGTCCACAATCATTATTAGGGTATCTAGTTTAAAAAATGTGTCTGATGACCCCCCCCGCGAACCAAGATGGCCGACATGGCTGAAAAATAGTACATAGGGTAAAATGCAGTTTTTGGCTCATATCTCTGAAACCAAAGCATTTAGAGCAAATCTGATGAAGATAAAATTGTTCATTAGGTCAAGATCTATCTGCCCTGAAATTTTCAGATGAATCGGACAACCCGTTGTTGGGTTGCTGCCCCTGAATTGGTAATTTTAAGGAAATTTTGCCGTTTTTATACGACCGCAAAAAAATTTTTGTGGTCGTATATTGGTATGACGTTGGCGACTTCGTCGTCGTCGTCTGGCGTAGTCCGGCGGCGTCCGAAGACACATTGGTTTTCGCACTCTAACTTTAGTTTAAGTGAATGGATCTCTATGAAATTTTACCACAAGGTTCAATACCACAAAACGAAGGTTGGGATTGATTTTGGGGGTTAAGGTACCAACAGTAAAGGAATTAGGGGCCAAAAAGGGGCCAAAAAATAAGCATTTTTGTAACTTCCAGACATAACTTGTGTGTTAGTGTATGGATCTCTCTGACATTGTTCCACAAGGTTCCATATCACAAAAGGAATGCTGGGATTGATTTTGGGGGTAATTGCCTCAAAATTTTAGGAATTAGGGGCCAAAAAAGGGGCAAAAAACAAGCATTTTTCTAGTTTCATGACAATAACTTGTGTGTAAGTGTATGGATCTTTCTGAAATTGTACTACAAGGTTCCATATCACAAAGGGAAAGCTGGAATTGAGTTTGGGGGTAATTGCCGAAACGTTTAGGAATTGGGGGCCAAAAAGGGGCCAAAAATAAGCATTTTTCTAGTTTCCAGACAATTACTTGTGTTCAAGTGTATGGATCTCTCTGAAATTGTACTGCAAGGTACCATACCACAAAGGGAAGGCTGGGATTGATGATGGGGGTAATTGCCTCAATATTTTAGGAATTTGGGGCCAAAAAAGGGCCAAAAAAACACATTTTTCTAGTTTCCAGACAATAACTTGTGTGTAAGTGTATGGATCTCTCTGAAATTGTACTGCAAGGTACCATACCACAAAGGAAAGGCTGGGATTGAGTTTGGGTGTGATGAATCATAAGGGGGTTCAAAAAATTTGGGGAGAGGGGGATTTTTTTTTCTTCATTTTTTTTCTTTTTTTCCTATATTTTCTTTTAAAATTTTCCATTTTAAGTTGGTTATTTCTAATTCTTATTCAAAAGCAAATAATAATGATATGGTAGGAGATACACACCAAACAGGATGTGTAAATTATTATATAATAAGTATTGTGCAATAGCAAGAAATTTTCAATTGCACAGTATTGCACAATAGCAAGTAATCTTCAATTGCACAGTATTGCGCAATAGCAAGAAATCTTCAATTGTACAGTATTGCGCAATAGCAAGAAATATCCAATAGCACAATATTGCGCAATAGCAAGAAATTGTCAATTGTACAGTATTGCGCAATAGCAAAAAATATTTAATTGCACAGTATTGTGCAAATGAAGATACTTCGTATAAATTGCTTATTTCTTGACCAATTTTAATGGGGTTTTATTCTTGAATTCTTGGGGTTCTTTAATATGCTGAATCTAACCGTGTATTTAGTTTTTGGATTTTGGGCAATTTTTTAAATTGGTCCACATTGAGGTCCAAAGGGTCCAAAATTAAACTTTGTTTGATTTCATCAAAAATTGAATTATTGGGATTCTTTGATATGCCGAATCTAACCGTGTATTTAGATTCTTAATTTTTGGTTCCGTTTTCAAATAAGTCTACATTAAGGTCCAAAGGGTCCAAAATTAAACTTAGTTTGATTTTAACAAAAATTGAATTCGTAGGGTTCTTTTGATATACTGAATCTAAACATGTATTTAGATTTTTGATTATGGGCCCAGTTTTCAAGTTGGTCCAAATCGGGGTCCAAAATTAAACTTTGTTTGATTTCAACAAAAATTGAATATATGGGGTTCAATGATATGCTGAATCTAACCATGTATTTAGATTTTTGATTTTTGGGCCCCGTTATTAACTTTGTTCACATTGAGGTCGAAAGGGTCCAAAATTAAACTTGTTTGATTTCATCAAAAATTGAATTCTTGGTGTTCTCTGATATGCTGAATCTAACCATGTATTTAGATTTTGGATATTGGACCATAATAGGTGAATGTCCAATTTAAAATTTTTAAGTTCTTAGACCACATTCATTCTGTGTCAGAAACCTATGCTGTGTCAAATATTTAATCACAATCCAAATGCAAAGCTGTATCAAGCTTGAATGTTGTGTCCATACCTGCCCCAACTGTTCAGGGTTCGACCTGTGCGGTCGTATCAAGCTGCACCCTGCGGAGCATTTTATTGGTTATTATCTTGAATATTATTATAGATAGAGGTAAACTGTAAATGGCAATAATGTTCAGCACAGTAAGAACTACAAATAAGTCAACTTGACCAAAATGGTCAGTTGACCCCTTAAGGTGTTATTGCCCTTTATAGTCAATTTTTAACCATTTTTCGTAAATTTTTGTAATTTTTTACAAAAATCTTCTCCTCTGAAACTACTAAGACAAATTTAACCAAACTTGTCCACAATCATCATTAGGGTATCTAGTTTAAAAAATGTGTCCGATGACCCCACCCGCGAACCAAGATGGCGGACATGGCTAAAATATAATACATAGGGTAAAATGCAGTTTTTGGCTCATATCTCTGAAACCAAAGCATTTAGAGCAAATCTGATGAAGATAAAATTGTTCATTAGGTCAAGATCTATCTGCCCTGAAATTTTCAGACCAATCAGGCAACACATTGTTGGGTTGCTGCCCCTGAATTGGTAATTTTTACGAAAATTTTGCAGCTTTTGGTTATTATCTTGAATATTATTATAGATAGAGTAAACTGTAAACAGCAATAATGTACAGCAAAGTTAGATCTACAAATAAGTCAACATGACCAAAATTGTCAATTGACCCCTTAAGGAGTTATTGCCCTTTATAGTCAATTTTTTACAATTTTCATAAATTTTGTAAATTTTTGTAAATTTTTACAAAATATTTTCCACTGTAACTACCAGGCCAAGTTCATTATAGATAGAGATAATAGTAAGGAGCAAGAATGTTCAGTAAAGTAAGATCTACAAACACATCACCATCACCAAAACACAATTTTGTCATGAATCCATCTGTGTCCTTTGTTTAATATGCACATAGACCAAGGTGAGCGACACAGGCTCTTTAGAGCCTCTAGTTTTCATAACTCGTAGCTAATGCCCCTTTAATGATATGATTTACCAAAAAGTAGTAAAAAATACATTACATATTTTATGCAAAAATCATTTTCAATCATCAATAAATCTTTCTATGTGAAAACTTGCTATATTTTCTATGAATAGAGTTAATTTGATATTAAAACATGAACAAATTGATCTTTTACAATATTTAAAATTTCGTTTGAAACAAATTGTACCATGTGACCTGAAACTTTTGCAAACAGCACCTAAGCTGTTGTCCCTCCTCTGGGATGTTAATTGAGGAAAAATTGTATTTTCTTTGATATTTGATTTTGTATTTATTTTTATAATCACTGCAAACAAATCTATGGATCAATGTTGAGTTGTTTTAGATGAATGAGTGACAATTGGCATTATTGATGTCATTGAACAATTGTTTCTTACTATGACATAATAACATAAGCATTGCCACATAGGAAATGTACAGGGAAATTTTTGATTTTGAAAGTTGTCTTTAGGAAATTTGTACTTTCCTGAACACTTAAAATCGTGGTTTACCTTTACACATGAAATCCACAAAAGATAGTACTCACGAACAATAATGAATCTACATTATGAGAGATCACAGAAACATGTAATGACTATACGGTATGGGTTTTTCTCATTGTTGAAGGACGTACGGTTGCCTATAATTGCTTACATCCACTTCATTTGAACTTGGGTGGTTAGTTGTCTCATTGGCTATCATACAACATCTCCTTATTTTCATAATGATCCTATCTTTTCTATTCACATACTGGTAATTTTTATACGACCGCAAAAAAATTTTGTGGTCGTATATTGGTATGACATAGGCGTCGTCGTCGTCCGGCGTCGTCGTCTGAAGACACATTGGTTTTCGCACTCTAACTTTAGTTTAAGTGAATGGATCTTTTTGAAATTTGACCATAAGGTTAAATACCACAAAAGAAAGGTTGGGATTGATTTTGGGGGTTAAGGTACCAACAGTTAAGGAATTAGGGGCCAAAAAGGGGCCAAAAATAAGCATTTTCTAGTTTCCAGACAATAACTGTGGAATGGTGTATGGATCTCTCTGAAATTATACTACAAGTTTCCATACCACAAAGGGATGGTTAGGATTTGCTTTGGGGGGTAATGGCTCAAACCGTTTAGGAATTAGGGGCAAAAAAGGAAGAAAACAAGGTTGTCCTGGTTAATGGACAAATACTTTAGTACAAAACATAATTTAAAGCAGTGTAAGGGAGATAAATCAAATACATCATTGAAATTATCTCCCTTACACTGCTTTTAAATTATGTATAAAGTAATGGTTAATGAACAATAAAGATAATTTAAAACAGTGTAAGGGAGGTAATCCAAATACAACGTTTTTGTTACTTCCCTTACACTGCTTTTAAATTATGTTTAAAGAAATGCATATTTATAAAGGAAGACCAGTAAAAATATCTGCAAATGTTGCATCTTTTTTTTTTACAAAAAAATCCATATGAAAGATTTGACACTATATTTTTAATTCTATTATAAAATAGATTAAGTTAGCACTGTGGTAAATTTAAATGGGTAGTTATGGTTGCCAACTCCATTGGAAATTTGAATTGAGATTATGACCATATCTTGAGGGAAAGAATTTTTTGGGGGAAAAAAGGGGGGGGGAGGATAAAAAGAAATTGTGGGGGGTCAATTTTTTCTCATTTCAGATTTCAGAAATTAAAAAGAATTATTCTTCAAATATTATTTTTTTTTCAAATTTCAAATATTGAAAAATTTCAAGAAGTAATCTTTAATTGAACAGTATGGCGCATTAGATTTGTAAAATCTTTGATCACATTTATTTATTTGTTATGCCGAATCTAACAGTGTATTTAGATTTTTAATTTTGGGTCCAGTTTTCAAATTGGTCTACATTAAGGTCCAAAGGGTCCAAAATTAAACTTTGTTTGATTTTAGCAAAAATTGAATATATGAGGTTCTTTGATATGCTGAATCTAAACATGTATTTAGATTTTTGATTTTTGGCCTAGTTTTCAAGTTGGTCCAAATTGGGGTCCAAAATTAAACTTTGTTTGATTTCAACAAAAATTGAATATATGGGGTTCTTTGATATGCTGAATCTAACCATGTATTTAGATTTTTTATTTGTGGACCTCGTTATCAAATTGGTTCATATTGAGGTCAAAAGGATCCAAAATTAAAACTTTGTTTGATTTCATCTAAAATTGAATTATTGGGGTTCTTTGATATTCCAAATCTAACCGTGTATTTAGATTTTTAATTTCCGGTCCTGTTTTTTAAATTGGTCTACATTAAGGTCCAAAGGGTCCAAAATTAAACTAAGTTTGATTTTAACAAAAATTGAATTCTTGGGGTTCTTTGATATGCTGAATCTAAACATGTGTTTAGATTTTTGATTATGGGCCCAGTTTTCAAGTTGGTCCAAGATAGGGTCCAGTATTTAAACTTTGTTTGATTTCAACAAAAATTGAATATATGGGGTTCTTTGATATGCTGAATCTAAACATGTATTTAGATTTTTGATTATGGGCCCAGTTTTCAAGTTGGTCCAAATTGGGGTCCAAAATTAAACTTTGTTTGATTTCAACAAAAAATGAATATATGAGGTTCTTTGATATGCTGAATCTAACCATGTATTTAGATTTTTTATTTGTGGGCCCTGCTATCAAATTGGTTCATATTGAGGTCAAAAGGGTCAAAAATTAAAATTTGTTTGTTTTCATCAAAAATTGAATTATTGGGGTTCTTTGATATGCCAAATCTAATCGTGTTTTTAGATTTTTAATTTGGGTCCCCTTTTTTTAATTGGTCTTCATTGAGGTCCAAAGGGTCCAAAATTAAACTTAGTTTGATTTTAACAAAAATTGAATTCTTGGGGTTCTTTGATATGCTGAATCTAAACATGTGTTTAGATTTTTGATTATGGGCCCAGTTTTCAAGTTGGTCCAAGTTGGGGTCCAAAATTAAACTTTTTTTGATTTCAACAAAAATTGAATATATGAGGTTCTTTGATATGCTGAATCTAACCATGAATTTAGATTTTTTATTTGTGGACCCCGCTATCAAATTGGTTCATATTGAGGTCAAAAGGGTCCAAAATATAACTTTGTTTGATTTCATAAAAAATTGAATTATTGGGGTTCTTTGATATTCCAAATCTAACTGTGTATTTAGATTTTTTATTTTAAGTCCTGTTTTTTAAATTGGTCTACATTAAGGTCCAAAGGGTCCAAAATTAAAACTTAGTTTGATTTTAGCAAAAATTGAATTCTTGGGGTTCTTTGATATGCTGAATCTAAACATGTGTTTAGATTTTTGATTATGGGCCCAGTTTTCAAGTTTGTCCAAGTTGGGGTCCAAAATTAAACTTTGTTTGATTTTAACAAAAATTGAATATATGGGGTTCTTTGATATGCTGAATCTAACCATGTATTTTGATTTTGGACATTGGACCATAATAGGTAAATTAAAAAAATTCAAGTTCTTAGACCACATTCCTTCTGTGTCAGAAACCTATGCTGTGTCAATATTTAATAACAATCCAAATTCAGAGCTATTCCAAGCTTGAATGTTGTTTCCATACTTGCCCCAACTGTTCAGGGTTCGACCTCTGCGGTCGTATCAAGCTGCGCCCCAGCGAAGCATTTTATTTTCACCTGCGATGTCTTCTTTTTCACATGTTATTCTTACCTCAGATCAAAGTTTATTGAAAGTGCTAAACTATATGATTGTTTTTCAGTTCCCAGTGAAAACAAACGTGATCGTAGAACAGTAGAGCAAGTATTAGCAGACACCCGTGCCAAAAAGAAGTTAAAAACAGAAAGTGCATCAACAACAGAATTATCTTCCCAAAATGCACCAACAGAGACTACTACCTCTTCCTGTCCAGAATTACCTTGATGAATATAACATAGTTACTTTTTATAAATGTTGTTTGTTTTTTTAACTTTGTTTTAAGGTTTTAACTTGTTTTAAGTAGTTCATGGTGTCCTAATGATAAATATACTTGCAGCAGGATAGACATTTTAGTATGTCTTCTCTCGTATCTTTCAGGTTTCAATCATAAAAGAATAATAAGAGATAAAGTTTCAGGAAAAGAGGTCAATTTTCAGTTTAAATTTCATACCAATAGGTGCAGAATTCCATGAGTTACTATAAAAGATTCTCAGAAGGGTTTTATTTCCCTACAAATATTTTATACTCTCAATATTTCTAAACGAGTTCTGAAGCATTTTTCAACTAACTTTTCAAAACATGTGATTTACTTTTTTCAAAAGGCTACACATACTTAATATGGTTTTATAATTGTTGAATAAGTGTACATAAGGGCTGTTCCAAAATTGTTCGGGGGGATGGAAGCACTCATATTAATAAATTGTGGGTGGTTGCATTTTCTTTAGAATTTCGAAGTATTTTCAAAAAAATGAAATTTTTATGTTATGGGTGGTTGGGGTCTAAAAAAAAAGTGTCTCCCATGCCCCACATGTGTTAAATATTAACCCTTTCGCCGATGAGTCCCGGTTTACCGGGATTCACGCTTCAGACAGCTGACGATGAGTCCCATTTTAACGGGATTGGAATACCTCTTTTATATTTCCCGCTCAGAACAGTCCAAACACGAGTTATCTTTCTTTGTTGAATACCCGGATGAAAGTGTAAACATGGCGCTTCCGTTTGTTGAAAACCGTGTCAAAATCAGAGGAAATTTACGGAATTTACGAGAATTTAAAATGAGGGAACATTTTTTTTGAAAGAATATGGAAGAATTGAAGCTAAACTAGTATACTTTTTATACGACCGCAAAAAAATTTTTGTGGTCGTATATTGGTATGGCGGCGTCGTCGTCGTCGTCGTCGTCGTCGTCGTCGTCCGGCGTCGTCGTCCGAATACACATTAGTTTTCGCACTCTAACTTTAGTTTAAGTGAATGGATCTCAATGAAATTTTACCATAAGGTTCAATACGACAAAAGGAAGGTGGGGATTGATTTTGGGGGTTATGGTACTAACAGTTAAGGAATTAGGGGCCAAAAAGGGGCCAAAAATAAGCATTTTTGTAACTTCCAGACATAACTTGTGTGTAAGTATATGGATCTCTCTGACATTGTACCACAAGGTTCCATATCACAAAGGGAATGCTGGGATTGATTTTGGGGGTAATTGCCTCCAAATTTTAGGAATTAGGGGCCAAAAAGGGGCAAAAAACAAGCATTTTTCTAGTTTCATGACAATAACTTGTGTGTAAGTGTATGGATCTCTCTGACATTGTATCACAAGGTTCCATATCACAAAGGGAATACTGGGATTGATTTTTGGGGGTAATTTCCTCCAAATTTTGGGAATTAGGGGCCAAAAAGGGGCAAAAAACAAGCATTTTTCTAGTTTCAGGACAATAACTTGTTTGTAAGAGTATGGATCTTTATGAAATTGTACTGCAAGGTTCCATATCACAAAGGGAAAGCTGGGTTGGAGTTTGGGGGTAATTGCCCTAAACGTTTAGGAATTAGGGGCCAAAAAGGGACAAAAAAACAAGCATTTTTCTAGTTTCCAGACAATAACTTGTGTTCAAGTGAATGGATCTCTCTAAAATTGTACTGCAAGGTACCATACCACAAAGGGAAAGCTGGGATTGAGTGTGGGGGCGATGAATCATAAGGGGGTTCAAAAAATTTGGGGGGGGATTTTTTTTTCCTTTTTTTTCTTTAAAATTTTCCATTTTAAATTGCTTATTTCTGATTTATATATAAAAGCAAATAATAATGATATGGTTTGAATAGCATACATGTGAACCTCCCGACAGGTGTACAATAATCCTGTTTTCAGGAGGCTCCTCCTGACCTCTGGTTGAAGAGGAAAATTATAATCCCGTGTATGAAATTTTTCATGAATGAAAAATTTCTGCCCAACATATCATCTCAGGCATCTGGTGTAACTCACATTACCTGAAGTTATATTTTACCTGTAAATCAATTAACATGCATAATTATATGGCTTCACTTGTCAGCTTGGGTGTCAAACATACTGGTAATCAATGATTTTTTACCTCAGGCTAACTGCCGTTGTGTAACAAAAACTGTGTATTTATTGGGTTACTTCCCTTGATTTATCCTGTTTTAAGATACTTTCCTTTTAATAATGAAAATTTTTAAAAGAATATAAATAAAATATAAATTGAACAAATAATCATAAAAGGATGGTAAATAAATGATTTTAAATGTCTTAGGACAAATAAAAAAATAATAATTTGAAAATTATTTGAGGATTCTATACTTCCTTTCAAGGCTTAAATTGAAATTTATATAATAACTATGACCCTGGTTTTACAGTTAGAATGATTTTCTGAGTATGCAAACAAAAGCTATTTGCAGATAGTTAAACAAAAGTTCTGGTTGCAATAAATGTTTTATAGAATATGAAGTAAAAAATTTAAAGAACATACTGAAAAAAAAAAATTTAGATTGAACATGTAAAATATAAAGATGGAGAAACTTTATAAGTACAAGGGTACTATAAACATAATAAATTGGATGGAAAGTTGAAGAAAACACACTTTAAAAGACCATTTTTACAGCACACGGTTACATTTACGACAAAATTTATGTCGATTAAAAACCTCCTGATCTGAGTCCTAATCTCCTGACCAAAATTTCCCAATCTCCTGATCTGAGTTTCACAGTCCATCACATTATGAATAGGTAAATTAAAAAATTATAAGTTCTTAGACCACTTTCATTCTGTGTCAGAAACCTATGCTGTGTCAAATATTTAATTACAATCCAAATTCAGTGCTGTATCAAGCTTGAATGTTGTGTCCATACTTGCCCCAACTGTTCAGGGTTTGACCTCTGCGGTCGTATCAAGCTGCGCCCCAGCCGGAGCATTTTATTTGACATAAAATGTCGTTTTATGTACAAAACACTTGGAATGAACATCGTTCAGTGTAAGGAATTTGTACAGCTTCATTAAATTTTTCAAAATTTTGCCGTTTTGGGTTAAAAAATTACGATTTTGGGTCAAAAAGTAGAATTTTAAGAATTTCACCTAGATAATGCCGAAAATTTGAAAATTTGAATATTTTATGAAGAAAAAATTATCAAAACATGAACAAAACTGTGCACATGGTGTTAGTGAATGAAATAAAGACACAAAATACTACAGACAAGTTTTTATTGACATTTATTATGAAGATCTCCCACTTGAGTAATAGTAGCCAGGGAAGCCATCGTCTCAGAGTAGCTTCTGTCTGGGCAGCTATCGGTGAAAGGGTTAAAACAGCCCTAATGAAAATATTGTTTCCATACTAATTTGTTTTGGGAAGAAAATCATGCAATATAATGTGTAATGTTAGTTTTGAATGCATTTTTTATAGAGTCATTTATCACACTACATACTCGCCTGTATTCATTTTCATAATTTCATAATGTAACTATATTACTGTAAATCTAGAAACTATTGCACACATATAATATTGGGATTGTTTAATAATCAAAGAATAAAAACGTGGGATTATTGATCAAAGATAAAAATTGTGGGATTCTTAAATATGATTTTCAGGAAATGATGTACATATAAAAGGAGTTTCTAAGTTGTTTGATTGTACCGATTGACCTGGGGTCATTCGGGAAAATATGTCATAGGATATTGTGAAGTGAAGATATTTGCTTTGTGATGTCAAATTTTTCTGGGAAAAAGCACCAGTTGAAAGATCATGTATTTGGTGTTGAATTTTAAAACTTCCAATTTTACTTCCATACATTGACACATTGCAATAATGAAAATGTCATTAGAATTTCTGAATTTACAGTAATTATATATGTAATACATTTTTATTGTCCCAAAACAAAGTTGTCGGGGTATATATATAGCTTTACCCTTATCTGTCATTCCGTCATTCCACAATGAACAATGATACAGACTTTTTTTCTAAACTCCTCCACATATTGAGCTGATTTTTAGTATGTGAGTCTACTATGATGAGTTACAGATTGAGTTTACGTTTGGTTCTGCTCCACTGATTTGTGCCGAAATTACGGGTAAAATTTCGTGAAAATAACAGTTATACAGACTTTCATTCTCAAATTTCCACTCCTTTTTGGCCAGCAGGTCCATTCGTGTCATTCCGACACACCTAGTTTTTTCAAGGAAATTTTTAATCATATCCCCTAAGTGATGGAAATTTGTTATTAATCTTGACATTTTTGATGCATTTTTAGTTATCTCCCATGTAAAATGTGTTGAATTATAACTTTTAAGAAAGCAGAAAATGTTATGTATTAGATGTATACATGTATATGCATAAATCAAGTTGTTTAAACACAACAATAAATTGCTGTGAAGTTGTTTTAACTAACAAGCAGTAAGTAGAATGAAATGTGTTCTTGAAAATAAGTTTGCTTACCTATGTTAAATAGGTCAAAATCAGGTCATTGTTAAATAGGTCAAAATCAGGTCAAAATATATCTGTTTATAACAATGGAAAATAATTCTGGACTGAGAAATATGAAATATATTGATGGTACAATTATATGTTGATGAATTGGAAAAAACAAAGAAATAATAAAATTGTTTTAATATCCTACTTTGTGTTAAATATTTCCTTTCCTCATACAACATATTCATGCATTAAAAACCTGCTAGCTATGTTACTGAAGGTTGAAAAGTACAGTTTAGCATGTTGTATTTTTGCAGGTTGCTAATTTTTGCTTTTTATAGTAAATGAACCAAAATTAATTCATCTATTTTTTATGCACAAGTTGTGTACTTTTTATAGCTAAAAACCGAATATAGTGAGATATTTGACAAGAATACCTGTTTTCCTATCTAGTCATCTTGTAAAAGTATGGTATATTGTGAAAATGGCCATTTAATCCTAATTTTAAATTTTAGAAAATAAAGAAATAGGGACCATATTTGGGTTTCTCCCTAAAGTTGCTTAACAGAGGCTATCAAACATCTACCATTTAAACCCAATTGCCTACAGGACGGAAAACATTAAGATACAGCTAGCGCTACAGGCAACAACTTCCTAACTTCAATAGGTAAATGAATGTATGGTGTTGGTTAAACTAGGTTTTGTTTAACTCAATCCTACCCCATTTCATTCTTGAAGTGGGGAAAAAAGTCAAAATTGGTACTTAATGGACAACATATACACAGGTAAACAATTATGATTAAATTATGTCATATTGATGAATGCTTGCAAGTACTTACGGATGTACACCTCTGAGGAGCCAAAAATTTCTAGAATTAAACTTTTTTTCTTAACCAGATTTTTGGGTTTATATGACTGTAAGAAAGTAATCGATGAAGAAAAAGTCATATGGTGGTGCACTTCTTTTTTTGCTACGTCCATAAAAGTACCCCATTTTAATGATTTTCCAATTTTTCATCAATTTTACCCATTTTTTGGCTAATATGAAAAAAATCTCAGTTTTACAATTAAACTTTTTTTCGTACTTTCACTACAGATGAAGTGTACAATTTGAATAAATTTAACTTTTAAAAACTATAGGTTGGTGTTAATATTAGAAAGATTTATAAAATTTTGTTGCTTTTTCGTGTCAATTTTGTAAATTTGGGATTTTTCTCTTCTTTTTTTTTTGAAACAAAAAGCATATTATTTCAACTTCTTTGTTATAAATGATTGAAAAAAAATGATAAGAGGATGTCCATATTTTTGGTAAATCATTTCATTTCTTGCCCCTCACCCATTTTCTCAACATTTTGGCTGATGACACTGACCAGATTGGTAAAAAAAAATTGAAAATTTTATTACCCCAAAACAACTTATTGTAAGTATACAATTTTTTCACAGAGTTTAGATTGATTATAGTATTTTTTAAATTCATTGATATTTTCCTCTTGTATCACATGTTTTGGAAATAATTCCCGAACGAGATTTCAACGAGACTGAAACATCAGAAGAATACATCCTTAACCTACTGATATTGAAATTTTGCCATCCTACTCTTATGATATCAGTTGCTTTACTTCAGATTTTTATTTCATACAGCATTGTCATGAAAAGCAGATCTTTAACTATGCCCAAAACAAGTTTTAAGAATTTAGATACAAAATATAAGAGAAACAATTTTTTATGCCCCCCGCAACTGAAAGTTGAGGGGCATTTTGTTTTACCCCTGTCCGTCCGTCCGTCCCATTATTGGTATATAGTTATTCCAGATAACTCCTCTTACAGTTTGAATGCTAGGAAGTTTTCACTTTGCTGGCTGTTTGTACATATATTGAAGGTGTGCATGTGGTCAGGGTTTTGATTTTTATTGATATTTGCTCTTTTGGGAGATTGTTGAACTTTGTCATTTTTGGAGTATATACTTGCATAAGAGGTGCATAGCTATTCCAGTTAACTCCTCCTACAGTTTGATTGCTAGGAAGTTTTCTCTCATATATTGAAGGTGATCATGTGGTCAGGGTTTTCATTTTTGTCGAGCCTGCGACTTTTGTTGCAGAAAGCTTGACATAGGGATAGTGATCCGGCGGCGGCGTTAACTAACTTCTTAAAAGCTTTATATTTTAGAAGGTAGAAGACCTGGATGCTTCATACTTTGTATATAGATGCCTTATGTTACGAAGTTTCCATCTGTCACATGTCCATTGTCCATGACCTCATTTTCATGGTTCAGTGACTACTTGAAAAAAAGTGAAGATTTTTTGTAATGGTAATTTCTTTCTTATTATGAGTAATAGGATAACTATATTTGGTATGTGCGTACCTTACAAGGTCCTCATGCCTGTCAGACAGTTTTCACTTGATCTCAACCTCATTTCATGGATCAGTGAACAAGGTTAAGTTTTGGTGGTCAAGTCCATATCTCAGATACTATAAGCAATAGTTCTTGTATATTTGGTGTATGGAAGGATTGTAAGGTGTACATGTCCAACTGGCAGGTGTCATCTGACCTTGACCTCATTTTCATGGTTCAGTGGTTATAGTTAAGTTTTTGTATTTTGGTCCATATCTCAGATACTATAAGCAATAGTTCTTGTATATTTGGTGTATGGAAGGATTGTAAGGTGTACATGTCCAACTGGCAGGTGTCATCAGACCTTGACCTCATTTTCATGGTTCAGTGGTTATAGTTAAGTTTTTGTCGAGCCTGCGACTTTTGTTGCAGAAAGCTCGACATAGGGATAGTGATCCGGCAGTGGCGGCGTTAGCTAACTTCTTAAAAGCTTTATATTTTAGAAGGTGGAAGGTCTGGATGCTTCATACTTTGTATATGGATGCCTCATGTTACGAAGTTTCCGTCAGTCACATGTCCAATGTCCTTGACCTCATTTTCATGGTTCAGTGACTACTTGAAAAAAAGTGAAGATTTTTTGTAATGTTAAATTCTCTCTTATTATAAGTAATAGGATAACTATATTTGGTATGTGCGTACCTTGCAAGGTCCTCATGCCCGTCAGACAGTTTTCACTTGACCTCGACCTCATTTCATGGATCAGTGAACAAGGTTAAGTTTTGGTGGTCAAGTCCATATCTCAGATACTATAAGCAATAGGTCTAGTATATTCGGTGTATGGAATGTTTGTAAGTTGTACGTGTCTAGCTGGCAGGTGTTATCTGACCTTGACCTCATTTTCATGGTTCAGTGGTTATAGTTAATTTTTTTGTGTTTTGGTCTGTTTTTCTTATACTGTATGCAATAGGTCTACTATATTTGGTGTATGGAATGATTGTAAGGTGTACATGTCTAGCTGGCAGGTGTCATCTGACCTTGACCTCATTTTCATGGTTCAGTGGTCAAAGTTAAGTTTTTGAGTTTTGGTCTTTTTTTCTAATACTATATGCAATAGTTCAACTATATTTGGTGTATGGAAATATTTTATGATCTATTTGTCAGTCACGCAGGTTTTTTTTTACCTTGACCTCATTTTCAAGGTTCATTGCTCAGTGTTAAGTTTTTGTGTTTTGGTCTGTTTTTCTTAAACTAAAAGCAATAGGTCAACTATATTTGTTGTATGGAAGAATTGTTAGCTGTACATGCCTGCCTAGCATGGTTCATCTGACCTTGACCTCATTTTCATGGTTCATTGGTCAATATTTAGTTTACTTGGTTAATAATAAGTTAATGTGACAGTTGTAATAAAGCTTTATATTTAGGACTATCAACATAATATCAATGATTAGTAAAGAAGGTGAGACATTTCAGCGTGTGCACTCTTGTTGTGTTTTGGTCTGTTTTTCTTATACTGTATGCAATAGGTCTACTATATTTGGTGTAGGGAATGATTGTAAGGTGTACATGTCCAACTTGCAGGTGTCATCTGACCTTGACCTCATTTTCATGGTTCAGTGGTTATAGTTAAATTTTTGTGTCTTGGTCTGTTTTTCTTATACTGTATGCAATAGGTCTACTATATTTGGTGTATGGAATGGTTGTAAGGTGTACATGTCCAACTGGCAGGTGTCATCTGACCTTGACCTCTTTTTGATGGTTCAGTGATTATAATTAAGTTTTTGAGGTTTGGTCTTTTTTTCTTAATACTTTATGCAATAGGTCAACTAAATTTGGTGTATGGAAATATTTTATGATGTACATGTCAGTCTTGCAGGTTTTATTTGACCTTGACCTCATTTTCACGGTTCATTGCTCAGTGTAAAGTTTTTGTGTTTTGGTCTGTTTTTCCTAAACTATAAGCAATAGGTCAACTATATTTGTTGTATGAAAGGATTGTAAGCTGTAAATGTCTGCCTGGCATGGTTCATCTGACCTTGACCTTATTTTCATGGTTCATTGGTCAATGTTTAGATTTCTTGGTTAAGTCTGTTTCTTGGAAACTATAAGCAATAGGTCAACTATATTTAGTGTATTGAATGATTGTAAGGTGTACATGTATTTCTCGTTTGGTTTATATGATCTTGACCTCATTTTCTTGGATCATGATAAGTTTATGTGATAGTTGTAGTAAAGCTTTATATTTAGGACTCTCAACATAATATCAATGGTTAGTAAAGAAGGTGAGACATTTCAGTGTGTGCACTCTTGTTATTAATATTTGCTCTTTTGGGAAATAGTTGAACTTTGTCATTTTTGGAGCATGTACTTGCATAAGAGGTGCATAGGCGATTTTAGGTAACTCCTCCTATAGTGAACCATAGACCTATGTGCTCCCATGCTCATTTTTATACGACCGCAAAAAAAATTTTGTGGTCGTATATTGGTATGACGTTGGCGTCGTCGTCGTCCGAAGACACATGAGTTTTCGCACTCTAACTTTAAGTGAACGGATCTCAATGAAATTTTACCATAAGGTTCAATACCACAAAAGGAAGGTGGGGATTGATTTTGGGGGTTTTGGTACCAACAGTTAAGGAATTAGCGGCCAAAAAGGGGCCAAAAAAAAGCATTTTTTGTAACTTCCACACATAACTTGTGTGTAAGTGTATGGATCTCTCTGACATTGTACCACAAGGTTCCACATCACAAAGGGAATGCTGGGATTGATTTTGGGGGTAATTGCCTCCAAATTTTAGGAATTAAGGGCCAAAAAGGGTAAAAAAACAAGCATTTTTCTAGTTTCATGACAATAACTTGTGTGTAAGTCTATGGATCTCTCTGACATTGTATCACAAGGTTCCATATCACAAAGGGAATGCTGGGATTGATTTTTGGGGTAATTGCCTCAAAATTTGAGGAATTAGGGGCCAAAAAGGGGCAAAAAACAAGCATTTTTCTAGTTTCATGACAATAACTTGTGTGTAAGTGTATGGATCTTTATGAAATTGTACTACAAGGTTCCATATCTCAAAGGGAAAGCTGGAATTGAGTTTGGGGGTAATTGCCCAAAAGGTTTAGGAATAAGGGGCCAAAAATAAGCATTTTTCTAGTTTCCAGACAATAACTTGTGTTCAAGTGTATGGATCTCTCTGAAATTGTACTGCAAGGTACCATACCACAAAGGGAAGGCTGGGATTGATGTTGGGGGTAATTCCCTCAAAATTTTAGTAATAAGGGGCCATAAAAGGGCAAAAAAAACAAGCATTTTTCTAGTTTCAGGACAATAACTTGTGTGTAAGTGTATGGATCTTTATGAAATTGTACTGCAAGGTTCCATATCACAAAGGGAAAGCTGGGTTTGAGTTTGGGGGTAATTGCCCTAAACGTTTAGGAATTTGGGGCCATAAAGGGGCCAAAAAACAAGCATTTTTCTAGTTTCCAGACAATAACTTGTGTTCAAGTGTATGGATCTCTCTGAAATTGTACTACTAGGTACCGTACCACTAAGGGAAGGCTGGGATTGAGTTTTGGGGTGATGAATCATAAGGGGGTTCAAAAAATTTTGGGGGGGATTTTTATTTCCTTTTTTTTCTTTAAAATTTTACTTTTTAAATTGGTTATTTCTGATTTATATATAAAAGCAAATAATAATGATATGGTTTGAATAGGTAACTATATTGAATAGGGGGGGGCATCACTTTGTCTAGTTCTTGTTTCAAACTTAATATAACAGCCATCAGGGGTTGTGTGGTATTGAGCTTGTCACGTTTGCTGGAGGTCGTGGGTTCAATCCATTACCTGGTCAAACCAAAGAATTGAAAAAAATAGGCAAAAGATACCACAAGGACATTCAAACTCATAAAGTCGAAAATAAACTGACAACACCATTGCAAAAAACTTGACTGGCTAAGTTTTACATTGTTCAGATCTCAGACCCTACCTGAAGTACTCCAATTTACTCCCACAACTCAGGTGTACTTTAAGATAGTTGCACTCAATGATGCTGTTTTTACTTTGCAAAGGAAAGTTCTGAGTTCAAATAAATTAAGAACCAATTAATGTTTAATAAAATTTTATATCAATATACTAATAGACTACTGTAAACAAAAGCTGATTTAATATCACACATATTGAGGACTACGCCTTGTAACAAAGGGTTTTGTAAGGTACCTTACTAGGAAGTCAAAACATTTTTATGATAAACATGACATTCTTATACTATCAGCAATTCTGTCAATTTTCAAATTGCAAAGTAAACATCTACAATGATAAAAAAAAATCCTTGAAAAATGGTAAAAAAGAAATAAAAAATTGGTAGATAAGTAGAAACAAGGAAAACCATATTTCAATTTTATACTGATCGGCAATAAAAACCAAATCAAATGTTCTATGATTACAAGAAGTATCAATTTAACAACAGTCAAATATAAGAATGCATTGATATTGTATTTAATTTCTGAGGGAATATTTGAAAATCTATAAAATATATAAAATAGTAAATGCATTATTCATATCAATTCATTCTACACTTTCTCCAGATTACCATACCACCTTATTTACACAACAGAAACACTAAGCATACTAAATCACTTTTGATTAGTATCCAATGCATGGATCTATTATCTCCCTTGCTTCATTTATAATTAATATTAATATGGTTTTCTATTCAAAAGCATTTGAACAAATACATTCATATTTATATATCATCTAAAATGCCATTTTTTGTACTGTGATAAAAATATAAAATGTACAAATTTATATTACCGGTAACCAAAAAAAAACCTGTCATTTAGTGTTTAACAGCAGTTTTCAACAAAAACACGAGTGTCTATACAATATGTTGACACTATCAATATTAATAAATCAGTCCACTTAGTCTAGAAAAGACTGCTCACTATCTCATATTTTCATATAGTCAAATAACTGTACCATTTACAGTCAACCCTTTTATGTAATTATTATTGTAAACAGAACATGAATGGATAGAAGTGCTCACAAATCTAACATAAAGATCACAATTATATTAAAATAAATTAAATTATAAAAGAAAATATACATCTGTTGGTTCTTGGTCTACGTCAGCTGTGGCAATATTTTTATAGATTATTAGATTTTCTATTTGTAGATATCATCAAATATTTGCTGTATGTATCATAATGAACCTTTTCTAGCAAGTGAGACCTGCAAACTAACAAGGCCCATATTGTTTAATGCAACTGATAGTTATCTAAATGAGGAAAAAAATATAATCTGTTATCATATTCATTTGAGATTTCTTGATTAAAAACAAAATTGACTTACTGTTTCCGAAATTTAAAATGATATCATTAGTTCAAACTTAATAAGGCCAGGTCAATAATTGTGTGTAATAGTAAAAATTAATTTTGCAGATTCTATGCCAAAAAAAATATTTGTTTCTGATCAAAGGGTTAGTTACCAAGCAACATGCTTAATCATTAAAACCTTCCTCTGACTGCAAACCAAAGACATTTGAAAATATCAAGTATACCACATCAAATATTCACAATAAACTCTTTCTATTTTTTGGGAATTGCAAACAAAAGCACAATTTAAATGTCTGACATACATGAACTCACAAAACAAACAAAGAGAATGTTTCATAATCACTAACAATATATATGTGTGTTGGAAGAAACAAATTTGCATATACATGTAACTAATTGGAAAATTTACTGTAAATAAAAATGCAATAATTTTAGAAGGAAAGAGAAAAAAAATATTGTCATACCTCCTTACCTTTCAAATCTTCATTCAGGATTTTATGGACAAGAGGACCTGACACATCTCTTATATATGTCATAAGTGTTTTGAATCTAAGATTCTATGGTTTGGAATGAGTATATATGTACTTACAAAACTCTGTTAAATGCCATATTGGGGCAGTGTTCTACCCACAAATTTCATATAGCGTCCTTGTTAAAAGGAAATTTTGTAATACCATCTTAGTTTTCTAGAAATGACAGCATCAAATCCTTAACATAACCTATAAGAAAATTATTTCAGATAGCATTTTATTCAAGCAATATAGCATCACATTACCATGGTGCTAAAAAGCCCTGGGGATAACACATTTTCTATAATGGAGGAATAAATAAATCATATGAGGGAAATCACCCATAAATTGGAAAAGTTGACAGAGATCTGTAGTGTTGCTGCTTTGCAGTAAGCTGCGAAACCGTAGCTCTTATGGTCCTTGCGATATTTTTATGACCAAGTAAAAAAATATTATAAGAACCACAAGAGCTAGGGTTCCTCAGCTAGATTGCAGTAAAAAATATATAAAAATATTCGATTGCAAAACAACATTGTATTGCCTTCATTTTCCCCCGCCTTTCGGCAAGAGGTATAAATGAAGTACTTACTCCATTTCTAACATGTAGATTATAATGCTACAATTTTTACTACATAAATTTCATTTAATATTTCTATACATTATATAATGCTACTATTTTTACTACATAATTTTCATTTAATATTTTTATACTAGAATATACTATCAGTACTTTTACATACAGATTAATGTAATCATATTTATATATTAATATTTGTATAGAGCAAATCAAATACAGAGGGTGAATAGTATTAACACAGCAGCTAGGCTAGAACAACACGGGTAATATTATGGCACAAAAGCTGTTGGATTATGGCAGCTGATAATATTATGTCCTTAATGTCCATGGTATTACATTACTCACATTTTTATGTTCAATGAACCATGAAATCTGATCATGTAATTTGGTATATATTTATAAAAAAAAAAAACAAAAACAAAACAGCAAAACAAAACAAAAACAAACAAACCAAAAAACATTACATGTATAATGAACTTATTTACTAAGTTTCAAATTACTGTGACCACAACTTCATGGTAAACTATCTTGACTAAAAATTTTAACCAGATACACATTATCACATTTCAATGCCCAATGAACCGCAAAATCTGGGCCAAAACTTTAATTCAGTATTTTTAAAAAGTTTACATCATACCGTAATGAACATGTATACTAACTTGATGTGACCACAACTTCATGATAATCTACCTAAAGCAAAATCTTGAACCTGATACGCATTATCACATTTTCAAGTTCAGTGAATTGCAAAATCTTGAACAAAATCCTTATTTTAGGCATATAATTTTAAAAGTTCAAATCATAATGAACATCAATCTGTACTGTGTTTTGACTTGATGTAACCACAACTTCATGGTAAACAACCTTCACCATCAACTTTAACCTGAGAATGAATGATTTTAAACAGGGTTGGCAAATACCTGAGTGGGAAATACTGGGAAAACCTGTATTACTGGGCAATATGAAATACTGACCTGAATCTTTAAAGAGGATTTAATGATCAATTGCAAAATTAAAACATAAAAGATATATTGGAAGACTTAATATTTTAATTTATAAGTTCATATGTTTGAGACTCTTATCAATTAGTGTATTAAGGAACCTGGGGTGTCTAAATGTTGGACGATAGATTTTTCTTAAACTTCTATAAAGGACTTCTGGGCTAATGTACTTACAAATTTCATTATAAGAAATGAGGGTCACATGCCTTGTTTTTTCGTTAAAATACATTAAAATTGACGAAATCACAGTCATTTAAAATTGGTTATATAGGAGAAACTTATATTTTTTCCTTATTGAGGAAACATTAAACAATAGAATTGGTTAAAATTCAATGAGATAATTACTTTTCACAAATACTTCTAAAATATCAAATAAAAATAAGGGTTGACAGGCCTTGTTTTCTTGAAAAAGATTTTTAAAAAAAACACAAATTGTCCAACAAAATTCTGTATAATTATCTACCCTTCATTTTAAAACAATTGTTTTTAAAAAAAAATTTAAATACACTTAAAGACACTTACTTTTTTGGAAATTTGATCATTAAATTTCAAGTTTTAGATGTTTCTATTGGATATTGAATGAGACTTCGTAAAATATTTTTAAACCAAAAACTATTTTTGCAACATGCCAAGAAGGGATGCTCAGAAAAAGACACCCAATATACCTTAATTAGAGGAAGAATTGGCCTGTATGTCTGTTCAATTTCTTTTAATTTTAATTTATATTATTCCGTTAAATTTATTAAGTTTGCAAGATAAATACATGAGATTTCTTTTTATTTTATTCTTTTTTCTACCTTGTGTGTTTGAGCTGTTTTATATGTATATAATACTGTCTCATAAGTCTTTATAGGCTGGGTGCTGATCTTTTTTTTAAGTGATTGTACTTGTAATTTTTTACTGTTGCGTAAGATCAATATGTGATACTTTAATAAAAAAAATTTGTCTTATCTTATCTTCAACATTTCTCTGGTGTGTCCTGTATAGTTTAGATGTGGGGTCTACAACAATGAGACAGCAACCCATGGACAATTTATTTCTCCTATTTTTTTTAACAGATGCATAATATCATGTATTGGCTTTATGATAGAAAATAAAACGCACCTTGCTATTGTTCAATGCAAAAATTAATTTTATTAATATGGTGTGTTCACGGTGATTTTTTGTATCAATTTTCACCAGGAAACCTCTTGTACACGTTTGTGTCTGAGGAAATAAAATATTTTGTCTTGTCTTGAAATTTTAAATTTTAAATATCACGAATAATATATAAAATATGTAGAAATATTAGCTGTATGACCAAAGGGACCAAAAACGAATATCCAAATCCATCTCAGGTCAACTTTACCTGTTTTCAAATGGAATTATTCTAAATTTACTCAGAATTTACATTTCTCACTACTTTATGTCAAAACATCCTAACCGTATGCCAGTATCAGCAGTAGATCAAAACTCAAAATAGTATCGTATAAAATGTATCCACTGAACAGACAAGTACATAAAGTATGAACATACAAGTACATACCACATCTTCTTATTTTTATAATTAAATGCATCTGTTGAAATAGGGGTTGCATTACTACCATGGGGTCCTTTAAAATAGTTTAGAAGAAATTAAATATGGAAGAAATGAAACAATCTATCTTCTATAGAACTGGCATTGAATCATTTTACAATATATATCATTAAATCTAATTGATTCTATGGTGATGGCATACACTTCAATCTTTCAAAGGCTTCCTTTTCTAATCTTTCTCTATGATCAGGATGTGCTAGTCTGATAAGTTCATAAGCTCGCTGTCTAATATTTTTGCCAAAAAGATAAGCTATACCATACTCCGTTACAATATAGTGAACATGAGCTCTAGTTGTCACTACACCACTCCCTACAACAAAATAAAGTTCACTTTAATGAATGGCACTACATTTTTAATATCAGTGCACAAATATATTTTCAATATTTTTGCTAAAAACTCATCAGGCCAAAATAAATATACACCTGTTTCCTGCCTCCTGGCAGAAACAAAAAGGGTAGTTAGCTAAAATGCTTTTTATTTTACACAGACTATATTATATGTTATTCAGATCTCAATCAGTGTATATAATGTGTCATTCCAGCTTAAGTTTATATTCCCTAAAATAATCAATGTATTTTTGAGGTTATTGTTACTTTCAGATACACTTTAAATGTAAAATATGAAATAAGTCTCCTTGAAATCTTTTAAAATGTTTCGAGACAATACTGAAATTCTAATGATGTTGATGTTAGGAGTACTTTGAAGTTACCCAAAAAATAGCTGTCTAATTTAGGAATACCCCATATTTGTATCTATTTATAGATATATACATATAATGAAATAATTTGTTACCTGTTTTCAGCATATTAACAATTTTACTCTCTCCTCTCTTGGTGGTTGATGGCATAGCTATAATAGGTTTTCCTCTGCCATCAAGGCCTAGTGCAGCACCCCTTATGAAGTCTATCTGACCTCCAAAGCCTGAATACATCTTTTCTCCTATTGAGTCGGCACAGACTTGTCCTGTAAGATCTACTTCTATACAAGAGTTTATGGCTGTTACTTTAGGATTCTGAGAAATAATTGCTACACTGTTAGTAAAGCCTACGTCACACATTTCTGAAATAAACAGAAACATAATTAACAACATCTATCTGAATTTATATGAAAATGTAGTACAAAAAGCTCATACATGCAAAAAAGATCCAATAAAATTCATAGCTCCATTGTTAGATTATCTTATTAAGTGCAAGTCTCACAGAAAACCATGCAAAATGGTCCGAAAGTATTTTTTTCAAAAACAAATGAAATCCTTACCAGACAGTACATATGGACAGGTAAAATTAAAACACAAAATATTTTTCTAAAATTTTATTAGAAAAATAAATTATAAGGAGGTGAAACTTTATATGTCATTTTACATATATGCAAATAGCCAAAAAATCACAATTTTCACCATTTTTGACCTTAGATATTTCTTTACCATTAAGAATGATACATTTTTCTATTGATATTTGCAGAAGAACTACATTTAATGATTCAAACCATAACTATATTTTTTTTCTTATCTTGAACAACATTCTGACAAAATAAATTTAAAACATCTATATAATGGTACTTTGCTCATAAAGCTAAATGGGCATAAAATGAAACAAGTGTATCTCCATAAATAATGAAAATAAATCCAAATTAAAAGACAATACACTCCCTTGTGATGATTCATGCAAATGTTGGGTCAAATTGGCCTAACTGTTTCAAAAGAGAAGGTTTTAAAACTGTTAGTACCACGTAACCCTATATGGTCCCAAGTGAAAACTTTTGTTTACACTTGTGGCCATACTTCTAGCTGAGGAACTGTTACTCTAACGGTCCTTATTATGTTTTCTGATTTGTGCTGATGGTATGCAAATTGTCAAAAAATATCGCAAGAACCATAAGGGCTATGTTTCTGTAACTATCATACTGCATGACACACAGTATCATCAGACAAACCTGAAAGTTAACCATTTCACAAAGTGTCTTTGAAAAACTAGATAAAATTTTAATCAGAACTTGAAAATATTTTTTTGGAAAATTTCCATTTATAGCAAAAATTCAAATTTATTTGTTTGTGAGCAACATACTGAAACACACAACATATAGACACAGTGAGCAGCATACTGTAACACACAACATACAGACACAGTGAGGCCATATTTACACATTCAACATACAGACAAAGTGAGGCCATATTTACACATTCAACATATAGATAAAGCGAGGCCATATTTACACATTCAACATACAGACAAAGTGAGGCCATAGTTAAACATACAACATACAGACAAAGTGAGACCATATTTACACATTCAACATACAGACAAAGTGAGGCCATATTTACACATACAACATACAGACAAAGTGAGGCCATAGTTACACATACAACATACAGACAAAGTGAGACCATATTTACACATTCAACATACAGACAAAGTGAGGCCATAGTTACACATACAACATACAGACAAAGTGAGGCCATATTTACACATTCAACATACAGACAAAGTGAGGCCATATTTACACATACAACATACATACAAAGTGAGCCCAGATTTACACATACAACATACAGAAGAAGTGAGCCCATATTTAAATATACAACATATAGAAGAAGTGTGCCCATATTTACACATACAACATACAACATATAGAAGAAATGAGCGACATATTTACACATACAACATGCAGACAAAGTGAGCCCATATTTACACATACAACATACAGAAGAAGTGAGCCCATATTTACACATACAACATATAGAAGAAGTGTGCCAATATTTACACATACAACATATAAAAGAAATGAGCGACATATTTACACATACAACATAGACAAAGTGAGCCCATATTTACACATACAACATACAGAAGAAGTGAGCCCATATTTACACATACAACATACAACATATAGAAGAAATGAGCGACATATTTACACATACAACATGCAGACAAAGTGAGCCCATATTTACACATACAACATACAGAAGAAGTGAGCCCATATTTACACATACAACATATAGAAGAAGTGTGCCAATATTTACACATACAACATATGGAAGAAATGAGCGACATATTTATACATACAACATACAGACAAAGTGAGCCCATATTTACACATACAACATACAGAAGAAGTGAGCCCATATTTACACATACAACATACAACATATAGAAGAAATGAACAACATATTTACACATACAACATGCAGACAAAGTGAGCCCATATTTACACATACAACATACAGAAGAAGTGAGCCCATATTTACACATACAACATATAGAAGAAGTGTGCCAATATTTACACATACAACATATGGAAGAAATGAGCGACATATTTATACATACAACATACAGACAAAGTGAGCCCATATTTACACATACAACATACAGAAGAAGTGAGCCCATATTTACACATACAACATACAACATATAGAAGAAATGAACAACATATTTACACATACAACATGCAGACAAAGTGAGCCCATATTTACACATACAACATACAGAAGAAGTGAGCCCATATTTACACAAACAACATATAGAAGAAGTGTGCCAATATTTACACATACAACATATGGAAGAAATGAGCGACATATTTATACATACAACATACAGACAAAGTGAGCCCATATTTACACATACAACATACAGAAGAAGTGAGCCCATATTTACACATACAACAAATAGAATAAAATGCTTCGCTGGGGCGCAGCTTGATACGACCGCAGAGGTCGAACCCTGAACAGTTGGGGCAAGTATGGACACAAAATTCAAGCTTGATACAGCTATGACTTTGGATTGTCATTAAATATTTGACACAGCATAGGTTTCTGACACAGGATGAATGTGGTGTAAGAACTGGAAAAAATTTAATTTACCTATTATGGTGGAATATCCATAAACTAAATTGTTTGTTAATTTCAATATATCAAAGAATATGTAGAATTCAATGTTTGATGTAATGTAATAAAGTTGAAATTTGGACCGTTTTTGTTCAATGTGGACCAATTTGGTAACATGTATAAATAATCAAAAATCTAAATACATGGGAGCCCATTTAAATACATCATAAAGGTATTAAAATAGAAAGTGACATCATAGTCATGGCTAAAAATAAACAAAAATCCTTAATCAGCAACATTTAAAGTAATATCTAAAAATAAAATTCCTTTGTAACCATAAAAGCCCATTTAAATACATCATAAAGATATTAAAATAGAAAATGACATCATAGTCATGGCTAAACATAGCAAAAAACCCTTAATCAGCATCATTTAACAGTAATATCTAAAAATGGAAATTACATCATAAAGGTATTAAAATAGAAAATGACATCATAGTCATGGCTAAAAATAAACAAAATCCTTAATCAGCATCAGCAACATTTTATAGTAATATCTAAAAATAAAATTCCTTTGTAACCATAAAAGCCCATTTAAATACATCATAACAGATATTAAAATAGAAAATGACATCATAGTCATGGCTAAACATAGCAAAAACCTTAATCAGCATCATTTAACAGTAATATCTAAAAATAAAAATTTCTTTGCAACCATAAAAGTAAAATAGAAAATGACATCATAATCATAGCTAAAAATAAACAAAAATTTTTTTTATTGGCAAATTTTAAATGGAGTTTATTATACTAAAACAATAAATTTGCAACCATAAACATGATAAAACTCCATTTAAACACATCATAAAAGTATTAAATAATTCAACTACATCATAAGGCTATAAAAATAGAAAATGACTTCATAGTCAAGGCTAAAGGTAAACAATAAACCTTCATCAGCAAAATTTTATATTGGCAAATTTCCAATGAAGTTTATTACACTAAAATTGTTGGCAAATTTCCAATGCATTTATTAACAATAAAGTTATTGGCAAATTTCCAATTTACATAATTTAAAAGCAGTGTAGATGAGATATTTAAATGAGTTTGAATTACCAACCTTACACTGCTTTTAAATAATGTTCTTTACTCAATTATTTGTCTATTAAAATGGAAACCCTTGTTTTTTAACCTTTTTTCCCCTTATTCCTTAAACATTAGAGCCATAACCACCCCCCCTCCCCCAAGCCAATTATTACTTTCCAATGTAACCTAAATTTCCAATATACATAATTTTAAATTTCAATCCCTCATGATATATAACCGTATCCTTATTATTTTCTTTCATATATAAATCTGAAACAACCATCTTTAAATGGAAAATTTTAAAGAAAAAAAAAGGAAAAAAAAAAATCCTACCCCCCACACATTTTTTCAACCCCCTTTTGATTCATCATCCCCCACCTCAATCACAACCTTCAATTTGTGGTATGGTACATTGCAATACAATTTCACAGAGATCCATTCACTTGAACACAAGTTTTTGTTGCAAACTAAAAAAATCCTTATTTTCGACCAATATTTGGCCCCTTATTCATAAATGTTTGAGCAATTAACCCCAAAACTCAATTCCTACTTTCTCTTCGTGATAAAAAATAACTAACTTAAAATGTAAATTTTAAACAAAAAAAAAAGGAAACAAAAAAATTACCCCTTTTTTGACCCCCGCCCCCCTTATGATTCATCACCCCCACCCCCCTTTCCCCCCAAACCAAGCTCAATAACAGCCTTGCCTTTGTGGTATGGTACCTTGTAATACAATTTTAGAGAGATCCATACACTTGAACACAAGTTATTGTCTAGAAACTAAAAAATGCTTATTTTAAACCCCTTTTTAGGCCCCTTATTACTAAACGTTTTGGGCAATTACCACAACACTCAATTCCAGCTTTCCCTTTGTGAAATGGAACCTTGTAGTAAAATTTCAGAAAGATCCATACACTTACACACAAGTTATTGTCATGAAACTAGAAAAATGCTTGTTTTTTGCCCCCTTTTGGCCCCTTATTCCTAAAATTTTGAGGCAATGAACCCCAAAATCAATCCCAGCATTGACCCTTTGTGATATGGAATCTTGTGGTACAATGTCAAAGAGATCCATATGCTAACACACAAGTTATGTCTGGAAGTTACAAAAATGCTTATTTTCGGCCCCTTTTTGGCCCCTAATTCCTTAACTGTTGGTACCATAACCCCCAAAATCAATCCCCACCTTCCTATTGTGGTATTGAACCTTATGGTAAAATTTCATAGAGATCCATTCACTTAAACTAAAGTTAGAGTGCGAAAACCATTGTGTATTCGGACGACGACGCCAACGTCATACCAATATACGACCTCAAAATTATTTTGCGGTCGTATAAAAAGTGAGCCCATATTAACACATACAGCATATAGATTTATTGATTGATTGTTGGTAGCTTAACATCCAGTGGCAAATATTTCATGCATGTTCAGGACAATACAACATATAGAAGAAGTGAGCCCATATTTACACATACAACATATAGAAGAAATGAGCCCATATTTACACATGTAACATATAGAAGAAGTGAGCCCATATTTACACATATAACATATAGGAAAAGTGAGCCCATATTTACACGTGCAACATATAGACAAATATCCAGCTATTATTGACATATGCGACACTATGATGCATACAAAAGAAAAATATAAACAAATACCCAAGTTTAAATGATATAAGAAATAAAATGCATAGCAAACTTTTCTAAATTGGTATCTGGCTACCAATTTTCATGGATTATCTGTGTATAGATGAACAACAAATTTAAATGTTCAACAAAGTATAAATATACTAAGGGCTTGCATGCAAACTTTGGCAAGTTTTTCTTTAAACCATGAAAATTGGTAACCACGAAAATAATTTAATCCACAGTTGTTGCATGTGTTGTTGTGCTAATCATACCAACCTTACCCCCCTCATATATTCAAAGTATCAGAAAACAGGGGTTGGAATTTTACAGACTTGAAAAGGTCTCACACATTTACAACTCATCACTGTCAAGCTGATCACAAAATATGCAGTCATTCTTTTAAGTAGTGCCTGAGAAAAGTGTTAGGGAAATATTTGTTGGAAAAACAGATGGATGAAAAGACAGACAAAACGATTGCAATTTAGCCTCTACTTTCAATAAAATTAACATATGGCCATTAATCTCTATAGATGACACTAGTCAGCTATCTTTATAAATAGTTAACCTACCAACGAACGGGTTATCGTCCATAAAATCATATAATTTTCTTGTTCCTACAGCAAAACTGCTAATAATACTTCCCGTCTCTATGTTTTTCTTAGCATTAGTAATACAGCCATTCTCAACAAGTTCTACAACTCCATCACTAAACATTTCAGAATGAACTCCTAAATCTTTATGTCCATTCAGTTGGGCTAATACAGCATCTGGTATAGATCCAATACCTAAAACAGAATAATTTATTATATTATGGTTCCTGCATAGTTTCTCTTTTACATTAGTGTTAAACTAGATTATCAAATACATAGAGCATAGTAGAGCAAAGTAGAGCATAGTAGAGCAAAGTAGAGCAAAGTAAAGCATACAATTAGGATCAACCCAATAAGGTACATCAATGTAGTATGTATTAAACTAAGCAGATGTGGTAGGATTGCCAATGGAACAACTCTCCACAACAGACAAAATGACGTACAAGTTTGCAACTATAGGTCACCACACAGCCTTCAACAATGAGCAAAATCCATACCGCATAGCAGGCTATAAAAAGCCTAAAATGACATATGTTAAACAATTCAAACAAGAAGAGAATTCCTTGGAATTTGTATTCTTGGGGTTGCTAATCTGAATGTCTATTATATTTTGTTAGTACATGTAGGTTAAAACATAGGGCTGAAAAATGTCTGGCTGGCTGGCTGGCTCATGTTAATTTGAAAAAAATTATTTGATTCACACTTTCCCATACCAGAATTCAAGTCTAATTTTCTTAGTTCAACATAAATCATGATAATGTAGATGTTGCATGTGATTTTATATTGTTTGAGAAAAAAAATCCTATGTTCAGTGTTGGATGTGACATTTGATCTCTGTAGATATTATTACTTATGTAATCAATTTCATATTCATGTTTACACAATATATATCATTTACAGATATCCTGATCAAATTTTACATTGTGTAAAAGCAAAAATTTTATAATAAAGTTAAAAGTTATACACATCTTTGGCATATATGATTTGCATAAACTTTTATTTTGTAAACAACATACACAACACAAAATAGTAATTTTACATATACATGTAATATAGATCTGTGTATAAAAACAAACCCATCTGTAATGTTGCTCCATCTTCGACCAGATGTTCTGCTATTAATTTCCCTATCTTTTGTTCCTCTGGGGAAAGTTCTCCTTTCTTTAGTTCGTGTAATGGGTAGTCACATTCAACTATAGTATCAACATGTGACTGGTGGATTATACCGTCTCCTATAGTTCTAGGTAAATGTCTATTGGCTAAACCTGAAAAATTAAACATATGATTGGTGGATTATACCGTCACCCATAGTTCTAGGTAAGTCACTAAGTGTCTATTGGCTGATATTAAAATTACAGTTGAATAAAATTATTTCACTTGTTGGGAAGTACATGTATACTAGTATAAATTCTGGTTTGCTGCGGTGGAGAGCAATAGTGAGAAGTTTATAGAAAACAATGTGTTACTTTAAGTTACAAACATTTCCAGCTTTATAATGGAGTTTAAATACAACAATGTTGAAATGCAATAGACAATTACTGTAACTTGACTGTAAGTGTTGCTCTTCGCCTTTTTCAGTTCATTCAAAATTCTTAACAAATTGCAATTTGTTTTATCAAACCAAACTGTTCAACTAGTCAGAAATGTTAACCCAACTGCAGTAGAAAACCAGTCTAAGTCATCAAAGTGCAAGGTGATAAAGTAAACCATACTTACAATCATATAAGACTTTAATCCCACTTCATTGTTATTATAGAAACCTTGCTAAAAAAATTCTATACATTGTAGATATTGTTACTGTAAAGGGTCAATCGAAAGGTGAGAGGTCATAATTTATGAATTGCTATAAAAATGTCCAAACAAAGCTTTTATACAATTTTTCTTTAAAAAAGTCTTCTAAATTCATAAGAATCAACCATCAGTTTGAATTAAAACATGTTATATTCAGTAAAATATATGTGAAATTACAATATGTTGTTAATAAGTTTCCATGGGAGATAATCTAAAATCATTGATCTTTTGAAATATTGATCCTCTCTCTTTTTAAACATTGTTAAAACTGCAGGAGAACATATTCAAGCTTAAAATATATTTCACAAAGTATGATATATATTCATTTAAAGAAAGATTTGCAAAACACCATTTTTGAAGAAATAATTCAAAAACTAAAATTTGGACATTTTTTTGTGGGGGGAAATTCAAAAATTACTACCTCTCACTTTTTAAATAACTCTCACAGTGTTTATAGTCCATACTGGGTCCACGAGAATAGAACCCATGTTAATCTGGTGGTGTGACTGATATTAAGGTCACATTGAAAGGTATCTTGCAAGTTATTTAATATCAAACATACCTATGATATACTTGGCATTCTGTATGGCAGCACGAGTACAGTCCACACTGGGTCCAAGAGAACAGAACCCATGTTTATCAGGTGGTGTGATAGATATAAGAGCCACATCCAGAGGTATTTTGTTCATCCTAAACAATAAAGGTATCTCACAGAGGAAGACTGGTATAACATCTGCTCGCCCATCCATAACAGCTTTTCGAGCATTGGCAGCAAGGAATAAAGAGTTGGATCTAAAAATTCCTGTATAAATAATATACATTAAATTGAATAGAAGTAACTATTGGGTATACATTAATGAGACAGCAATCCATCAACAAAAATGAAAGAACCTTTAATGATCAAACACACATACCCCCAAACCCAACAGAATTAATATGGGATATTTTTACAAACTTGTCCCATCCAAAAAATAGTCTAAATTTAAGATTTTCTGAATATTAAGTTCATCTGGGGTATGATTAGTTGTAACTTTCGTCCATTTGAAAATTTAAAGAGCACCTAATAAACAAGAGGCTGTCCAGTGACAGCAAACCGGATTTTCCTGCAGAGGTCGAATCCCTGAATAGTTGAGCAAGTATGAACACAACATTTAAGCTTAAAACAGCTCTGAATTTGGATTGTGATCTTATATTTTTAAAATAGATTATTATCTAATTAATAATGAAAATGATATTTGCAAATCTGAACCCCAAACAGGATCATGTAAAAATTAAACATTAACACACACAACAAAAATAAAAAAACCACATTACAACTGTGACATCTACCTTCATAATACACATGACTTAAAATAAAATAGTTATAAAGAAATTTTGATGTAATCATTACTGGTTCATGGAATAAGTTTGAGTTATTTCCCTTTGAACAGAAATATGGTTTAACATAGTACTCTAACATTAGATATGATTTAATCACTAAAAATAGTTCTCTAAAATTAGAAATGATGTAACACAATGTATATCTATTTTCAAATTATAATCAAATATAATTAATAGTTCCAAATATTTTTTCTTTCATTTGTCACAAACTTATATAGATCTGCAACTTATCTATCAATGTCAACAACTTTAATGTAATGAAATATATCCTTTTATAATAAAAATAGATTATTATCTAATTAAAGGAGTTCACTTCATGAAAAAAAATTATATATACAGCATTCAGAAAATTATTTTATACAGAATAACAAACAAACCTACCACAAAATTCTTCAAACAATTTACCAAAGAAAAGAAAAAAAAATCCAAATTTCATTTATCATTTATACAATGTCTTTTAAAAATCTTTAAAAAAATGAATTATTTCCCTTTGTTACAGAAATGGATTAAGGTGTAATACCACCAAATCATAGTACGTCACATCAGGTTGCATACGAAAATAGGTCGAAAAAAAATATTCCCTTGAATTTGACAGTTGTAGGTAATTGATCCTACATTTCATTGCAGTAAAACATTTCTGGGTCATAAACATATATCCTGGGTATTTCAAAGCACCATTATTTTTTTATTTGGGGTTTCTATAGAATATTTTGGAAACTTAGGGTTACATGTTTACTTAAGCTTGTACACAGGTTAAAAAAGGAGGAAAATTTGATTGGTTAACTTCCAGTGATGGTTATTTTCTTATATGCAATGAAATGTTATGTGAAATTTTTTCTATAATACTGGATAGGATAAAACTTTACTCATGCCAAGTACTTCTTTATTTGAAACAAAGATAAATTCTGCACAATTTTTTGAAAAGTGCAAATTTAACAAAGACTAATAGGGGAAAATCAATGGTGGTATTACACCTTAATTCATCCAAAATTGAATCTTGGGAAAGGGCTAAATTGAATTCTTGGGAAAGGGCTATAACTGAACAACGAGAATAGCTAAAATCGTGAAAATTGAACTTGACCTTCATTTAGTCACAGGAAACAACATATCTAAATTTGAAAAAAATTCTTCAAAGCGTTTTCATGTAAATGAATGGACACTGTTTGGCAGCCGCCCACTGTACATCCCCAAATCAATAATCGATTTTTACTTCGAAAATCCAGTTAAAAATGAAGGCACTAGCACCTCCACAAGAAATTCTGAATTTATATGAGATATTTTTTCAAATCCCTCTCCCAAAAAATTGCTCCTCCATTTCAAAATTGTCTGATCATCAAACTCATTTGAAGTTTTATGAGTGGAAACCTTCATACAATTTGGAAAGTATCAGATGAAAAATGAAGGTTCTAGCATTGGTAAGAAATAATTATCATATATATCCTAATACATCTGCATACCAAATATCAGGTCTTACCAAAAGTATTTTCTCTTAGGTCAAAATAAACATAAATTAGTGGGTATTTCAGATTTTATGAAAATTTGTATGTGTCACTGATTTAGAACTAGTAGCTATAGTTGAACAGCATCTGAATGTTAAAATAATTGATATATTTAGCCTTAATTCTTTCGGAATTATGAAATGGATCTAAAAATGCACTCCAGTCATGCCAGTAGAAAGTACATATAACATGTATAAAGCAGTGAAAAAATGCAGTTTTGTCACTTTTAATTTGTGAATTCTTGAAATTCCTTCCATAGACAATGATAGAATACTGTTTAAAAATGACATATCATTGCTGTGATCATTTCTGTTTTAATAATATATGATAACCAGATTAAATTTTTCTTCAGAAATCAATTAGTCTTGATATAAACTGACTTTTTAAAAAACTTTGACATGTAAATTATGCAAAATTCAATGGATAAAGACTATGGGGCCGTACAAAATAATCTCCATTAAAATGAGAAGTGCCATTAATACTGTGAGACCAATGTCAGAAACAGAACACCTCACAGGTGGGACAAAAATCAATCTAAGTGGTAATGTATGTGATTTAGGTTGATTCAATCAAAAACAAAAAATGAAAACATGGTCATTATAAGTATACCCAAGTTCATAATTCAAGGTATGGGCAAACAGGAAGTACGTTTAGACAGATTTCAAGAGTGCTCACACATTACCACTTATCACTGTCAAGCTGATGACCAAATATGAAGTCCTTCACATTTATAATAAGCAATTGCTGAGAAAAGTATGGCAAAAATATTTATTAGATGAACAGATGGACAAGGTAATTGCAATAGCCCCACTGCTAGAGTGGGGATATAATATCTCTCTTCATACTAAAAAGGTATTACAAAACGGGGCTATAAATCAGAATTCCATAGCCTCTACTCACCAACAATCACCTTATTTCACTGTGAATCTCTAGAGAGGTTATAACTGTCTCACCTTATGCATGTTATGAGTACTGTATAATATCAATTTAGATTTTTTTTTCGATCTCCTAATTTAAATGCCACAAGGGGACCAACTCCTTTCACAAACCTTCATATTCTGGTTTATTGTATGTGCCTGGTCCCTCTGTATGAATATGTAATAGTTCTACATTCCTCAAACCTGCCTTCAACCCATGTTGACATAAAGCCTCAATCAATGGCACAGGGGTTGCTGCTGCTCCATGAACAAACACTCTAAATCCTGAATTGAATAAAAATTCTGATATATATCAAAGTATATTAAAACATGGTGTCTTTAATTTCTTTCTATCTATTATAGATTTCAAGATACATTGTAGATAGGTAATAAAAACATTGACAAATATAATGCCTACCCATGTTAGAATGAGTATAGAGCATGGAATGAAAGAATTGTTTTTTCTAAATAATTATTTCATACTATTGAGATCAAGAGTTGTGTATTGTGTTGTGTATTACTATTTAGCATGTTTAGTTGTACAATATCATGGATATAGTCTATTCAATTATGTAATACAATAGTTAGATATTAACTGTGGTCAATCTGGGACTCATACATGAATTGTATATTGGTCCCAAGGTCAATTAAGATTTGCATTAAAGTGGAGGTGATTCCAATTAAAACTCACACATTTGAGTGTGATCGTTTGTTAGTCATGACAGTTACCAATGCAAGAAGGGTAACAATAGTCATGATAGTACATGTATTTGAAATAAAATGTGGGGAGACACGTTCCAAATTTTATTCAACACTGCAATAAACTACTCAAATTTTAGATCTTACCATTTAACACAAATTCAGATATATTAAGGGGACGACGTTTATATGCATCATTTTTCTGTTAAAGTCGATTATCAATATAATCCATATAAAGAAAAACGTCTCCGGATTCATCACTATTTTTCCGGATTACATTGTTTGTGTATAAGAATCATTTGATTAAGGATATAAGTTACCCGAAATATTTAACATTTGTTCATGTCTCTTTTCTTGTTATTGGTACAACTATTTTATAAAAGAAGAAAAAAAATGAAGAAAAAATTATTTGAGGAATAAGAATAAGAATAAGAATAAGAATTTTATTAGTTTAAAATCCAAACAATAGGATTGTTACTAAATAAACAAACCAATACAAAACAAAACAAAATGACAAACAAACAGACAGACAGACAGGCATATTAATGACAAAACGATAGACATTAAACAATACAAACATGTAGCATTGAAAAAAAAAATAAAGATTATTAATATTAAGTATTATACTATTTTTGACAGCATGCCTCCTCTATAAAATTATCAATTTAAATATTATGATTATATATAACATTATAAGTTAAGCCACCATCACACACAGTTCATATATTGACATTATAATTGTTTCTCTCGTTATACATTTCACTTATATTGTTAACAATGATAAGTAAAATATCACATTCTTCACAAGAAAATATAAAATCAAATTTGTTTTCTTTACTCATTGAATTAAAACTGGGGACAATACTAGAAATTTCATTAAACATTTTGATCCTAGTTTTATTAATTTCTGTACATGTAATGATAAAATGGTATTCATCTTCCACCTCTTTATGGCATAAAGGACATATTCTATTTTCCAAGGCTGTTTTGTTGTATCTACTGCGTTCAACAGCCAGCATACTATTACTTATTCTTATTTTGGCATAATTTTTTATAACATTTTTATTTAAATTCAATAAAAGGTACTTTTCTAGTTCATACTTTACTTTAAATTTTCTGTAGGTTCTTAGTTTATTTCCATTTATTGAATTATCATCATTAAAGAGACAATTTTTCCAAAATATAATGTAATTTTCATTGAGCTTCTTCACAAGGGCTAAAAGTAATCGTTTTTTAGAAAAGGTACATTGATTTTCCCAAACATGAGTGAAATTCAATTTTGAAAGTAGCATTTTAATTTTTGAAGCAAATCCATCATTTAACTGCTTGTTAACTTTATAAACATTATATAATAAAATTCGTAAGGGTTCCGTGGAACCCAGTGTCTCGCCTACTTTTGCTGTTAATCGCAGGCTCAACAAAAATGAGGAAAAAAATTAATAAAAATATTCCTCTCTATACTATATTTTGATTGTAAGTAGCTTCTGTCCAAGTTTGGTAAAAATCCCGGATGGTTTTTGAATCTAATAAATGTTTTTAAAACTTTAACTGCAGACTGTATGTAAAGTTAACTGAAAGAAAAACTAAGTCCATTTATAAGTAAAATACTGAAAAAATGGAACAAAATTTTATCAAAATTTCCTTCTAGATACTAGCTTTTGATCATAAACAAGCTTCAGTCCAAGTGTGGTACAAATCCAGGATAGTTTAAGAAAGTTGTTAAAATTTTAAAAACTTTAACCACAGAGTGAATGTAATGTTAACTGGCAGAAAAACTAAGTCCATTTATAAGTAAAATACGGAAAAAATGGAATTTTTTTTTTACAAAATTTACTTCTGGATACTATCTTATGATCATAAACAAGCTTCTTTCCAAGTTTGGTAGAAATCCAGGATAGTTTAAGAAAGTTATTAAAATTTCAAAAACTTTAACCACAGAGTGAATGTTATGTTTCCTGGCAGAAAAACTAAGTCCATTTATAAGTAAAATACGGAAAAAATGGTATTTTTTTTTTTACAAAATTTACTTTTGAATATAATCTTATGATCATAAACAAGCTTCTGTCCAAGTTTGGTAGAAATCCAGGATAGTTTAAGAAAGTTATTAAAATTTCAAAAACTTTAACCACAGAGTGAATATTTGTGGACGCCACCGACGACAACAACGACGACGGAATGTAGGATCGCTATGTCTCGCTTTTTCGACAAAAGTCGAAGGCTCGACAAAAAACTCATTTTCATTTGAATTTAAAATATGTAACCAAAATCCTACAGAAGACTTAAGGGCCTGTATACCAATAGGGTACATTCCCAATTCAGCTAATACAGCTGTATTTACTGCCTTTGAATTAACATTAAGAAGACTTTTCGCAAATTTGATCTGGAGTTTTACTGATTCCATTGATAAGTATTGAGATTCAAGAGTTTTGTTGTTCTTCACAATATTTAGTGACCATATCTCACTACAATACAGTAATATTGGACTAACACAAGAATTAAAAAGTTTCATATGGGAAAAAACATCCATCTTATCTGAGTAAAGGATTTTTTTAATACAAAACAATGCCTTTGAAGCTTTTTTACAGAGGAGATTTACAGCATTAGTGAAAATTCCTGATGGCTTGAATAGTATACCTAAATATTTATATTCTGTGCAGCATTCGATTACTTCATTATTCAATACAAACTTGTCTTTAGTAAGTTTTTTACCACTTGTTTAACTTGTTTAGACAATTTTGTAAACCTTCTGAAGATTCTGATATTAATACTAAGTCATCAGCATATAAAAGACTAGACAATTTTATGTCATGTAATGTTACAGGATCACAGGAGTTATCAAACATGGAGGTTAAATCATTTATATAAAAAGACAATAAGGTAGGGCTTAGAATGCAGCCTTGTTTTACTCCAACTGTGGAAGGAAACATCTTAGTAATGCCTTCAGTGACTTTAGCTGCAAATAAAACTTCTTTGTACATATCTTTTAGAATATTGAGGAATGGTCCATTTATGTTATATTCAGCAAGTTTGTGTAACAGGGCCTCTCTATTTATAGTGTCAAAAGCTTTTTTAAAATCAATAAAACATGCATATATTCTTTTGTTTGATTTAAAAGCTTTATCAATAATAGTTTTTAAAGTTAGAATGTGATCACTAGTTCTGCATCCTTTTTTGAATCCAATCTGTTCACGACAAATGATTTTATTAGTTTCAGAATACTTTTCTAAACGATTATATAAAACTCTTGAGAAGAATTTTCCTAAGCAGCTAGAAAGTGCTATACCTCTGTAGTTTGAGGGGTTATTAAAACACCCTCCTTTAAAAACTGGTTTAATGTAATTTTCTCTCCATTTAGAAGGATATATACCAGTAAAAAGAATTAAGTTAAATAATTTTACATACATGTTGACGTTCATAGTGCAAGATATTTTCAACATTTCATTTGTTAACCCATCAGAACCACATGATTTCTTATTTTTCAAGGCTTTCATAGCAAGCAGCACTTCCTCTGCAGTTATCCTAACATTTAAATTTTTGTTACAATTATTCAAAAAATTACCATCAGTACATGATTTGATATCAGAATTTTTGTTATGGGTAGTATTCATAAGATTTTTGAAGTATTCAAACCATTCTTTAGCTTGAATGTTTGAACTAGGATCATTCAGTTCTTTTTTCTTTAAAGTTTTAACAGTTTTCCAAAACTCATCTGAAGAATTATTTGATTCCAAGATTTTAGTCAGCATTTTATTTCTAAATTGTCTATAATTTTTCCTTATCAATCTATTTAGTACCTTTTTTTTGGACATAACTTCTAACCTTAGTTGCTTGTTCCATGGTTCTTTACACAATTTCCTAGTATGGTGTTTTAAAGCTCTAAATTGGGCTTCACATTCATTATTATAGTAGGGTTTTTTAACTTTTTCGGAATTTACTTTTGTTATCCCTGAAAGTGGTTCGTTTTGGGCCAAGAAAAGCAGCATTATACAATAAAGATGACATATTAGAAACATTTTCATTAATTTTTTCTTCCATACTGGATACCAAGTTATTTTGAACTGGGATTTCTGCTAAGCTTTCTATTTCAGAAATAATTGGTTGGAAGTCAGTTTTTAATAAGTTTAATTTAAATGTATTTTCATATTCATTATTCCATTTTATGCACTTTAAAGGAGTTTTTAAGTTTTCTGGTGGTTGCTTATTTATTTGAGACATGATATTTACTGTTATTGGACAATGATCTGATACTGTTGAGTTGTTGAGGTGTCCAGTGGTGGTTTGCAGAGTTGTAGTGTTATAGACTCTCCTTTTCTGTTCGATGTAGATATTTGTTCTCTTAACCTTATTATTTGTTGAATTAATAACTTAAATATTATATTTAGGTCACATTTATAACAATAAGGGTTCAAAAAAATAAATTTTTGGGGTGTTCGGTGGGGTTCGGCGGTGTGCGGTGGTGTTCGGTGGTGAAAAGACCTACCGATCTTTTCCGGTATCGTTTTGGCTTGGGATTTGAGTAAAATGTTATGGGGACGTACCTTACATCAGTAAGCAAATCAATAAAACTACTAAAAATCTAAATAAAA